AAAGATTAAACACCAAGAAACGGCGAAGTAAGAAGCAGCTTACCAGCCTAAATAGCCTCACCGTTAATAAAGCAAGAGAAGTATTCCAACATGAGAGAAAGAAGAATAAAGCAATCTATATAAAGAGTCAGCAGCCTCGCCGTCAGGCACCTCCCCGGTGTAGTAACTGCGGTGTTCTGGGCCATATACATACAAGATGTCCTAATCGAGGAACTGGGTGAAAAGATATTTAAAACAGTGTAATTAAGGCTTCAAAACACCATATTTTTGTATACAAATCAGAATTCATGTTGGGGAGGCATTTGGTGAGGCATTTGGGCGGTTTGGGTGGCTCGCTCGCTTGCGTGGCTCGCTCGGTTGACGATTACGTTACTGGATGTGTTGATGACAGAGAGAGCCAGTGACGAAAGCTGCCGGCGGCACTTGGGTCACGTGACTCACATGTTACGACTCCTATCGGAGCTACAATTGCAGTGCAAGAAGAATGTTACTTGTGAGCTAAGCATGGAAATCACTTTCAATTCACTTCTTATTGTGGTACAATCAGCAATGGTGGTTGTTATGTGATAGGTGAGCCAGTCGTCTAAACCCTCACTGGATGTATCTAAAACAAATCTGTATGGAATCATCACTCCAGGAACCGAAAAAGAAAAAGCGCAGTGAAATAGAAAAACGCCATGGCCTATGCAAGATACATCCCTGTGCTCCTTAGACAACATTCTCAAACTGTGCATCATCATTATCAGTCACCATCTCCGACGCCATGGGATCGTCCTCCGAGGCATCATCGAAGTTATAGTCGCCACCAGGAGGAAGCTCTTCCTTGGCCTCTCCATAGGCCATAGCGTTTGCATAGTTGCTCTCTTTGGCCTCGGGTTTAAGCTCCCAGGTCATAGCAAAGTCGCCCGACTTGACCAAGTGGGCGACCATCTCCAGAGTCTGCTTGAGATATGCCTCGGGCTGTCGCAGCCTGGCCTTGAGCGTCTTAAACGGCCAGTACTTGTATTCGCGGAAGGCCTGGTAGATAAGATCCAGCAGCTCGTTCTGCGGCATACGCGTAGTCTTGTTCTCCTGGGCCTTGATCTTGGCGGGCTTGGTCGCTTGCTGATAGGGGTTTTAGTATAAGACAGGGATCGGAAGCAAGCACAATCACACTTACCACGAACGCGCCCTTGTCGCTCGGCAGAGCGTTGCGCGACTGGAGCAGCTTGCTCGGGATCTTATCAATGAAGACGGTCTCGCGCTTCGGTTTCAGAGCCTCCATGGCCTTCTTTTCCGACAGGAGTCTGAACTCCTCATTCTCCACGGGCAAGCAGTTGAACTCCTCAGCCACGCTGCCCACCAAGGCCGTTTGTTCTACATCGGTGTGAGCAACAGCAACCCCGCGTCGTCCGGAACTGGGGATACATACTCGGCACAGTCTTGCGCACATATGGCTCCCACTTCTTCTTGCGCTCCTTCTTTTTCATCTCACGCTTCATGGATTCGTACAGCGCGGAGCGGGCCTCGCCAAAGACCACCATGCGACTCTCATGACCGGGGATATCCCGTTCCGTGAAGAGGTAGGTATTTTGGGTCGAGTGTGACGTAGCTTCGGTGTTGATGGTTTGTCGTTGCAGGAGATAATCCTTGGGGATTTCATGATTGTCCTCTCGTTCGACAATGCGCAAGCTGACCTACAAAACAACAGTCAACTCTTAGCACCGTGCGCAACAACCGCTGCCATCGAATTCCACCCAGAAGTGGCATCCCATCCACATCTGAACCGGCAGAGGCCTTACTCGTTTGATATCTTGCGGATTGCGCTCAATTCTCATGGTTCCGACCACAACCTCCTCGTCGTCGTCCAGATTGTTGGTGATGTTCGACCAATGCTCCCATAGCGACCGCGGCAGGCGCGACAGCCACACGCTCTGCGCGGCATTCGAGAAATCCAGGTCGCCGGCATCTTCGTACAGGTCCTCGTCGTCGATATCGGCGAGAACGGTGTCTTTGCTGTCGGGATCGGGTTTGATGTATGGCGCCGTCTGAGCGTCTGGATCCTGCTTGATTTGGGGAACCATGACGCCGGACAATTGGATGATACGGGAAGAGGGGGCGCGAGAGATGGCGGAGAAATGAAGGAGGAGCTAGCGCACAGATACAATAACGACTAGGGTTTCAAGGTTATGCTAACAGCGTAGTCAAGATTACGGTGAAGTAGAGAGAGAGGCGGGGAATGATGAGGGGAATGAAGGTTCATTGATGGAGGTTGCATGCTTCTTCCGGTCTTCTTCTTTTGCCTCCACTTTCAGTTGCAGCTCAACTGGCGGGATCCAGGGCGGTGTGGCAATAGTCTTCGGAGATTGGCGGACGGGGTCTTGATCTAATGATGTTAGAGGATCAGTTCATTTGAGAGTCAATTCTAGGTTGGGAGTTCTTCTTTGTTTCAATTCACAACAGTGGTAGAATAACCTTACTAAGGATGAACACAGTTTTGTTAGTTGAGGTAGTAGTTATTTAGCCGCATGACACACACTGACTGTAGCTCGTGCTGGACAATACTTATTGAAGGTAAGACTGATTATTGGCTCACGTAACACACCACTTCCCCTGCAGGAGATGCCGCTGTACCATCCAACTACAATAGCGACAGAGGAGATGATTGAACTTATGTCGAGCTATTTGGAGCAAGGCAGCAGAATACTGTAACTATGTAGAGCAAAGAACACATCAAGACCGACTCTAGACTCTACAGGTGGTGTCCATCCATGGTGGACCATGGATGCTTGCTTGCGTGCACAACATGCACAACACCGCCGAGCCGCTTATCGATAAGGCATCTTCACCTCCAGCTTCGCCCATCACCGCCGTCTTCCCCGGCCATCAACATCCCCGCTCCTCTCCTGATACCTCACACTGCAGCACTTTCAATCCAAGCGAAACCTCCAAACCCTCCTCTGAGCAAACTTCACACCTTCGATCCTCACCAATCTACAACCTCCTTCCCCTCCACCATCAACCGGTCCCACCACGATGGCCTCCCAAAAAGTCATCTCCGCATTAGCGGAGATCGAAAGCTCGAGCAACTCGCAAACGAAACTACAACAATACAACGAGCTACTGACAGACATCATCACGAACTCAGCCGCGGCACAACTCCCACAAGACCTAATCACCTACCTAGACTCGATCCTCAGCGAAAGCCTGAGCATCGTAGCGGCGCGGCCACTGCTCGACCACTTCATCACGATCCTGCGGCCGCTGCCGTCTCCGACGAAGATCACGGTGGGACAACACGCGGTGACGCTCTTACAATCGCGGTCGACGAGCGTGGAGGAGCAAGACGCAGCGATCCGCGAGATTCTGGCAGACGCATACGAAGCCGAAGAGGAGTACATCGCAGCCGCGCGAGCACTGCAGGGGATCCACATCGACAGCTCGCAGCGGCAGGTGCCGGAGGCAGCGAAGGTGCGGCTATGGATCCGGATCGTGCGGCTGTACCTGGAGGAGGACGAGACGACGGCGGCGGAGGCGGTGCTGGGGCGGATCAAGAACCTGCCGAGCAAGATCGTGGACCCGGAGCTGGCGCTGCACTTCAAGCTGGCGCAGGCGCGGGTGCTGGACGCGCGGCGGCGGTTTCTAGATGCGAGCCCGGAGTACTTCGGGGTGAGTCTGGCGGCGGGCGTCGACGAGGCCGATCGGCTGCACGCGCTGGCCGCCGCCATCCGCTGCGCCGTGCTGGCGCCCGCCGGCCCCCAGCGCGCCCGCCTCCTCGCCTCGCTGTACAAGGACGACCGCGCGCCCTCCGTCGACGAGTTCGCCATCCTCGAGAAGATGTTCCTCGACCGCTTGCTGGTGCCCGCCGAGGTCGCTGCTTTCGCTGAGCGGCTCGCCCCCCACCAGCTCGCCGTCATGGCTGACGGTACCACCGTCCTCGATAAGGCTGTCGTCGAGCACAATCTCGTCGCCGCCAGTAAGCTCTACGAGAATATCACCACCGATGCCCTGGGCGTCATCTTGGGCTTGCAGCCCAGCGGCGACTTCTCCGCCGGCGAGAAGGCCGAGGCGTATGCCGCGCGTATGGTCGAGCAGGGTCGTCTGAAGGGGAGTATCGACCAGATCAATGGGGTTATTCACTTCGAGCCCGGCTCCGTGCCCGCCGGCCGTCACATTCGCCAGTGGGATGCCGGCGTGCAGAGCCTGGCGGAGGATGTGGAGCGCGTGGCTACCAGTATCACTGAGGCTTTCCCGGTATGTATACGTCTAGCGATAGGAGAAGGTGACGAGGCGATGAGCTAACCAGTTCATTGTTACTAGGAATTTGCAACCGAGCAAGCAGCTGTGCATTAGGCGCTACGTGTGATGCAGAACTAGGGTCATGAGCAGAAGGATACATTTAGGTTCGGGTTCAAGTCATGTCTTCATTCAGGTCATTAGCGTTCGTCTATTATATGGTTCTTTTTCTAGAAATCTAGCAAATGGAAAAGTAAATGAGTGTGGAGGTGATGACCACTTCGGTCCCGGTTGAGGATATTAGCCTTGTTGGCTTGTAATGGTGTCATCCCCCAAAACGTATTCGCTGTTGTTTGTCGTGGTGTATTTTCGGCGATGTGCATGCCCGAGGTTTGGTGTTAAGCCACAAGACTGTGCAGATGGCAGGTATATCTCTCAGGACCCGGCACTGACGGCTCATGGCTATAGTCTGGCGATCACCGTGCAGGGATAGCTCTGACGGTGATGATCGGAGTCACTCGTGCCCGTGAGCACTGATAGTCAGGCAAAGACGAACGGTCTACCCTATGCTCATCATATCGCGCGTACCAAAAACGCCAGCAGAGTAGCCCGATTTGTGAGTCCGAGACATTGCCATCCTGACCGAGGGGCGAGGGCCAGTAGGTGGAGTGGATGCATCGGTGGTTGACGGTCAGACGAGACCGGCATATACACTCGGATGCATCGCACCGATTCGGAGCCAACTCAACAGTGGGAAAGAGTACTTAATACGAACTCCACCCTCACACATGAGACTTCGAACTATCCTCGCTAATCTTGATATCCGTGCGCACGGTGATATCCATGGGGCTGTGACTGTGCGCGAAGAACGACGAGGCATCCCTGTCGTCCGTGGACGTAGAACGCGACCCGAGCCCCTCGTCCATCTTGTAGAACTCATGCGCGGCGGCCGTGGCGCCGGCCCCGGGGCCCTTGGCGGGCCCAGCGGAGACGACGAACTGTGAGGTGCTGACGTCGGTGGGGATGTAGTAGGGGGCGGAGCGGTAGCGGCGGTGGCTGGGGACCTTGAAGCGCGGGAACAGGCCGCGAATGATGGGGAGGCAGGAGCAGATCAGGCCAATGGAGGGCTCGACGTGGGTCCACAGGGTGGCCTGGTAGACGGTGTAGGTGGTGTCGGCGTTATCGATCCAGAAGAGCACGACGATGCGGTAGATGCTGGCGAAGCAGACGAAGGCGCCCAGGGCGAAGACGCCGTTCAGCGCCAGCTTGTCCTGCCACGCGCGGTGTAGGCCCCAGATCATCGGGATCGGCAGGATTAGGATCACGAAGTCCATCAGCACGTTGAACGCTTGGTTCGTGATGATCAGCGTCATCCCGTCCACACACTGGCCTGCCACGCTGTGGTCCCAGAACGCTCGCAGCGGCCGGCACTGCAGTGCGCAGGCGAGGAAGATGGCGGCCCCCCAGAGCCCGATGAGGATGTTGATGCCGAGGGTTGTCCATTGGAAGGTCTTGGTCGTAAAGACTCGGCGGTAGAAACAAATAATCGAGATCTTGATGGCGGGGCAGAGGAGGAAGTAGGTGAATTGGTTGGCAAGGAAGATCTGAGGACTGGAGTTAGCGCATGAGGGCAGGCAGGCGTCTGCGTTCGAGACGTTATACCTTGTAGAAGTTCAACATGGTGCTATTGCCCAGACTGTTCTGATGGGCTCCGTTACCTCCAATGGTGACCCCTGGGTGCCATGTTAGCAGTTTCTCGATCAATAGCACCTGATGCTGTTCACTCACAGAGCCCCAGTTCGATCAGCATGCCCAGGAGTAGTATTATTGACACAAAGGAAAGGTAGTCGTCGACTCCAAAGCGTACTCTTCGCTTCAGTCGAGCAATTGCGCGCAGTACGACTGCAATAAAGGAGAGGCCAACCAGCACAGACACGATGCATACCATCTCCTTGCCTCTCGAAGTGAGGGCCATGGTGGAAGTATCGGTATGAATTGTAGTTTGATGGGAAAGAAATTGAAAACGAAAGTGGAATGAATGAATGGCAGGGTATAGTTTGGCGTGAAGAGTGGCACTCAGAACATCATCGATTGATTATTTACACAAGATGAACATGAGGCCAGCAGTTTCACGACGCCGCAAAGAAAGGTTCGTAGTAGTCCCAGATGTCGGTGTCGACGAAGGAAGGCCAACCCCAGTCGAACAATAGCAGATAGGTACTGATTAGAGGAAGACAGAAGCCGCAAAGCAGACGGGAAACGAGTGGAAACCGCTTAATATGTACAGTACCTAGACTACGCAACGCATAATTGGATCATATGAGAATCTTGCCCGATGGGTCTCTGCATAGTGAGTCCGGAGCGAAGGATCCTCACCCACTAGTGCTCGTAAACTCGCGCCTTTGTCATTTAAATGGTGGCCGATGAGCTGAAAGCTTAAGACACCGTAAAAGCACTGGGCAATCGCTTTCCCAGTCGACAACTGGGACCACCATGGCAGCGCGGTGGAGTTATTGCTACAGGATGGAGGCTTCAACCTGCCGATCATCAACAAGCACGAGTCGAGATCAGAGGATCTGCGTAAGCTCGTGGCAAGGCGATATCCGGATTCCAGGATGCACGATTACTCGCAACTCTTCAGACTCTCTGCAGAGCGAGTGACAAATTTTCCGTCGGTGACTCGGTACCAATCGGACTCGTGCAGGGATCATCATCCTGGAGCGTCGGTTATTCCAGAAAAGGCAGACATTGATTCAAAGTCCGAGATGAAATCACGCACCGATGCGGATTGCAGAACGATGGCTCGTGCCATCAAAATTGAGCTCCACCGATCAAAAAAGGACCCTTGGGTGTGGACGGATAAGAGCGGGAACAGTCATTGTAACGAGTCAGCGTCAGGCGTGGACGGACTTTCGGCGCCATCCCGCCCACGCTTGCCTCCATCGGTTTAAGGTCCCGCAGGCCCGCCGGACCTTTTGCGGTACCGATTCAGTCAAGCTCGACGACCGACTGCTTGCGATTTATTATTATCATCATGGCCGAGGCATCAGTTAAACCCTGCTTGTGATAGAGATTGCTATGGTTGCCTGAATCTCAGGGGTGACTGCTCCGATGCTCAGAGAGGTTCGTGAAGATTATGCACTAGTTAGTGCACTGAACACCATTGCTCTGCACCTGCACGATCGATCGAACGCTAGCCGGTCAAGTCCGGCGTGGGCAATAGATTCATGCATGGCAGCCTAACAGCCAAAGAGAAACCGCAATGGAAAAACTCAGCTGTACTCTTCCCTAAAGCAGACGATCTTCGGAGTCAGATCGCCCTATGGCCGTCACCTTTGGCCTTTTGATTGAGCGATGGGACAGGGAGCTGGAGTCCCCCAATTTTCTCATCCGGCCAGGCTGCTCCACCACGCTGAGTGGATATTCCACCGTGGGTTAATTTGAGCCGAATCGTTTGCTTTCGGCCGGAAGAGTCCAGAATGCCACTCTCCGCTTCTCGACAAATAGTTGCTCTGACACAGCCGCACAATGCTCCTCGATCTCGTTATCCTTCTCTTCTCGTCAATCGAAGTGGGTGTTAGCCTTCAGCGACTCTAGCCCATGGTAGGCATCGCTGATCGCCTGTCTGTGATGCCCGGGAAGGTCTTGTGTTACCTAAAAGCAACGGTTAGTTCTATCGGTTAAAAAGGCCGGCAAGTAGGGGATGGCGTCCTGTCGAAAGCCACCAGCAACGGCCACGCACAATTTGCACGTCGATAGTCAATCTAGGCGTTGTTTAGGGACAAGTTGAGTCTAGGGGCAGTAGCACGCTCAATAGTCTCAGTAAGGTTAATTCGCTGTCAGCCTGAACGGGTAAGAATCTTCGTTGGGATTGACTTGCATGACGGCATGCCATGTGCAGAACATGTGGATGAGGGGAGTGCACGTCTTGTATCACTTGCAGGATTGGTATTTGCAGGAGCGATGGGTTCAAAATCGAGGTGTATAGCAACAAAATATCATCGAATTCATGGCCGATGTCTAGTGGCCTGGCCAAATTGCTCTGAAACCACAGCTGAGATGAGAAATCAATGGTTTGATTGCACTAAGAATGACAATAATGCCACCACTTCTAGACTGAGTCGCGGTGGGGTCAGACCCGTTGTTGGCCTTGTTTGTTCCTCCCAAGCCAACCCAGCCATACTTACTTAAGATGGAGATACTCACTGCTTGGAGGGGTCCAAGCCAAGACCCTGTTATTCATCGACCGTATATCATTCCCGGTTAATACGTTGATTTTACTTGATCCAGAGTATTCCAAATTTTCTACGCTCGCACCATGACGATTGTTCCTCTCGCTACTAAGACGGTGGTGGCTGCATCACCCCCTCAGCCCTCAGTGATCCCCTTGATTATCAATGGAGAGGAAGAATCGACAGAGTCTACATTCGATGTGATCAGCCCATATACCAGCGAGCCGTGCTGGTCGGCCGCCTCTGCCTCCCCGCAAGATGCCATCCGCGCAGTGGAGGCAGCAGAGGCAGCCTTCCCAGCGTGGTCGCAAACCAAACCCACCGTGCGACGCGACATCCTCCTTAAGGCGGCAGACATTCTGGAAAGTCGGCTCGAGCAGAACGCGGAATACATGCGGACGGAAATGGGCGCCGACGTGGGCGCGTCGCAGTTCTTCATCGTTCCACTCGGGATTCGCATGCTCAGGGACATCGCGGGGCGCATCACTTCCATTTGTGGTAGCGTGCCCGTAGTCGAGGAAGAGGGTCAGAGTGCGATGATCTGCAAGGAGCCCATGGGGGTCATTCTGGGAGTTGTGCCTTGGTATGTGGTCCCCTTATCGTCGTACAGAGCACCGCTTCTCCCCGTTTCGCGAGCGATAGACTGACTTCCTTTTCCAAGGAACGCACCCTACGTCTTCGGTGTGCGCGCGGCAGCCTGCGCACTCGCGGCTGGTAACACGACGATTCTCAAATCTTCCGAGCTCACGCCCTGCAGCTACTGGGCGCTAACCCGTGCATTCATCGATGCAGGTGTGCCTGCCGGCTGCTTCAATCTGCTCTCTTGCCGGCCCCAAGATGCCCCTGCGGTGGTCAACGCCATGATCGAGCACCCCGCCGTGCGCAAAATCAACTTTACCGGTAGCACGGCGGTGGGCAGGAAGCTTGCCGCCACCTGCGGTCAGAACCTCAAGCCCTGCCTGATGGAGCTGGGCGGAAAGAACAGTGCGATCGTGCGCGCCGATGCTAATATCGAGACGGCTGTCAAGGGCGTGCTAGGAGGTGCTTATCTGAACGTAAGTCTGTGACCCTATCCCTATCACGAGGTTTCTGACGCGTTGTAGTCGGGCCAAATTTGCATGTCCACGGACCGCATCATCGTCCACTCGTCCATCGCATCGTCTTTCATCGATGCCCTCAAAAAGGCCCTCAACTCGAACATCGATCCCTCGTCTCCTCCCCCAACGCTGGTCAACATGGCTTCCAAAAAGCGGGTCGAAAATTTGGTGAAAGATGCATTGGATAATGGCGCGCAGTTGCTTTCAGGCTCCGTAGGCGAGGAGACGCCACAGGACGGAGATGGCGTGCGCATGCCACCAGTCCTTTTGAGCAATGTGACGGAGAACATGACCGTGTGGCAAGAAGAGGCTTTTGCTTCGGTGGCAGCCTGTATGGTCGTCGACAGCGATGAGGAAGCCATCCGTCTGGCGAATAACAGTGGTTATGGCCTTTCTGCAGCGGTGTTCACCGAGGACCTTCGTCAAGGCCTGGCGATGGCCCGGAAGATCCAATCGGGGTATGTCTCCTTATATCACATCCGTCAATATGTGCACGATTCTAACAGACATACTGCAGTGCCGTACACATCAACAGCATGACTGTCCACGACGAACCTGTCCTTCCGCACGGCGGAGTGAAGAACAGCGGTTGGGGCCGTTTCAATGCATCCCAAGGGTTGGAGGAATTCTTGGTGACGAAGAGCGTGACCTGGATGGACTGAGCAAGTGCATGAGAAGCAAGACCTAGACGAACCGATGTACATAGAATCATTTCGGAGCGCGGTGTACATGATATCCCTTATTGCCGACCGGGCGCCCTGAAGCGACGGGACACTGAAACATTCCCAATTAGTCACATTCCGCCACCGTAGATACAACCACCTCGAATTCCCCTTCCTACGAATACCTTCCGGAGCGAGGTAGAGATATACCCCGAGAACGACCACAATCTACCTCCCAACCCGCAAAATCAGCAGGGAAGCCCAGCTCAACAACCCATCAATTACCCCGACTCCCCGACGCATCTATCCCAGCTCTCGGTCTATCTCCCCCCGAAGCCTTATCAATTCCAATCATGTAATTACTGAACACGCACCGCGTAATACCTGCAGACGTTCATACCAAGCTTCGATCAATACGGCGCTACTACAGTACCTCAAGTCAAGCTCGAGCTCGAGCTTGTTTGATCTCGATAACCTTAAAAACACCTCCTGCAAGGGGGCGGCGACGCATCGTTCATTTCGTCGGCAACTGATTGTTCTCGAAAAGGGAATTTCAATAGACGAAAGTCTACGTCATACCGCGTGCTCGGAATTTGAGGTGGGCTTGCTGATTGGTGGATGAAGTGGTGTTGTCAGCAGGGTCAGTTGCCGGAAGGTTAGGTCAGGTGATCCGTTGCCGACTCGTACGTTTGCAGTGGCTTTGCCGTACCTGGCTCTCTGTACGGTTTCAGGGATGGTAATTCGATTGTCGGGCTTAATGGGGCGTGAGGTGGGTTGTGGTGTGTACACTTTATGTTGTAGGGGCAGCGTTGAACGTAACGGTGGGAATGGCGGTCTACTTACTGTACTACTGTAAGTATTGAAGGAGGGGATATTGATCTCATCAAGCCACCCTTCGGTCCGAGGTACATACAACATAATTATGTTTGGGCTACTATAGCAGGCAGGGATTCTGAGCAGGTGCGTCTGGGGTTTACGTTATCAGGTGGTGTTTATCTGTAAACGAATTTATTACAGCTGAACTGTGCACATCAGCCTTGAAAGTTGGAAGTTTATGATGGTTTTGATAGTAGCTCGCTGCTTAAGCCACAGCTAGAACTGGTCCAGGCGGGGAAAGATACCCAAGATGACACTTGAAAACCCCAGCATGGAGAAGTCACCCTCATTCAGTACTCAGATCCATTGAAGAAAGTGATCGTCCGCGGGGGCTGACGTGCTGACTTAATCCGATGCTCCTATTTGCTCTTCCCAGTGCATGTGAAAGAAACTCGAGCTCCATTGTGTCATGGGCTGGGGAGAGCATCTGCTGACTTTTCTGGGGAAATCCTCCTGTTTCGGCATGTGATGGTATGGGAGCAGTGAACGAGGCTGAAGCTCGTAGCAGACAGCTTAAGGAATGCTGATGTATATATCCTGTGTAACGTAGTAGATGTCGATATATCCTAAGGTGAATTTATGGCATTCTAGTCAACAACTTATATCTGTACACTGGCTGGGGTCAAGACAATCCAAGGCTGTCAATAGCAAGCACTATTCATCTGAATGAATGCAGATAGATGGTATTGTGCTTTCACATACAGTACCTGGATGGTAGCGCTGGACAGGGAGACGGTACCGGTAAGTACGGTATGGCCAGGGTATGGATGAGCCTCGGCCGATAAAGCGACTCTCCCCCGATCGGCTTCTGAACATTGGAATTCACTCTCCCCCGGATCCCTGGGCTTTCTTAAGATCTGCCCATCATCATCTGTCTCCTTTTTCCTTCTTCAAATACTTCCTACTCCTTCTCATACTCCTCCTACTCTCCCTCCTCTCATCTGTCTTCTTTTCTTTTTTTTCTTCACCCACATACCCTCTTCACATCATGACGACCGCTCCCCGGATTATTGTGGTCGGCGGTGGATGTGAGTGTCACTTAACCGTTTCCAGCTTTCCCCGCATTGCTGACCATTGCCTCGTCTCTCAGTGTCCGGTCTTAGTGCCGCCCACACCATCTACCTCAACGGTGGAAACGTCCTCGTTCTCGACAAGCAGGGTGCGTCTTCTTCCGAGTCGCTAGTTGAAGCGCAAGTTCCTCTCTTTTCTCAGTACTGACTTGAGACAGCCTTCTTCGGTGGCAACTCCACCAAAGCGACGTCCGGTATCAATGGTGCCCTGACCCGCACCCAGGTCGATCTGGGAATCGCCGACAGTGTCAAGACCTTCTACGAAGATACCCTTAAATCCGCTAGAGACAAGGCTCGTCCAGACCTCATCAAGGTCTTGACCTACAATTCTGCTTCCGCGGTTGAATGGCTGCAAGATGTCTTCAACCTCGATCTGACGCTAGTTTCCCGCCTGGGGTGAGTACCAACTCTTTCCATACCCTGACATTCCTATAGCCTCAACAAAGTATGCTGACCTGCCCAGTGGTCACTCACAGCCCCGCACACATCGTGGCCACGATGCCAAGTTCCCCGGAATGGCCATCACCTACGCCCTCATGCAACGGTTAGAAGAGCTCACCGAGGCGGAGCCCGACCGTGTCCAAATCATTAAGAAAGCCCGCGTTACCTCCATCAACAAGTCCGGAAACACTGTCACCGGTCTTACCTACGAGTACAACGGCGAGACGCACACCGCTGACGGTGTTGTCGTCCTGGCCACTGGTGGCTACGCTGCCGACTTCGGCGATGGCTCCCTTCTCAAGCAGCACCGTCCCGACACCTTCGGTCTATCCAGTACCAATGGCACTCACGCCACGGGTGATGGTCAGAAGATGTTGATGGAGATCGGCGCTAACGGCATTGACATGGACAAGGTCCAGGTGCACCCTACGGGTCTCATTGACCCCAAGGATCCCACGGCCAAGTTCAAGTTCCTGGCTGCTGAAGCCCTTCGTGGTGAGGGTGGTCTTCTTCTCAACTCGGACGGTGAGCGGTTCTCTGATGAGCTGGGCCACCGCGACTATGTCTCTGGACAGATGTGGAAGGAGAAGGAGAAGAACAAGTGGCCCATTCGCCTTGTGCTCAACAGCAAGGCCTCCAACGTTCTTGACTTCCACACTCGTCACTACTCTGGCCGTGGCCTCATGAGGAAGATGACTGGTAAGGAGCTCGCTAAAGAGATCGGCTGTGGCGAGGCCGCCCTTAAGAAGACCTTCGACGACTACAACGCCATCGCCGATGGCAAGAAGAAGGACCCATGGGGCAAGCGATTCTTCCACAACCTGCCATTCAGCATCGATGATGACTTCCACGTGGCTCTGATGGAGCCTGTTCTTCACTTCACCATGGGTGGTATCGAGATCAACGAGCACGCCGAGGTTCTCAACAGCGAGAAGCAGCCCTTCCAGGGACTCTACGCCTGTGGTGAGCTTGCTGGAGGTGTTCACGGTGCCAACCGGCTTGGTGGCTCTTCCCTCTTGGGTTGCGTCGTCTATGGCCGTGTTGCTGGTGACAGCGCCAGCCAGTATCTCTTCAAGCGCTTGCTCTCCGGTGGCGCGTCCACCGCGCAACAGCGTTTGGGCCAGATCTCGCTGCACATCGACCCGTCCACCCCCGGCAAGATCGCCGTCGAATGGACTGGAGCCGGTAGTGGTAGTGGCCAAGTCCCTGCGGCTGCCGGAACTCCTGCTGACTCCGTCCAGGGCGCGAAGTCTAGCGCGACCCCCGCGGGTGCCCCGGAGACTGCCAAGCCCAACAACCCCGCCAAGTTCACCATCCCTGAGAAGGAATACACCATGGAGGAGGTTGCTAAGCACAACAAGAAGGACGACCTGTGGATCGTGGTCAAGGGTGTTGTATTAGACGTGACCAACTGGTTGGACGAGCACCCGGGCGGCGCCAATGCTTTGTTCAACTTCATGGGTCGCGATGCCACTGAAGGTTGGTTGCCCTTTGCTCTGTTTATTTTCTTTTCAAGACCCATGAGACTGACCCGTTACCAGAATTCGCAATGCTCCACGACGACGAGGTCATCCCCAAGTACGCTGCTCACATTGTCATTGGCCGGGTTAAGGGACAGACTCCTAGCTTAGAGCTGTGAATTGCGTGTTAGAGTCTAGTTTTTTTGTTTTTGGGAAGAAAATGATCTTACAGCCCTGTCGATACATACCCTAGTCAGTTTATTATGTCTCTTTTTGTGATGCATGTCTGTGATGGAGCTTAGATGTGTCTTTGTTTCTTTCTCTGGTGTTTGTAAAATACAACCAGTACATGTCATCAATGATATTATCTCATGGTATAGCGTCTCATATCAGACCTTCGTTTGTAGAAGCTTCTTAGCTGTATTGGTGAGACACAATCAGAGAGTCGATAGACCCCTTTCCCCCCACCTAGAACAGGCGAGCTATATATGCAGCAGTTGCAAGGAGCGCATGCATCTCCAACGGCCATGATGTATCCACGATCAACTCGGCAATATACACGATAGGGAAGCAGGTAGTCAACAGAACTAAGCCGAAGTACCCTTTGTCTCCGCTGCCCCGAATACGTACTCCGAGTTAAACCCCTCCTAGGTACAGTATATCAACATATCCCGGCATTCAACCCGAGTGAAACCGACATGTCGGCAGACACAGATACAGACAAGAGGACCGTCGGGCAGCTGCCTGCATGCCTACCTGCCTGCCCGCTTGGGCGAAATCCACGAGCCCCTCGTCATTACGCCAGGGTATTAGTAGTTACGAGAGGGGAAATGCATGTACCTACAGTAAGTCAGTGGCAGGGGACCGTTAAGAACTGGGATCGGGATGAGTGTCAGTGATGAGGCGAGGCCGGTGGAGCAGACCGGGGTATATGTATGTATACCATTCTGCGTATGTATCCCCCCGCTCAGGCAGTAGTAAGTACTGTACTTGATTATTATTGCCAGGGTGGGGTCCCAGCGCAGCGCCTGGACAAGGAAACTGTAGCCCGTGTCTGCCACTGCATCATGGATGCATGCAGGTACAGTACTACTGCACTTCTGTGCGTTGACGTGATATCTGAAACGGACCCTGGTGATGATCCTTGATTTCGGGTTTCTAGAGCCTGTCCCTCCCTCGTGCGGCGTGAAACTGATTCTTTCCTGTTTGGTGGTGGTGGATAGGTCAGATTATTGCGGCTGATTTTGATTATTTTTTATGTTGATTGCTATCATTAGTAGAGTTGGATCGGGCTGGACTGGGCTGTACCTTTAAGCTCGTGTTCGGTGAGATTTGTTTTTGTGGCTTTGTTTTATGTTAAAGCTGAACAAGGTTGTGGTGGTTGCGCTTATCTAAGGATCGATCTTGTTTGGATCGGGTTGTTTATTATTTATTGTTTTGGTGGCCATCACCATTCACACTGGTTGCACTGGCTGTCACTTGAAAGAAGGTCTACAAGGCCCATCTAGATCAGTGTCTGACTCCACTTGTCACTATTAGTACAGGGACAAGCATGAAGTCGAATTCGACCTATCTGGACTAGACCGGCTCGTCGCAAGTGGCCTGATCGCCTGCCTGTGCTGACCAGATCGATTATCCGGCCCATTCCGACGACGGCAACGCAATGGGCAAGGGGCACAGAAACAACAATAACAACAACAACAGCAACAATTAACCAACTTCGCGCTGTAATTTGGTCACCTAAGATGTCTCTCTTATTCCACCACCACCGAATCCATCGAATACGAATCGAACGGATACAACAATCCACGATCAACAACAAGAACCCTGTTCATCGCCGGCGAAAGCCCGGCCTAGACAGATCCGCCCTCGGCCGAAGATGAGCAAGAGAGGGAGGGAGAGAGAGAGAGAGAGAGAGAGAGCCTCTTACCTTGCCCCTCGTTGTGGTTCGGGATCGTCCCCCTTATTACGATTCTTTTCCTCTCCCTTCATTTATGATCATCTCGGTTCGTGGGCTCCACTGCCATTATCACCCAATTGCGGGGTGGGATCGGGGCAAAGGAACCCGGCGAGCTGAAAACGCTGCTGGACCACTGGCAATCTGGAATCGGGCCCAAGGACCAGCAGGGGGGGATTGAAGTTGTTCTTCCCCCCGAAGTGGGGGGCACTTGTCTCTTTGCTTCAAGTATCTTAATCTATTGCCGCTTGGCCATTGGCCGCTGCTTGACTCGGGTTGTCCGGACAGGATGACGGCAGGAGTGGGCAGTGCTGACTGAGATGCGAGCCTGCGAGCGAGCACTTTTCCGTGGAATTGAGTCTGCTCCGAGGTTACGTTGAGTGTTAGGTGAAAGGGTAAGGGGAGTGGTTTGGGTGTCATTTGGAGGGGTGGGGAGGGGACTTACCTGGTTGCGCGATAAGGCCCAGATTTCCGACGGGCCCTCCATGGCTGAAAAGAAAAAGTCGCGTGCTGAGGGCTGCTGCGAGAATGATACAAATGCTGGGCCTCCTGCCTGACACACGCGAGTCCTGCCGCTGCATCGACGTCAATCGTTTTCCTGAATTCTGGTTTCTATTATTGTTCGACCCGCTAAAAGCGTTTGGTGGCTGGCCACAGACTCTTTCGATACCCTCGCTCGCTCAACTGATTGTCAAGCGCACCATCACCGTTGTTTACCATTTCAAAAGGGATTCAACTGCATAGCCAGCTATCTAGCCACAATGCCGAACAGGCCCAAGTTGGATCAGTTTGATATCCGGCATGTGGATCGTCGGGAGCTATACACAGACTTCAAGAAGCGCATTGCGTACCTCAAGGCCTTCCTGAATCTGGTCGATGGTACGAATTATCTGTCTGGCTGCTGAACTGAGATGCTGACTCCTTGTCTTCAGACGATATCATCGTCTTCAACAAAGGGGCCAAGTACCTCAAGACCGCAATCCCAGACCTCACTCATCGCCTATATTCCAAAATGCTGGAGTTCGACATCACTGCGCGTGCGTTACGGACTCGCAACACCGCCTGCCATGCGCACGTCGAAGACTTATTCACCATTGACAGTCCCCATGTGGAGCGCCGCAAGATCTTCTGGAAGTGGTATCTGACTCGGCTGTGTAACGACCCGAGCCAGATGGAGTACTGGGAGTACCTGGAGAAGGTAGGGTGAGTCTCGAACAGCTCTACCGTGCGCCGCCGATCCTCTAATCCGCTGGTGGTAGGAAAATGCATACCGGTAAAGTGCTGCTGCATCCCCTGAACATCGAATACGTCCACATGAACGCCTGTCTACGGTACGTGGAGGATCTTCTGATCGAGTGGATCTCGCTCCACCCGGAGATGACCGTGCGGTTCAAGTTCGCCCTGATCCGCTCCCTGAACAAGATCATGTGCATCCAGAACGACCTGATCTCGAAATGCTACATCCCCGCCGGGCAGGAGTACGAAGAGAACGACGACGACGCCTCCACGACGGCGGACGAGTCCCGGCCCAGCATCGACTCGGCCCAGACCGCCGCCTCCTCCTCCTTACACTTCCGGCCCCGCGCCGAATCCCAAGCCACCACCGGCACAACCACCTCCAAAACGGCGAGTAGTATCCGCAGCGCCGACACCCAGCTATCCTCGACGGACAGTTCATATCATCCCCCACTTCCGAGCTGTTTAACCCCCGGGTTGGTCTCTTCGTCGTCGAGACCAACCTCCTCGGCCGGCGAGTCCCTCAGCGCGAAGAGCATGACCACGAGCACGACCACAAGCACAACCCACGCCGACCTCGCTCGCCCCAGCTCATCCACACCCGCCACTCTGGACTCGTACCCCACCACCCCGCCCACCACCTCCTCCAGCAGCAGCCTGCGGCCCGCGCCCGCGAATATGTGGCGAAGTTCCATGGTAGGCTTCGTGTCGCCGTTTACGGTGGAGTCGCTGCAGACGCTCGAGACGAAGATCTGGTCCGAGGAGTTGACGGAGAAGGCGACGTTTGGGAAGGGGAGGGCACGAGGGCCGATGGCGTGACCTGATTGAGGTTGAGTTGAGGTTAAGACCACGACTGGCTGTCACTAGGTGGCTGAGGTTGATTCGTGGGGTGTTTGTTGGACAAACTACGAGGGCGGATGTTCTTCTTTGGTTTACTTGTACTGTACATAGGTAGCGATATGATTGGGTAATGTGATTTTTTAGTGATGAATTTGATTCAGGTTGTGGTGATGGCATGCGACGTAGATGCTTGTTGGTGATGAGGTGGGATGTGTTTGTGTAGAAGGTGAGCTTGACTATTCTCCCAATAGAGGCGAGTCCGCCTGTACCTGCTACCGGGGGGATATGAGTATGCACACAACTCAATAAAGAAACCTACTCGCCACGGAGACAACCCCAATCCCGTCCTAAGATAGCAGGTATTACACCCTGTGTAGATTAGATCCCGTCTCCGATAGATAGTCCAGTACAATACACCGCATCACTACAAGCTAGGTATGAGATGTGCGCCTCCAGGCAAGGGAGACATGCCCTGCAACTGAGGCTGGAAAGATCCCATCGGTCCCACCATGCCCGTGAAGCGGTCTTGTCATATATGTCAACTATAAGAAAGCGGCTTGTAGTCTATCATGGTCTTTTTCTTTTTTTCCAGAACCGGACCCGTTCGGTCTAGGGGTATGCTTTCTTTTCAAGGTCGGTCATCTCGCTAATAATCAGAGCATACGTAGAGATAGGCCCCCCCGCCAACACAAAGTCAATGTTCTCTTGCTACAAGGTAGTTCATGGACTTTGATCGGTTTGCTACGGGTCTATAGACGAGGTCACTACCAGTCCCTCCGTAAAGAGCTGGATGCGACTTCTACATTGTTATCAGTCTCTGGACGAGGACCATTTTCCCCTTGAGATTGTAGCCGAGTTCATCGGAGTAAGATCGTTCTTCTACTACAATGCGCACGGGATTATGGTGCCGGGTTGAGTACACGGGGTTTGTTTGTTGTATTCTCTGGGGCTAAGTTGTATCCTTAGGCTCTGGGGTAGGGGTTGTTTAGATTATGATTAGGGGTAGGAGTAGGAGTAGCGGTAAGAGTGTGATACGTGATGGAACCGGTGACGGGCTGTTTGGGCTGGGATATTTGGAGCGGAGGGATATGTTGGATAGAGAGGATTATAGGGGGGGAAATGGGTTCTGGTGTAGAATTGGGTATCCTTTAGAATATGGTGTAAGTTCCATTAGAACGAGGTTTAGAATGGAACAGAGTATAATGTCTGTTGAAGACAGGCTAAAGTATCAATTATGGTTGTACATCAGAGCAGGGTATTGTGTACATTATCCTTATCCATCAGAGATGGGTATTGTGTAGATAGAAAATGGTATGGAATCCATCGGAAGAAGGTATAGTATAGAAGAGAACAGGATATAATACCTTTCAAAGCAGGGAAGTCCAATAGAGCAGGGTATGATCTCTATTACGACAGGGTATAGTGTGAAAAGTTTTGTAAGATAAAACGCCATCCAGTGTCTGGGAATGAGCTTGAGTGTCCCGAGCTAGAATAACTTAGCCCTGGGATAAGCTGTGGCTGTATGTGCTTTCATGTATGGGGTCATGATAGTGGGAGTAGAGGCTTTTCACGTTTGAGGTGGTTAGTCGTGGATAAGGTGCAATGATCGGTGACTTGGAGGATCTTGGAATGGTTATGAGGTGGGTGGTTGAGCTGTTTTGTGGTTTTGGGCGAGTTACGGGTGATTGTGTGCGTAGATAGGTGGTTGTTGGGGAGGTCCTGGTGGTTTCATGGTTAGGGTGTATATGGCTGGTGATGGTGTTCTTATACATGTGGTTGTATGCAGTAGTAGTGCATTTGAATGACTGGAGGTTTATGTTGATACCCTGATTCCTGTACATACACGGTAGCTCTACAGGGCATGCGTGCAGTAGCGGGTTACTTAATGAGTAGTACACACCCCGAGTCATATTACCTATCCTACACTTATAGAAACACACCATGATTAAGCATAGCGGTCTACGCACCAGAACTCGTCTGCATGTGCCTCAGAATCATCTTCAGCCGTCGCACAGCAGGCCCCTCGTCTGCTCCTTGTCCCCCTTGGCTGCCATTGTCCCTGGCCTGCATCTCCTGGGCGGCGGCTTCCAGCGTGGGCTGCAGATACCCCCAGACTTCGTCGTGATAGCGCTCTTCCACCGTAAGCCAGTCCGCTGCGCCGGGTAGCCCCGTGAGGACGGCATCGCGCAGGTCCACTGCGTCTGTGTTCGCGGTTGACGGGACGGAGTCGAGGAAGTCGCTGATGTCGGGGACAAGGCTGCGGGGGTTCGTCGGATTAGGGGCTGTGGTGGAGTGTGTAGTACTAGAGGGAGGCAGCATTCGACGGAAGGACTCGATCATCTGGATCTCAGCGGGGCTGAGTTGGAGCGAGGATAACAGTTCTGTCTCGATGGTCTCGGCTGGCTCGTCGGCGGATGGAGGAAAATTGGGGTCGAAGGTCTGGTCGGAGAGGAGCGAGACGACTGCGGCGCCGTCGGAGGAAAGGGCGGACGTCCTGCCTCGGCTGTCACGAAACAGTATTCCTTCGCCGCCTTGATGAGAACTCGGTGTCCATCTCCCCTTGCCTTTATCCACGTCAACTGAGCTTAGCTCCGCTGCGCTCGGTGCGGCTGCTGCAAGGTACATGCCATTGTCGCCGTCGAGGGACCCTTCCCCGAACGTGAGCTGGAACTCTTCCTCTGTGAGCCCGGGGAGCTCGAACCCTCCGGCGTGGGCTGTCGAGGACGATCGGAACGGTTCAGATTGTGCGGAGTATGCCCGATCTGCCGTTCGGGAGGAGCTCGAGTGGGTGGTTTCGTGGTACTGTTGCGCTGCTGCTAGGGCGGACTGCGAGGAGGTCGACGAAGGCCCGGCTTTACCGCTGCCGGCCAGCAATTGAGCGGTCTCTGCAGAAGGCGGGCCGGAGGAGGAAAAAACATGCTTTGCAAGACCTGACGCAGAGCTTTGTATGCGACTGGCCAGCGACGGGCCATCCTGCTCGCCCTCGTTGGCCCCGGCGGAGGTATTGGGCTCGGGCTCCTTGCGGTGAGGGTTGGCCGGTTTGTCGTCACGGCTGCCCCGCTTCTGGTTGTCGGGCATGGTTCGTGACGAGCGGGGGGGGGGAGGGAAAGTCGGATCAACCCAGTCTGTCAATGAGGGCTGGAAGAACAAAGAAAATGGAGAATAAAGAAAATCAAGCACGTCTGCAACTGGGTTAGTCTGTCTTGGGGAAATTATATAGTCAGTGTTCGGTTCAAAGGCGTCCTCGTCGTCGTGTGGACGGAGGAAGAGCAAGCATGTGAAGAGCCTCAGGCCTCAGGCCGGCATGGTGATGGAACCCTGATTCTCGAGGCAACTAAAAACGCCCGAAGGGGAAGTTGGTCGTGGGAGAATTGCTTCAGTTATAACAGTTATACCCGAAATAATCCAAGATCCCAGATCATTGTGATGCATTGGGGATTATTCCTTGCAGCTGAATGGCCAATTCGTTCGTGTTGTGTTGTTAATAGTTGGCTTCATAGTAGTTTGAAGATGGTCTGGAAGCTCTATAACATGTTAGTATGCAGATAGAGGAATGACTGGAAGTGTTGTTTGAATAGCAATTCACAACGAATTTAGTTGGAAAGACAAAAATAAAATAAGCAAGACAGAGAGCTCCTTCAGGAACCATTGAATCATGTTTCAACACGACTCCCAGAACGGACAATCAACGATCTATTCAGAAAGAAGAATGATGCAGAGGAGGGAGTGAGTGGTTGATGTCAGCGCCCAGCTACTCCAGCAGCTACTACTACTACTACTACTACTACTACTACTACTACTAAATACTAGGTAAGGTTGGGTTGTGCTGCGAATAGGTGGGTGTGGGTTTTACGGGTTATGGGCAGCCACTACTTTCTTTCCCTCTCTTCCCTTTCTCCCCACCACCACCGACCGACGGGTGTTTCCAAACCACCGCCTCACCTCAACCACACTCTAACCACCACCACCACTCCTCTTCCTCCTCCTCCCATCTCGCCCAGTATCGTCATCCTCTCTTTCTTCCCACTTCCCCTCCTCCTCCATCACCCCCCCATTCATCCCGCCTTTTCAACTCCCACCTTCTCTCTGCTTTTTCACCATTTATCGGCCATTTCACCTGGCCGGTTTCGTCTCGTTGTCCTTGAGTTTTCTTTCTCTTTTCTCATAGATAATCCCGCCCACTCCAGTCTTGATGCACCCGAGAGAAGGGAGATTGAGGCAAGGCTAAAAAAACTCCCCCCCCCCACGGAAAAAATACCAAAAACCCTTATTCTTTTCACCATTATCTTGCCTCTGATCTTGTCAGCTCTGGCTGTCAATCTTTCGTCTTCTACAGCCTCCAAGTGACTCACGCGGTCTCTGCCAATTCACCTGGTCGGCGGACATCACGACCTTGATTCCTTCCTCTCCGCCCGTTGCATTTCCACCCGAGTGTTGCAACAACCTACCTCATCCTCACGCAAACCTCATCCCTATAGCGTAACTTGTCGTCTTACCTCGCCGTTCCTCGCATCAATCGATCCTGGTTTCTAGTCGCCCACCACATAGATCATCGCTTGAAAAGTTCTCCCGCTCGAGTCTCTCCGCACGATATCGATATCGGCAGACCCCACCTTAATTTTCTCAACCCAAGATCCTCGACCTGTGGATCTTGACACCGTTCCTTCGTGTTTCCTGGACACTGCCCCAATAGAGGGTAGATTCGGAAGAAAATGGTAGACAGGGATCCAGGTACTCCCACCTGGAAATTCACGCAGTAAGTACCACCTGCCAAATATCCTCTTCGTCGGATGGGCCTTCCGCGAGCGCGCCGTATCCTCTTTCCATCAATGTCTCTCGCGGCAGGCTTTGAACTACCCTCGTGGAATCACTCCGTCTCGCTGGATCCAGTCTATCCCTGCTCGTAGTACTAATCTTGGTCAATAGATGCTTCGGTGACAAAGGGGACGTTGAGGATATCACAGAAGGTACGTGAATCAGAGACCTGTCTTGATACGTTCGCCTTGTTCGGAGCATCACACATAAAGCTCTATTGGTTGCTACCGGATAGCTGACCTTTGTCCACAGCTGATATTATCTCGACCGTTGAGTTTGACCACACCGGAAACTACTTAGCTACGGGTGATAAGGGAGGACGAGTGGTGTTGTTTGAGAGAAATGAAACGGTACGGATGACTATTTTTCATCATAAGAGCGGCCAATTCTAATGCTCGGTGCAGAAAAAAACCTGCGAGTACAAATTTCACACCGAATTCCAGTCGCACGAACCGGAGTTTGATTATTTGAAATCTTTGGAGATCGAAGAAAAGATCAACAAGATAAAATGGTGCAGACGGCAGAATGCATCTCATTTTCTCCTTTCGACGAACGATAAGACGATAAAATTGTGGAAGGTGTTCGACAAATCTCTGAAGGTTGTTGCGGAGAACAACCTCTCGAGCGAGCTGACCCCCGCGGGTGTTGGTGGCGGCGGCGCGCCCCGTGCGCCCCGGCTAAACTTCAAGGATCCTTCCATGCTGAAGCTTCCTCGGATGACGCATCATGATACGGTGGTGGCCGCGGTCCCCCGAAGGACCTATGCCAATGCGCATGCGTATCACATCAATAGCATTTCCGTCAACAGCGATGGGGAGACGTTTATTAGCAGCGATGATCTCCGGGTCAACCTGTGGAACCTGAATATCCAAGACCAGAGCTTTAACATCGTCGACATCAAACCTGCGAACATGGAGGAACTTACAGAGGTAATCACAGCTGCTGAGTTCCACCCGGTCAGCTGTAACTGGTTCATGTACGCCAGCTCCAAGGGCACAATCAAGCTCGCCGATATGCGGCAGCGAGCATTGTGCGACGAGCATTCCAAACGTATGTATCCGCCAATCCTCATGAAGTGCTCTCATTCTGACATGATGCTCTCGCATAGTTTTCGAGCAAGAGGAAGACGCCTCCTCCCGTTCCTTCTTCTCCGAGATTATCTCCTCCATCTCCGACGTACGATTCTCGCACGATGGCCGATACATTGTATCGAGGGACTACTTGACGGTCAAGATCTGGGATGTCAACATGGAGAGACAACCCGTGAAGACGATCCCCATCCACGAGCACCTGCGACCCCGTCTGTGCGACACCTACGAGAATGATAGCATATTCGACAAGTTCGAGGTTGTATTCTCGGGCGACGCGGAGAATGTGATGACCGGAAGCTACAACAACAATTTTATGATCTACCCCACCGACCAGAGCAAGGAGACCGAGATCGTGCTACAGGCCGACAAGTCTGCTTTCAAGGCGAAGAAGGTTGGCGTCCCGACACCGATGAACAAGGGCGCCAACGGCAAGAAGAATGGGTCGAGAGCTGGCAGCCCTGCTGGCCCTGGCAGCCGGATGAAGAAGGAGACCGATGCGGATCAGATCGACTTCAACAAGAAGATCCTGCATATGAGCTGGCATCCTTATGAGGACAGTATTGCTATTGCTGCTACCAATAACGTGAGTGCATCTGTTTACGTGCGACTTGTTGTGTCCCCTTGCTGACCGAATGCAACAGCTATTTGTCTTCTCCGCATTGTAAGTATTTCGACCAGGTGGCTATAATCATAATTGGACAGGGCGTGTCAGTATGTGAAACAGAGCAATCATGGGACAGATATGAGACAAATGAAACTCCTAGCAGCAGCATTTCCAGATCCAAAATTAAGTTGCCAGTTCAAGTTCAGGTCCTTCGCTTTTCATTTTGTTGGAGCTTGGTCGCGCAATAATGTTTCGAAGTCTGTTGTCCGTCTGTTCTCTCTACTTGCTGTCTGTTGACATTCGGATGCCATGTCCCTCCTGTCGCTTTCCATCTTTGCTGTTACAGTGGACCCAGTCATGCTTGATGATTGTTTTGGGGAGGCGTTCAATGGAATTTGATAGAGAAAGACTACGTGGTTCTTCTAGAGGGTTTATCTGTTCTCCCTTCCCTATCCCATACTAGCTTTCTTTAGATATGGACCACGCTACGACAGCCTCTTCGGCATACTTGTTTACTGCGCGAGAGGTGTTAGAACACAATCGATTGTATCGAGACGAGAGCAGGGACCTGTTAAGTTCAATTGGTAGGCGGAGGTTTTTTGTTTTTTTGTTTTTTTTTTGTTTTTTCTGGCCACCTTGGTCACTTGTGCGTAGCATGCCTCCGTCCAGGAAATTAATCGCTCGCTAGCTATACAAAGTGCATGCAGGTCCAGCTGGAGGTATGGTGCGCTCCTGCTAGGCTGGAGACGCGGATAAGTCGGGCAGTGTCGAGGCCGGATTGATCAGGTCAATGACGTCGGGAAAGTCAAAGCCCGAGTGACTAGCCCGCCCAGGCACTGCTGCGTCGTGCCATACCAGCCAATCACTTATTCCACCGCCTTTTCCGGAACATCCTTAACCCCGAAGGGTGACGCTATCGCTCAAGATAGCTTAGCGTGGTCAAATGCCTCTCCGCCTTCACTCCGGAGACCATCCGTGATCGGTTGCGCGCAAAGCATCACCCACGGCTTTCGCTCTACTACTTAGTACTCAGACTGTCATTTCATGGGGTATTCTCCTTGTTCAGTCAGTGCTTCTTCTTCTGTTTCTCTGTGATTGCTTTTCCTCTGGATTTTCTTATCTGTTTCACCCTTCTGCAGCTGGCAGGCATCGGCACAGTGATGTCGCTGTGAAATTGAGTTGGGAGGAACAGAATCTCAAGCCCCCGTACACAGGAACACAGAGGCCGAGCCCAACACCGTCCCACCACCAAGCAGGCGATCTCTCAGCTTCAGCTGCCACGTGCCATCCTTCCCCTTGCTTAGGGATATTACCGAGTCACGCTTCGTGCGCATAGACCATGAATTCTTCTGGGAACGATAACTGGCATCCCGGTGGCCCGCCAGCGCATCCGGGAATGGACCAGATGAACCAGCAACCTCGCCCTATGGGCTCCTTCAGGTACATGACCATGAGCACCTGCTACTGAAGTAGACAAGCTTTGTCCAGAGCATTTCACTGACCTGAGTCTTTTAGCCAAAACCCACAACCGCAACAGGGTCCATCAGCGCAACCCACTGGGCCAGTCCTCCCACCTCCAGCCGGTTCGGATCTCCTTCTGCTTTCTTCTCCCTCTCATACTACTTGCGTCCATCTTGCTGATATAGCTGGCGTCGTCAGGTCCTTATCACTCCGCGAACCAGCCCGGTGGTCATTCCCTTCCTGGTCTGGCCGAGTTGAGCCACGGTCATGGCGGCCCACACCAACCTCCTACGTACGGACAACACCCTCAGGGCCCTTCTCACAATCCTGGCCACTCTTTACCGGGTATCGGTCAGGCGATGCAACACCCTTCGCCCCAGTCCCTGAGTCGTGACCGCGAGCGGGACTCCCGGGAACGAGAACTGCTGGAGAGGCAGCGCCAGGAGGAACTAGCCCACAGAGAACGCGAAGTGCGCGAGCGCGAGCGCGAACAAATCGAGCGTCAGCAGCTGGAGCGACAACGCGAGCAGCAGCATCACGGGGTTCAGCATAGTGCTGCCTCGATCCCTCTGCACCAGCCCGTGGCGTCTAAAGTGCCGAATTCTATCCATGGTCCCAATGGCCTTCTCTCTAATTTGAGCTCGAACCCGACAAATGGTCCTCAGGGCTCTATGCCAACATCTGGAGGTCCGGCTGGGCTCTATGGCCAGCAGATGCAGCATGGCGAAGGAACACCGCGGTCTTACATGCAGCATCCTACAGGACCACCTGGTCAGGCAATGTTGGGATTCAACGGCTCAGGCCCTCCAATCCCCGGAGCTGTTGGCAATGTCGCTGCCCTCGCTCAGCAGGGTCAGCAGCCGATTTTAAATGTAGGTGATTCGTTTTTTGTTTGTCATCCTTGCCCTCGACCCAGACCGGTAGATTCTGACAGTCGTTTCCTTAGGATGCCCTCAGCTATCTAGATCAAGTGAAGGTCCGATTTGTCGACCAGCCCGATGTCTACAATCGGTTCCTCGATATAATGAAGGACTTCAAAAGCCAAGCGTAAGATTCAATTACCTACCTCGGGCCTGGCGAATTTTTCCTGACGTGAACCAGAATCGATACCCCAGGGGTGATCCAGCGCGTTTCGACTTTGTTCAACGGCCACCCTACTCTGATTTCAGGGTTTAACACTTTCCTCCCGCCAGGCTACCGGATCGAGTGTGGAACAGAAGATAATCCGGACGCGATTCGGGTCACAACCCCGTCAGGCACAAACACTCTGAGTATGCCTCGTACCAGACACTCCCTGGAGTCCACTGGAGAGCTTGGGCCATCCGGGGGTATGACTTCTCACGGTCGGGCTGAGTACTATGAGCAGTCACGTCCTGGTTGGCAGCAACCGCAGCCTCAACCGCAGCCCCAGCAGCAGCCTCAGCCACAGGGCAACTTGCCAGGGTCATACTCTCCTGGGTCCCGTATTATACCCGGTATCTTCGGACAACAGGGTGGACAGAACCAGCCCCAGGACCATCATTTCGACTTTCCCACCCAACAAGAGCAGCAGGCGGCGGCAGGGGCGGCGGCCATGGCTCACCAATCCGATCAGCGGGGCGTTCATCTCCAGGGAGCTCCCTCTGCTGCCGCTGCCGCTGCTGCCGCAGGCTTGGGAAGGCCTTCATTGCTGCACATGGCTGGACCCCCTGCCCAAGGCCCCAACATTAACCAATCAATGAACAACTTAGCCGGTGTCGGAACAGGAATGCTTCAGGGCGGCCAGGCAGACTTGAACAAGCGTGGTCCCGTAGAGTTCAATCATGCAATTAGTTATGTCAACAAGATCAAGGTGAGAGATGAATGACAGGATTCGATGTTCTTCGTCTGCAAATCGTCTAACATCGAGGCAAACTCAACAGAATCGGTTCGCAAGCGCTCCTGAGATCTACAAGCAGTTCCTGGAAATACTGCAAACATACCAGCGTGAATCAAAGCCAATTCAGGATGTGTATGCCCAGGTTACTCAGCTGTTCAACACGGCGCCAGATCTATTGGAAGACTTCAAGCAATTCCTCCCAGAGTCGGCTGCTCATGCGAAACAGCAGGCTGCCGCTCGCCAGGCCGAGGAGGCTGCTCCCACGAGCAACATTCGCGGAGAAGCAAGCTACCCAAGCGCCCCTAACCTTCCTTCACAAACTCCTAATCGTGATGTGAAGATGCCACCTCTGGGTCAGTTCAATGTCAAGGACTCTGCCAAGGATGGCAAGAAACGGCGGGGTGGACCTGGAGGCCCATCCACCATGGGCTCATCAATATCCGGACCGTCGGCTGATACGGCACGGATGGCTGAGTCCCAGGCTGGCCGGGCTCCAGCGATGCAACCGGGTGCTGCTAATAAGGTGAGGACACTGCTGTCTAATACGCTTCACTTTGAACCCCGGTCTGCTTCGACCTCCGTTCATCACGTATCTCAGCGATCCACGTTCTGTCCCCTTCCTAATCACATTTGCCTTGTTCATCAATATCTACAATATGAGGTATGCTAACGTCTTGAAGCGAGCCAAGGTCCATCATAAACCCTCCCAGGCGGAAGCTCCAGCTGTGTCGCCCACACTGGTTCCTGCGCTCCCCGAGCCGATTCAACCCTCCTTCTCTTTGACACCTACCCAAGAGGAGTTCGCTTTCTTCGATCGTGTCAAAAAGTATATTGGGAATAAACAGACTTTCAGTGAGTTCCTCAAGTTGTGTAATCTCTACTCCACGGACTTGATCGACAGACACGTTCTCGTCAAGAGAGCTGCCAACTACATCGGCGCCAACCCTGAACTCATGGCTTGGTTCAAGCGCTTTATGCACGTCGATGAGCCTGAAGACAAGATCGTTGACGTCAAGGCGAAACAAGAGCCTGGCCTCGTCAATTTGTCACACTGCCGCTCGCTTGGTCCGAGCTATCGGTTGTTGCCAAAGCGTGAACGACAGAAGCCTTGCAGCGGTCGCGACCAGCTCTGTTACAGCGTTTTAAATAATGAGTGGGCTTCCCACCCGACATGGGCTTCCGAAGACTCTGGATTCGTGGCCCATCGCAAAAACCAGTTCGAGGACGCTCTGCATCGGATTGAAGAGGATCGGCACGACTACGATCATTATATTGAGGCTTGCACGCGCACTATCCAACTCATCGAGCCTATTGTGCAGCAGTTCCTTGTCATGACCGATGCGGAGAGGGCTGCGTTCAAGCTGCCTCCTGGACTTGGCGGTCAGAGTGAAGCCATCTACCAGCGTGTGATTAAGAAGATCTACGACCGACAGCGTGGCGCAAAGATTATCAAAGAGATGTTCGAGAGGCCCTGTCATGTTCTGCCCATCATTTTGTTCCGCCTGAAACAGAAATGCGAAGAGTGGAAGGCTAGCCAGGTAGGTGTCCTTTGCTTGGATTTTGTCTCACGTCTGTTTGCTAACCTACCACTTCAGCGCGAGTGGGACAAAATCTGGCGCGAGCAGATGCAGAAGGCCTACTGGCGTAGTTTAGATCATCAAGCTATTGCCAGCAAGGGCACCGACAAGAAGCTCTTTGTGGCGAAGCACATTCAGACCGAGATTCAGAACAAATTCGAAGAGGGACGAAACCTACGCAAGAGCGGATACCAGGTTCCCCGGCATCAATTCGAATACACCTTTGATGACCCGGCTGTTCTTATCGATGCCACACACCTGCTGCTCACCTTCATTGACCGGAACTCGGCTGGGTTTGGGGCCGATCCTCAAAAGGTGATGAACTTCATCAAAGACTTCATTCCAGCCTTCTTCGGTATGGACCGTGATACCTTCCATGTCTACATGAATGAGTTGTCGAGCGGCACACCTCCGATTGACGAAGGCGATGATGAAAGTCTGGCAGCAGAGGACGCTTCCACCCCGCGCAGTCGCAAGGGTGCCGCCGGGAAGAAGATGGGTCTTCTCCGCGACGTTCTCGAACGCGCTGGCGAAAAGGTCCACCGGGCCGAGAAAGACGGCAGTGCCCCGAATAGTCGCGATGTCACCCCTGATGCGGTTTTGGTTCCGTCGACACCCATTCCTAACCCCGCTGAATCATTTGACGTGGCTGAATTAAAATGGATGGAACATCCGGGCCAGGGCAACTTCAACCAGCAACGCGAGTACAATCTCAACGAGACGTATGGCAAGAAGGTGCATCATCTGTATGCCAACCTGAACATCTACTGTTTCTTCCGTACCTTTGAGATCTTGTATTCACGCCTGCTACGCATCAAGCTGCACGAGAAGATTGCTCATGCCGATGTGCGTCGCGCATTGGTCGGCAAGCCGGCGCAGGAGCTCAATCTCATTGACAAATACCCCACCGACTTATTCTATGACTGCGATCCGAAAGCCAATCTGTATCAGCAGATTGTGCGGATGTGTGAGGAAGTGATCAAGGGCGACATGGAGACCGCGCATCTGGAGGAGACCCTTCGTCGATACTACTTGCGGAGCGGATACCAGCTGTACAACCTGGAGAAGATGTTCACTGGTATCTCTAAATTCGCGGGAGCCATCTTCAGTGGGGATTCCAAGGACCGCAGCTCTGATATCATGAACCTCTTCTTTAAGGAGCGCGATAGGGAGGAGACCACTCATAACCAAGAGATCCAGTACCGCAAACAAGTGGAGCGGCTGGTGAAGGACGGCGATATGTACCGCATTACCTACGTAAGTGTCTACACCACATGAGTTGTTCATGTGCTAACTTTTCGTTCTGCAGCACCCTGGCAGTAAGAAGACTGCAGTGCAGCTCTTGACTCCGGAGGACGCCACGCTGGAGAATGAGGAACTCAGCCCGGAAGCACGGTGGTCGTACTATGTCTCGGCCTATACCATGCGGGATCCGACGGAAGGCGTGGCGTTCTCGCAGATGCGCATGCCTTTCCTGAAGCGGAACCTGCCGGCCAAGCTGGAGCAAGAGGAGGAGTACAACCGGTACTACCGGCCATTAGTGCACCAGGACGGCCTGATCATCCGCATCTGCGCCAATAGCTACCACATTCTGTACGAGCCTGGCAGTTCCGACTGGTGGTGGCGGCCCACTGCTGCCGCGGACGAGTCGGCGGAGGAGGTGGCCAGAGAAGAAGCGGCTGTCAAGGAACGACGGCGGGACCGGTTCATGGAGAAGCTGGTCAATAATCCTAGCTGGGCGCACGGACTGAGCAAGGATCAGGTGGATGAGTCTAACCAGCGGTTCCGATCGTGGATCAATGGGCCGGAGGGCGACAGTGGTGCTAGTGCTGGTGCTGCTGCAGGGACTCCCGCGGGGTCTGGGTCCGAAGCCAAGGACAACAAGGAAGATGCAGAGATGACAGACGTTGCACAGCCTGCATCAGAGTCAAAGGAGCAATGAGCGTGATGGTCCCGACTGAATGATTTTGGGAGGCGGACACCGCGGGATGACTCTGATGATGATTGATACTTAAGCGGGGAGGGCTGACTCTGGCCTCAGTTGCGATGCCCCCCATACCATAGTATGAATGCCTTGGTGATAACCCAACTGTAAACGTTTGTTGTTGCTTATTTTCACATTTCTTCCTTTCTCTCGCCTGCTTGACTCCAGCCAGGTCCGTGTTATTATTTTCTTCTTGATGTCCATGGCAAGTGTATATCTCTCTCTCTCTCTCTCTCTTCCTGATCAGCGAATACGGTATCTTTGGTTTGCATGAATGGGTATTTTTTTCTTCTTCTGTTTGTCGGTTTAGAGCTCTGTAACTTGTACTGCATATGAAGATAATCTCAGCTGATTATTGCTTGAGCTCTCTACTATACAAGTTGTGGTCTTTTCCGAAAAGTTAGAGTATACTTGTTTTCTGTAGTGTTGCATATGCTTGATACCTGCCCTTCGACATGGATAATACCTCTTGCAATAGTATTATCATTACAAGGCGGGGGGGAGACTTTAACCCTTCCACACTTACTAACATCGTTTGCAGTTACTTGAAGTAAGATCAACAATATTGCCCCTTTTTCAGTGAAGACTAGCTTGCTGAAGCTGTACTTCTTTTTGTTTTTACAATTGAACGGGGTCGATCGGCGTGGATTATAGGAATCACATGAGTTCTGTCTAGTATGGTTTCAAGCCCTCCACATAGCAGAAAACCCCGTAAAAGAGAACTTATTGCCCTTTGGGCCTGTTAATCTCTTACCTGAAGGTGTAGTTCAGCCCTGCCTGCCTGCCCTTTACCGATGGAAACAATCTATATCTCCGTCCTCAAAACTAGACCCTCAATTTTTCCCAGTGTTGCTGCTGAACTTTGCTCCCTCATGAACCCGTTATTGTTCTTGCACGGTGTAGGTAAGGTAAGCATCTGGACTTAGAGTATCAGCCTGGGCTCGACTCACCTCGCTGGAACGGTCACTTGGGGTGGGATTAGTACTAGTGGTCCCATGATTGAGATATATGAAATCTACCGCTTGATTTTTATCTAAGCTACAGGGCTTAGTTTATGTGCCTTTGCTACCCGGCGCGCTCCCTTGCTTTTTGACTATGACTTGGGTCTTGGGTCTTAGCTTCTGGGGTTTGTTTGGGGGCCAGATTGATGGGTTGGGTAGTGGTTCAACCCCGTTAGAGTTACTTTTCTTATGTTGGCGCATGCTTTGTTGAGGATAGTTATCGACAACGCATTGTGATAACTCCGTTTGCAGCAATTCATACTTGAAGACGCCGCGGCGCGTTCAACGGGCAGTTCTTTGACAATCCATGGTTACAATGTCAATCAGTGGGTAATGCCAAACACCATGGTCTGGTGAAAGAACATACCGAAACTCTGCACGAAGAAACGCTGACCGTGTTTTGATGTTCCTTGTTGGGACAGGTCTAGGAAAGACGAATCTCGACTCCGCGATTTGTCCTTCGTATCCTGAATAATGTTTCCGGTCATATTGATCTCGGGGTATAAAACGGCTATCGATGTCCTCCCTGGAGAATTGTTGGTCTGCCTCCAGCCTCGGTCCAATTTATCCCAATCGGAGATTGTTGGTCTGCTCTCAGCCCCAACCTTCTTCATCCCAAGCAAAACCCGACACGCAACTTCCAGCTTCACCACCTCACAGCAAGGAAAAAGCCGACAGCCACAATGTCCTTAGGGGATATGATCGACCTTTTGGAAACGGAGGGGATAAGAGAAAGTGCATATGCCTGGGTGGACGCAGGAGCGCACAGCAGTCTCGCGGCCGCACGGGCACCAGATCTCGGCCAGTACATCGCCGGCGAACTGCACAGCAGCAGCAGCAGATCTACGAGGAAGATAGAGCCATAACACGGAGGCCAATCTCCCACGAAACACCGGGAAAACGCGACGACCCCGAGAACCAGTACCGCAGTCGTGCTGAACTTCTCAGGGTTCGAGATGGTTTTAAACCCCCGTTCAATGGGACTGGCTGGGTTATGCTCGGCGTGGCCGCCTCATTTGTACGTGGCCGCCCTCTTTCTTCGCGGTCCTGAGCTGTCCTGCAGCCCCCCCCCCCCAGTGTGCAATTGGCTGAGGGGGGCTCCGACTCCCAAGCGATGCTCATCACCAGGGGCAAAAAAGCAGGAACCAACAACAATCAATGGCAGAAAGGGCGCAGTCTGCACGAAGCGCTGTTAACGACCATGCATCGTCCCGATTCCGCACAGCATTTCCTCTAATATTACCTGATGAGTTCGCGCAGCTTCAGACCCGGAAGAACTGGTTCTTTGGCTGGCTTGCGGATGGGGAGGATCCGTTCTTCCATCTAACTGGTAAGTCGGGGTCCGGGAAATCGCTCCATGTGAATGAATTGGGTTACCGGGACCTGTTCAACATCCACCTTGAACACGGTCTGAAGTATAGTATCTGACCGACTTATGAGTATAGAGCCGACCACCACTACCCGGGAAGGAGGGTCTCGCTGCCTCGCCATCCATCTTAAATCCAGCGTGAGATACGGCGCCTGGGGCGGGTCTGAGTTCGTGCAATGCGTGAAGGTCTTTCTTAATAATACTTTCAGACAGGATTACGACTCGGTCATCCGGGGCATTCTCGCCGCGGTGTTGAAGCCGCATGGCGCGTACTGGTCTCGCATGAATGCTTACCTGGTGCGGATTCTGCTTCCGGAAATAGCTGAGATGCTGCCGATGGATACCTCGTAATGTCCTTCCTGAGAATGAGTGGCAGGACGCTAGAAAGGTATTCGAGGAGTGGTTGCATCGTAAAATGGTCGAAAATGGTGGTGAGGAAATGGCACGTTCCATGTGGCAGAAACTGGTCTCCTCAGAGGCAGCCATCTACCAAGATCACAAGATCTTTCTGATAGTCGACGGGTTGAATAAAATCAACCCGGCGGAGTCTACGAAGGTCATCACTGCTCTGAAAGAATGGGCGCATCTCGCCAACGGGAATGTCAAGATCTGTATATCCAGCTGCGGGGAGAAGGTGTTCCAGGAGGCATTGGGATCCTCTCCCGGGTACAATCTCGACAAGGTCAACTTCATCAACCTCTTGTGGTGTAGCCATGAGCTGGCAAGAACAATCACTCATACAATGCCGATGCCCTGCCCCTGCCGTCGAAATGAGGCTGATTTTAGGAAGGGGGAGAATGACTTGCAGCGCCGGATGGCCAGGATGGCTGACGGCTCCTTTAGATGGCTTTTCCAGTGCATGGAATGGCTGGTCGCACAGGAGATTCCTTTCTTTTGTGAGCATGTTGGCGAGCTTGACGCTGCGCTTAAGAAGCTTTCCGAGCGTCGGTGGCTGGAGTCCTGTGAGCCGCGGGAACTCACGCTCACGCCTTCGGAAAGGGACTGCCTCAAGGCGATCTTCGTTGATATGGAGGAGTCGCAACGTGAATCGCGATACTTTTGACGGTCTTGCCTCGTTGGAAGGCTAGAGCTTTTCAGTTTTCAGGGATAAATATACTATACCAATAGACTTCGCTTCGGAAATTATATGCACTGTGATTGATACCGACCTGGAGTGGGTTTTCCTTTCTCTGGTTTGCACTCTTTGTTGTTTATCGCTTTGTCTTTTCCTCCTACGTCGTCGTGTATATGTAAGTAGGTGTATCGGTGGGATTGACCTCTGGGAGCGACTGCAGATCCATTTGGTGTACTGTACAGCGATTGGTATTAACGGTATATGTTTATGGAAACAGTGGCGCAGAGGAAACATGTCTCGTTTGAGAATCACGCCCCGGCGCTCGCTCGCTTGCTTGGGTTCTTGTCCGGGATTGATTCGGTCAGACTTACAGCGTATAAGGAAAGCCAAGGGCAGATCATGCAGGGGAAACGGTCGTCTCGACTACCGTAGGCAGGTCGACCAAAAAGCTCCGTGTGGCCGAGATGGCCTTAGCCGATACAGGCCGAGACTGCGCCGGTGGAGATTGCTCTGGGTTAAGTTCGGGGCGTGCGGCGGGGCGGAGATCCGTTGGGAATTGATGGTATTCGTATCTCTGTCGGTGTGCTGTAGACTTAGGGGTTGGCTGGGTTTGAAATAGTTGAGGGTGAAGGGGTGATGCTTGTACTATAGACTGTTTAGATTGAAAGTACTGAATGGGATATTATCGTGTCGTGTTATGTTGTGTTGAAGTGTAGAGTATTTGAGGTTAAGAAGGAAGGAAAGGAGGAAGCAACGGGCCGAGAAAACTCCGAAGTGACTGACGTCAACGACCAGTCATGGACTGAAATAATCAACTATCAGTTATTCGCAAACATCGCTCGGGATTGACTGGCCATCGTGCAGCTGCCTCCTTCTTGATTTCTACTTATTTAACGTCCTTCCTCTCTGCCTCCCCGCAATTGACACTGTCGGATGGTTGACCGATGGGTGTGCGAAGAGCTGGATGGAGCTGTCCACTGTCCAACTGATAACCGCCGCGATAAACGTCGATCGATCGATAGCTGTTTGCAGCTGAGCAGTCCGGAGTAATTTACATCCCCCCCCCCCTGGGTGGGAAATGTGGGAATGCCATATTTTGGGGAAATGTTCATCATTGCGGGGAATTGGGGTTCAATTGGCCATTAGTCCTGTTGTAGTAGTAGTAATAGTAGTAGAATAAAATGTCGAGCAAGATGACCGACTCCGTATCGCCGAATGAACCGGGGCAGTGGAACGTGGCGGCCGAGTTTCCCTCTCTTCCTCCTCCCCCCGTCCGTATTTCTATCCCACTTCTCCCTCGTTCAATTCCTCTCTTCTTCTCTCCTTCTCTCAACTTTCCCTCTTTTCCTTTCTTTCTTTTCTCTCCCCTCTTTGTGTCACATCTCCCTCCCTGCTCAATTGTCCTCTCTCTACCCTCTCCCCTCCCTCGCTCCCTCCACCCGCTTTCACAATGGCTGCATCTGCCCTTCTGAAAAGCCGGGTTCGCCGGCCCTCGTACCTCAACAAGCTGGCCAAGGCCGAGGACTTGATCGACCTCTTCCCCCATGGATCGTACATCGGCTGGTCCGGATTCACGGGTGTTGGATATCCGAAGTACGACCCCCTCTTACTTTTGAGGAGAGTGAGCATGCTAATCGCGGGCACGACAGGAAAGTCCCCACGGCGCTGGCCGACCACGTCGAGAAGAACAACCTGCAGGGCAAGCTGAAGTACAGCCTGTTCGTGGGCGCGTCGTCGGGCGCCGAGACCGAGAACCGCTGGGCCCGGCTGAACATGATCGAGCGCCGCAGTCCGCACCAGGTCGGCAAGGAGATTGCCCGCGGCATCAACACGGGCGACATCAAGTTCTTCGATAAGCATTTGAGCATGTTTCCCTCGGATTTGGTTTATGTACGTTCTCTTCTGGTGGTGACGGGGTGGGGGCTCGATGCTAATTTAGTTAGGGCTGGTATACGCTGAACAAGCCGAAGAACCGACTGGACGTGGCAGTCATCGAGGCGTCGGCGATCACAGAAGACGGCGGTATCATCCCCGGTGCGTCGGTAGGCGCATCGCCCGAATTCGTGCAGATGGCGGACAAGATCATCATCGAGGTGAACACGGCGAGCCCGTCGTTCGAGGGTCTGCACGACATCGTGATGTCGGATAAGCCCCCATTGCGCAAGCCGTACTTGATCATGCAGCCGGAGGACCGCATCGGCACGCCGCACATCCCCGTCGACCCCGAGAAGGTGGTTGCCATCGTCGAATCCGACTACCCGGACCAGACGCAGCCCAACGCGCCCGAGGACGCCGGCTCGCAGGCCATCGCCAGCAACCTGATCGAGTTCCTCAAGCACGAGGTGCGCCACGGCCGCCTGCCGCAGAACCTGCTGCCCATCCAGTCGGGCATTGGCAACATCGCCAACGCGGTCATCGGCGGGCTCAGCAAGGGCGGCGCCGACTTCACCAACCTCAAGGTGTGGACCGAGGTCCTGCAGGACTCGTTCCTCGACCTCTTCGACAGCGGCAACCTGGACTTCGCCACTGCCACCTCCATCCGCTTCTCGCCCGACGGCTTCAAGCGCTTCTACGACAACTGGGAGCGCTACGCCGGCAAGCTGCTCCTCCGCCCGCAGCAGGTCAGCAACTCGCCCGAGATCATCCGCCGCCTGGGCTGCATCGGCATGAACACCCCCGTCGAGGTCGACATCTACGCCCACGCCAACAGCACCTGCGTCATGGGCTCGCGCATGCTCAACGGCCTCGGCGGTTCCGCCGACTTCCTGCGTTCCAGCAAGTACAGCATCATGCACACGCCCAGTACCCGTCCCAGCAAGATCGACCCCACCGGTGTCAGCTGCATCGTGCCGTTCTGTACGCACATCGATCAGACCGAGCACGATCTCGATGTCGTCGTCACTGAGCAGGTGAGCTTACCCCTCCACACCTCCCCTATCAAATCCCAATCCAAAACCCAGCACACGTTCATGGGGGGTATCCCCCCAAACCCCCCGTCAGCTTCCTGGCATATACGTTCATGGGGGGAGAACCCCCCACCCCCCCTTTCTTCCAGCTTCCCAGAACAGCACCCACCCCCCCCCCCCCAACCCCCACCCCAAACTCCTTAAATGCAGTGAATACTAACAAGAATAGGGCCTCGCCGACGTCCGCGGCCTCTCCCCCCGCGAACGCGCCCGCGTCATCATCGACAAATGCTCCCACCCAGACTACAAGCCCATCCTCACCGACTACCTCGACCGCGCCGAGTTCGAGTGCCTCAAGAAGGGCATGGCCCACGAGCCCCACCTCCTCTTCCAGGCCTTCAAGATGCACCAGAACCTCCAGGAGAAGGGCACCATGAAGATCGATTCTTGGGAATAGTTCCCTTACCTTCGGGCTGTTGAGTGGGGGTTGCATGGGATAAATATATCTGTGTGATCTAGGGTGGATGGATAGCATGGATGGATGGATGATACAATAAATAAATACAATACATACCTTAATCTATCATTTGTTCAATTCTGTTCTTCTTTTTCTTTTGTGGTATTGACTTAAGAGTGTATGAACAGGTGAGTGTTGTGTGTAGATTAGACATCAATGGACGGACCCTAATTGAGTGGTGCACTCTATACATACATGCTCATGCTATCCAACCAAAAGTTATAGCGTGACAACGGTGATAAGGGTGTATGTACAGTACCTACCTACATAGTCCAAGCAGGGTAGATATTATTCATATCGTGGTAGTGGTTAGTATTGATTACTTCTGCGGTAGTCAACACTGACTCTACAACTATTCTGTGTCTCGGATATACGGTAGATAAATACTACATAGACGAGGTTCGGTTCTCCGTCTCTTTTCCAAGCTGGATGAATAGATAGTGGGGTAGGGTGCAGGCTCACTCCTTCGATACACATAATAGATAAAATACAGTGGTTAGATTCATTTCGGAATACAATAATATAACTTACTAGTAAATAGCACTTTAAGATACATACACACACGCTAACACAAGCACACAAAGCTAAACCATTAACTAAACAACCTCGTAACTCATCACTTGAATCAAGGCCCAAAAAGATTATAATTACACTGTCGATGCACTCGGTTGTTCGTGATCTGAACTGCCTGGAGGTAGGCAGCGAGCGAGCGAGTGGCAGGAAAGTATAGTATATCCAAGAAGAACGAAGACCTCCTGCTATTACCCTCCTCCTTCAAGGTGTACACTGCAAACAAACGACCGCAAACTAATTACTCTGGTAGGGATTGTGGTGGTGGTGGTAGGGTGCGAAGCCGGGGGATGGTTGGGCCCAGCCTGTTTGAGTCTGCATCTGCATGCGGAGGCGGCGATCTGGATTTATGGATCATGGTTAGTACATTGATTGAATGGAGGAGGGGAGGGTTTGAATTGGTGAGGATTTGCTGGGAAGCTGAAAGGGGGGGTTTGGGGGGTTCTCCCCCCATGAACGTATATGCCAGGAAGCTGACGGGGAGTTTGGGGGGATACCCCCCATAACGCTATTCTCTGGGAATTGAAGGGAGTTTGCTGGGAAGCTGAAAGAAAGGGGGGGGTTTGGGGGGTTCTCCCCCCATAACGTTATAAGGGAAACCTCCGGGGAAAAACGCACCTTTCTCGAAATCCCGCCATCGTTTCATCGTAATCTGGCTGCTGTCGAACTCGCCCTCGCCGGCCTCGTGCCCCTTGTCCTTGCCGCCGGCCGTCTGCCGGGTGTCGCCCCAGCTGAAGTCGTCGAACTTCCAGTACGAGTACGTCGGCAGCACGAAGTTCCACACCGGCAGCGACAGCAGATAGATCAACATCCACAGGACATAGACCATGCGGTGCGCAGTCACGACCACCAGCACGCCGGGCAGACCCAGGATCAACGCTAGCAGGACCAGGGGCAGGACCTGCACGGGCCGGTGGATGATCGAGTTGATCACCACGTAGAACGTGAAGGCGATAGCGGCGGGCAGCACGAGCGTGCCCACCAGCTCGATGAAGATGACGAACTGCATGCTGAAGCAGAACGTACCACACAGATCGCGCACCAGCACCAGCTCCATCAGGTTGTGCACCGTACTGTTGATCCAGCGGCGCCGCTGCGACAGCAGCACCATGAACTTGTCCGGCACCTGCGTCTTGCAGACTGCCTGCGGCACGAAGATCTGCTTGCGCTTGGGGAAGGTGCGGAGCATCAGCGTCGACAGGTACCGATCCTCGCCCAGCAGTAACAGATTCTTCTTGTGCAGCGTGTCCACCACGTTCTCCGAGTAGTGCTCGACCACGTCCGGGTTGGCCAGGATCGGCACCCAGTAGTTCTGCCCGCCCTTGGGCGCTTTGATGCGATACATCGAGAAACACCCCGGGAGACAGGTCACACCGCCGAAGACTGACTCGAACGACTTGGCCTGGTGGTGAGACACAAAATATCTACGCGGTTCGTTAGCATTACCAACCCAAATGGACGCAAAACGAGAAAACATACTCGAAGACTTGGATCATCGTTACCCAACTGTCGGTTTTGTTGGCGATCTTCGTCTCACCACACAGCCCCATAACATCCGGGTCTTTGACCATGGCCGAGATCATGTGCGTCAGACTGTCCGGGAAGACCTTGGTGTCTGCATCAACACAAAGCAGAACCTCGTAGAAATCCGGCGGGATCCCGGTGACAAGCCACAAGCCGTTGAACATTTCAAACTCCAGCTCCGTCATCCGTTCGTCGAACATCACCTTCTGCAGGAAAGACATCAGGATGATCTGACTATCTCGCTTGCCACGATTGCCCGGCTTGGACTGGTTGGCTTCGGCCGGCGTCCCGGACTTCACGACGATCATCATGGGCACGCGCTGCTGCTTCTCCTCGGGAATGACCGAGTTGGCACCGTAATCGTAGAACCCAGCGTACACCTTGGCCATGTTGTGGCGCTTGGATCCAGTGGCCACCGCAACGTAGGAGAAAGGCTGAACCTCGTCCATCGGCGTGATCGGATCCCGCATCATGCGCAGAACGATCTCCGGCGTCGAAAACTCCTCTCCTTTACCCTTGATGATACCGTCGCAGATCACAATGATGGTCTTGTGGCTGTTCGGATAGTCGGTCATGGCAATGGAGTCCAGCGTCGAGCGGATACCTTCTTCACCTTCAGAGTAACAAGTCACCAAGCATAGAGCATGGGCCAAGGGGAAGCCGTACGGCTGCCACTCTGGAGGCGGTTGAGGAATGACCGCTTCATGAACGAAGCCGCCCAGCCCGGGAGCCTCTGACTCCAGCATCGTAGTCGAGTAGCGCGAGTCCTGTAGGGCCAAGCTGGACCGGCTCGCTGAATTGGCATGGCGCGAGCCATCCGCCGCCAGACTGCCCCCGCTGTCGTTGTAATTCTGCCGGTACACGGAGTTGCTGCCACCGGGCACCAGGCGGGTGGTCGAGTTTTGACTGGCCATCGTCACATACTGGTATTTCTGCTTGCCACCGTTACTCACGGTGTAGGGACTAGAAAAGCGAGACGTGGTAGGGAGGAAGCTGGCCCTCTTACCGGGCCGCTCCAACATACCGTGATCTGCGATTCGGGGTCCGGGGCGATAGATGTCGTTCGACCAGTCCTCGATTTGCTGATTGCGCGTTTTAGAATCCGTCCCCATGCTGGTTCTAGCGGGGGCGTACTGCTTGGCCAAGAACCACTGGAATAACAGTGCAAAGATGAACTTCACCACGACGATCGAGAGGATGAAGATCAGCGACACGTAGAGCACGACCTTGGAAGCGATACAGCCAACGGTGTCGGTGTCGATACTGCCAACCTTGATGATTTGGGACAAGCACTTGCCAATCTTCTTCTCGTCGCCAGTCTGCAGGTAGTAGGTGAGGTCGACCCCACGCACGGCCGAGTTCTCACGAAGCTCATCGAACTTGCTGGGATACTTGACCTGAGAGGTGTCAAACCACCGCAGAAGGTCGAGATCCAGGACATTGCCCGAGTACACGGCGAGATTCCGGCTCTTGTTCTTGGTGTCCTCCCACGTATAGTACACGTCCCCGGAGCTTTTCAGGTTGTAGAACGACTTGCGAGCCGAACCCGAGGTGTGACAAGCCCATCCAAGGTAGTAAGGCTCGGTCATATTCGGCTCGGATGAACCGTCCTGATTGAACGGCTGGCATGGGAAGTACCACGCGAGATCCCCATCCGAGTTTGTAGGCACATCAGATCCGTCGGCAAGAGTGATGAGACCCTTGCAGTCGCCATTGACTTCCTGGAAGAAGAAGCTGCCGTCCTGGCCTCCGTATTTGTGCGGCAGGTCCCAAAGCACGTTGGTCCCCGCGGGAATGCCCGCGGCGGCTGGGTGTGTCGAGTGCGACAGGTCGTAGGCTTGCCCGTGGAAGATCATGTAGCTGCCACTGACTTCATTGACCCTCAGCCGAGTGGGAGGAGTGCCGCAAACGGTGGCCGTGAAGCCGAACGTCAGGAAGCCGACGAACGCACCAATCAGCAGAATGATACTGATCAGCCCAATCTTCTCCCGCCAGGCGCTGCGTTGAGCCTTCTGCGGCATGCCAAAACACCTGAGGATAAAATCGGGGGCCCAGAAGGTGATCACGGCGCAATAGGTGGTCCACGGACTGGGTGGACGGACCTGCTCCAGTGCCTTCTGGCGTTCCCTTTCTGCTGCAGCGGCCCGCTTCTTGATTCTGCGTGATGATCTCCTCTTCTTGATCCGGCGTTTCTTCGGAACCCGTTCCATGGGCTGATTGACATTTCCCTGAGTGACGTACACGCCGGTTTTCCCTTTGGACTCCGAGCTCCGCGAGCTGTTGGTGTCTAGTTCCCGCTCGAGACCCATCATGGGCTCATCCCCGGTCTGGGAAGGGTAGGTCGGCATATTCTGCGATTTCTGGCGATAATGATAATGGGGATGGCTCTGGTCGACTCGAGTGCGTTCCGGTTTCACAAAACTCTTTCGATTTCTCGATTCTCCCCCCAGATCTCCCCTCTCCACATCTGCGTCGCTACGTCGTCTCGAGCTGCGTGAGCGATGGTGCCGGTGGTGGCGATGTCCCGACGGGGAACTGTCGTCGTGATCATAATGGCCGGTCGTGTCGTGGGTACGATGTCGCCTGCGGGAAGATTCGCGATACGAGTCGAATGTATCTTCTCGTCGCGGGGACGCCTTCCCCGGACGTTGAGGTAAGGACATGGCCCTTGTGCCTAATTCTCGATCCACGTCAGTGATCTGGCATTCGGCGCAAAGGCGGGTAAAATTTCCTGGGAGGATGCGAATGGAGTAGATCGATCATGTCCAGATTGTGCGGTTTGCATGTGAAGTGCGGGAATCTGGGGGGCGCGGATCCAAGATAGCGTTGGGAAAGTCTACACCCACCTTCACCTCAGCATAAGCAAAGCTGCGAGTCTGGCGTTTCCAGAAAGTGATGCGATCTGATTGAGTTCTTCGTAGACAGAAAAGGATGCAGGCGATGCAAGCGCAGGACCGGACAGGACAGGCTACAGCTGCTGGTAGCTCCGGGGTTGGCGCTGCGAAATACTCCGTCGACAAGCCAGTTAACGAATGTGGAGCAAGGACGGAGAAATCCAAGATCAAAAGCGAGCGCAGGGTCGACAGGTGGATTTTTAGCTGCCAAGAAACGACCGACTGATTCCGACCAGACCAGCGCGACGGTTGAGCAAAGCGCACTGGATGAAGAGCGAGCAGGCAGTGGGAAGGAGAAGGGGAGATGGCGAAACCACGGCGCGCAAAGCGTTAGTGCGGAGTAACCAGCAACTGGAGGGCTGGAAAGAGTCTAGAGGAGCGGTAGTCCCTGTAGGCTAGAGAGAATTCGGGAACCCAAGATTGTCATTCCAAAGGTACCGCCCGTATTCCAATAATAATACGCCGGTCGTTCCCACGTTGCGCCCCTCAAGATCACGGGGTCCGTTCTTCTTATCGTTGCCAAGCCAGTCGGGTCGGGTCCATCCGATTTGAGATCAGAAGGTGAGAAGCCGAGAAAGAATGCTGGGGAAGTGTCCGATAGCGATGACAGATGATGGGGAGGAATGTGGACAGAAAGGGAGAGAAGGGGGAGAGATAAGCGTGAAGGCGAGGTGAAAGATGAAAGATGACCATAGACATTTTCTGGCCGCAGATGATGATGAATCGCAGGTACACAAATAGCGGGTGAATGTTGGATGTGCTGCGGGTGGTCGCTAGGGGCAATCGGAGGCCGGCCAGATCCAATGGATGGCCTGAGGTGTGCCCCGCTAACAATAGTCAGCCCGGCCAGCAAATCTTACTTGCGTGGGAGGTGGAAATTGCTGGGAGCATGTGCAGTTTGATTTGGTGGAAGAACATATTGCTGGAAATGATGACTAGTCTCACTATCAGAATTTTCCATATCCGAGACACTCAGGCAAAGAGAGAGGGAATGGTGGTTCTGTTGAAGAAGAACAGGGAAGAATGGATGGAGTGAAGCAGTGAAGCAGTGAAGCAGACCTGCAGAGGAAGCAGACCTGATTGGGTTCTGTGCTCCGGCCGGGTTGATCACCGGGCCTGATCGGGTTTAGCGGGTCTCAGATGGATGTCCGCCCCCCTCGTTTATCCTCCATTACATAATCCTTCATTGGAATTGAGGTCGTTATTCATTCATTTCCTGTGCTTCAGTGATCATCGCTTGATCGACCATCAAGACATCAAGACCTCCAGGACCAGAATTATTGACCATCGTCCAGTGACTGCGAACCACTACTCACCAAGGTGTCAACCTCAGTCAACCTGCAGATACGATCGATGACACATTGTCTCAGCAGTACTCCGGACCGTACATAACGACCCGACCACATGCAGTGTTCTATTTTTGAGCGCAAATCGGGTGGACTGGTTGCCACACCCGAACCGCAGGGTCCAGTGACTCTCTGGTTTTTTTCTGGCCTGGTTACAACATCACAACGTCTTGCAGTGTAAAAAATAGTCTCATCGTACCCGGTTACACCTGATAGGTCATACAGTTGCTCACCGTTTGCGAGGACCGGTCAGGGAAGCACTCAAAGTGGTTGCCTGGCTATAAGCAGCAAAGAAAGAGAAATGAGCCTGTCATCTGTGTGGTCTGTGCGCCAAGTGGTAATCTATCGATGGCTTCATTCATTGGGCTGACAGCCAGCTTGACTATAGTAAGTAGTCTTTTGATTAGGAGGAGAGAGTGAGGGTGAACCGTCTAGCAGACGCCAGGGTGAGAAAAGGTTAGAAAATTCTTGATTGCCTGATATTCTCTGGGCATCTCATGGGGCGTCTCGTACTGCCGTACAATCCGCAGCGACAAGGATACCTCCCAGTAGAATCTAAACTTGAATGCTAAGGGTGGATCCCGTCATTATACTTCCTTTCAACGACCTCCCCCCCGCCGACCAAATCTTCTACTGTAGGCGTGATCACCTAAGCGTCGCATCGGATGGACCCTGATCTTCAACGATAGGCCTGCAGCTCGGGGTTCGGCCCTGTACTGGGATCCAGCACCCGGCAACCCGACCAGCTACGCATGAGGGTTGGTTATCAGCTGTTTATCTGGATTGACCCTATAGTCGATTGAGTTATGATGTCAACTCGACTGGCATCCTTAAATCGACGACCTCGCACCTGCAGACTGTTGCCGCCTGGGAACTTGTCTGAACGATGAGGAAATACGATGAGGCTCTCTCTTCGATCTCCCGACTATTTGTGCGCTATCGAGATGTCGACTTTAGCCTGCGCATCAGTCGCCACACCGCTTTGTGTGTACTGCGGATCGAAGCTCCTGTCCACCACATGAGTATTCTGCGAGTCTGCTGCTCGATATAATCTGAATCGCATGAATATTGCTTCAGGATGAACCGTGCACCATCGTTTCGAGGATCACCCGACGTGCCATCGCCGAGGGGTTATACGGATTGCAAGGACACACCAAGGTGGTGTTATCGAGAAGGCACTCCGTCATATTGACACCGTCAGCTTTGATGAGTGGACGAGTCAACCAACGATACGAGACTCGCAAAAGTATAGCAGCCACCAAACGCTTGCGGTTGACCATACAGGGAATGGGTGTTGATCGCCCTTGGTAGCATCTGAACCAGCCCAGGAACGGAGCCGCTTAGTCGCAACAAGCTATTCTGCTAAATTTTGATACGTCCTGTTGATAGCACAGCTCTAACCGATGACACACATGTCGTCACTCTGCTGCGGGGGACACCCGAAGCCATGGTTCTACGACTTGAATTTTGCCTCGATGCGATCCAATAGAATCTGTGTCGACGGTCATGTCTGTCAGCGGCCGGCGAACGGGAATTCAATACGGAAGTACAAGGTCACGCTGCGCACACCAGTCAGCGTCCATCCCACGGTCGAGCCGACGGGATCGTCAGGGTCCTGAGACCCTGCTGACGATACTCGTCGCGAGTAGCTACCGTTAGCGACAGAATGGACGTGTAGCCTAGCGCTGAGCTGCAGTAGCGAATCCAGACTGACATCTTACGGTCCAGGGACTGAAGTGGCTAAAGACACCGTCACCAACAATGCGATGCAAACCGGACTTGATGAAAGGCTGGAAACACTTGAGATCTTCATCTCCGGATCCATCTTCATCTCCGGATCCTTTACAATCCCGGTCCCCGTGGGGAAAGGGAGGTGGTTATTGGCACTCTTGGCAAGAAAGCGGTGATAGGCTGTAATCCGGTGGTCCAAATCTCGACCATTTTGAGAGGTGATAATAGTTGCTGACGTGGTGGTTCTTATTGAAGCCGCAAGCTGCTCGGCAGGAATCCAGGCTCGTGCAAATGTCAGGATATGGCAGCACCGGCTTGTCAGGTGAGGCAGCGAAGGCGGTTGTCTCATTCGCCTGCGTGCCAGATTGAACCGCAATAAAGAAGCGTGGATGACGCGAGTTATATCACCAGGCGAAAAGCATAGTCAAATCGGTTGAACCGCAGCTAAGCCAGATGTAAGATGGGGAGGAATGGTCGGGCGCATGGAAGTGGAAGAGGAAAGAAAGTGTTGAAACCTACATACATACCTGGAGCGTGCAGCAGCTCGTAATCTTTCCAACGCCTCTCCGGGGCTATTTTTAATCCGAGCCACTAAAGCCAGTTGACGAACTACTGACTAAACTTAGAGAGGCTTAGACCAGTTGAAGAGGGGCCGGCGGGAGAAAAGAAAAACACTGTAAGTGTAAGTTGGTTGGTGGTTGCGTACCGGTACTTAGTGACTGACTGACTTCCTACTCCAAAATAATACATCCAAGACACCCTAACTTACTGACTACTAACTGACTAGTCTCTCTTTCTCCTGGTGGTCCGTCCTTTCTCGCCATTTCTGTTCTTTCTCCCATCACCGCCCCAAAAGTCACTCACATTTCCTTCCCCCTCCTCCTTCTGGCGGTGTCACTTTCGTTTCTCTGTGTCTCCCATTCCCAGACTTTCGTTGGGTCTCTGCTGAACTGCCTTTCGTTCTGTACCGGGCGGGATGAACTCTCGGAACCACCGATCGTCACCACGGTTTACTCAACACATTTGACAAGGTAAGCCTGTCTGTCTATCTTGGTGGACCCCCCGATTTTCCTCTCATTGACCCATCGTCTCCAGATTCTCCACATCTCTCAGTCCCTGGTCTCCTGATAACCGGTGCACATCCCAACTCTCGTTGTCCTCGCACCTATCAGTCGTTTCCAGATTTCTATCCTCGACTTGCCTTGACATCTGCCATAACCGCCTAAATGTCCAATGCATAGACTCCTTACCACCCTGTAACACTTGGGTCCAGCCAGGTTTCAGAATCACATATCCAGCTTGATAACGCGAAGACATCCACTCGGAGGATTACGTACACCCCAATTGCGAGGAGCTGGTCCAATGGCAAGCGCTGAGGCCAGCAGATATCCTCAACCGCTGCCTTCCCCTCCCCCCGTCTATCTCCGCTCGTCCCCTTCCATTCTCTCCTCGCGACACGAAACTCCCCGGCGACTTAGCTCGCATCACCAGTTGAATATGGTTTCAGCGCGCGAACCATCTCCCGCGTCTCAATCGCCACCGATCGATGAAGGAACGCACCCGCCCGTGCCTGTGCCTCGGGTGCGGATCCATGGAGAGGGAGACCAGCCCGTCCAGAACTTCCACGACGACGAATACACTTTGTCACTTACGGGCGCTGCGTTTTCCGACTTGGCGCTTACCGAAAAATCCCCGACGCACGGGAAAGAGGCGGATAATGCGTCGCCACGTGAGGGGGAATTATATCGAGCTCCGCGGATCCCGGAGCCGATAGCCTACGGACACACGCCCACGAGTAGCGGCTCGTGGTCCGTGGTCGACCCCAGCTCCAAAGAACAGCCCGACAGCCTGGTGAATACCAGCTCATCCTCCTTGGATCAAGCAGCCCCGAAGGAGAGTCAGAATGACTCGTCGCGGGAAAGTCTAGACAGCGTCGCTGAGACACCCGAGGTGTATGAGCCCTTACACTATCACCATCGACCCTACGAGGTCCCTTCACAGCCTGCAGCGACCGGGTCGGGGGAGAATGTCTCGGGGACGAATGGCTATTTGAGTGCCAGACCCCGACCACGATCGACGTACTCGTTTACTTCCAGCGTGGGCGAAGGCCGTCACCGGTCTCCGCATCTGTCCCCCTATCTCCAGGGGCGATCATCGTCGAGAGAGTCCGTTTCCTCACCCGACGTTCGGCCGTTGTCGTTTGTCGATCAACTCAATAGCCACTATCCCCAACCTGGTCCGGCCCCTGTGCAATTCGGAAACTCCCAGCTCCAGTCGTCGGTCGGAAATAACGCTTCGCTGCTAAGCCACAAGCAAACTTTTGACATGTACTTGGCCAATGTCAAGAAAACGGACAACCCTGCCGTGCAGTATGAGTTTGCGCTGTTTATGGTCAATGCTGCGCTGGATATGCCGCCAGACGGGCCTGGTGGCGATGCATCTGCCGTGTACGGGCAGAAGGCCTCGGAGATCACTCGGGCTGGACTGCTGAAAGAGGCGAAGTCGATCCTGCAGCGGCTGTCCGATCGCAGCTATCCATTTGCGCAATACTATGTTGCGGACGGCTACGCGTCCGGGTTGTTCAGCAAGGGCAAGGAGGACTACGATCGAGCGTTTCCGCTGTTCGTGGCTGCCAGCAAGCACGGACATGTCGAGGCGTGCTATCGGGCGGCTCTGTGTTTCGAGTTTGGTTGGGGTACGCGGGTCGAGGCTGCTCGGGCGCAACAGTTCTACCGGCAGGCGGCATCCAAGAACCACCCGGGCGCCATGCTTCGGATGTCCAGGGCATGTCTCGCGGGCGACATGGGCCTCGGCAAGCGCTATCGCGAGGGGATCAAGTGGCTGAAGCGCGCGGCCGAATCTGCGGACGAGCAGTACAACTCGGGCCCCTATGAGTTGGGATTGTTGCATGAAACGGGATACGGCGATGATGTCTTTCCGGACCCTTCATATGCAGCTCAGTTGTTCACCAAGTCGGCGGATCTGGGCCATGTCGAGGCCAGCTACCGTTTAGGGGATGCATACGAACATGGCAAGCTGGATTGTCCGCGAGACCCGGCTCTGTCGATTCACTTCTACACGGGAGCCGCGCAAGGCGGCCACCCCTTGGCGATGATGGCTCTTTGTGCTTGGTATCTGATCGGGGCTGAGCCCGTCCTTGAGAAGGATGAAGAGGAGGCGTATGAGTGGGCCAAACGTGCCGCTGAAACGGGTGAGTTGGCTGTTCGAGTGTGGCCGACTAGGTGCTGACTGTTCTTGTTGTAGGGCTGGTAAAAGCTCAGTATGCGGTTGGCTATTTCACCGAGACGGGAATTGGCTGTCGACGCGATCCTTTGCAAGCCAATGTGTGGTATGTCAAGGCGGCGGAGCAGGGCGATGTGCGGGCCAAGAACCGGTTGGCCACCATCCGAGCGGCCGCCGATGGCGTCGCTCCGGGACAGGGCAATACGGACGGTGGACAGGGCAAGAAGTCGAGTCGGAAGTCAGGTATGTTATTGGATATTTCGACGATGCGACGCAGCCGAGACTGATTGCGACACAGAGGGGAAACCCAAACGGTTCAGCATTTTTTGATTTTGTGTCTGCACGACATTTTGGAGGACTTACATTTATTACACCATCTGCTTGACCGTTTAGCCTGGATTTGTATTGTGATTTTGGTTGAGACGTTCTTTATACCAGTGGGATTGGCATTTACATAGCACAGCCGTGGTTTTGGACCCCGTTGAATTAATGGACCTGTATATTTGATATGATGGTGTATGCATAATGTGGCGGCATTCGGACGGTTTGTGAGGCTGATGTTCGAGATATACGGCGAATTCACATGAAATGGCGACTTGAAAGAGCACATGAGAACATGTGAGCTGTAGTTAAGTATACACAAGCATGTGTCTGGTAGATCTGGGTATGATGATGGCTCCTGAGCCGTGACACAGGATGAGCTATCTGGTGTCGGCAGTGCGATCGACGGAGCGAGCATGAGTTAGAGTGTCCACGGTGGTAGCGATCATTTCCATGTTGGATACTGAAGTGATAGCTACTGTTCTGGAGTAATCAGTGGAGGGAAGATTAGATTGACATGCTGTAGACAAGCTATCGCTATATCAAGTCATTCCGGTGCCAGCAACCCGACCTCTTCGTGCTGTAAAACCGCAGGATGATGAGTGAGCGTGGCCGTGAAACCATCCCTCTGCAGCTGTAAGCGGCGTGGCTGGGCAACGCCCCTGATGACGATGATAAGTCGGGCTGTCACTCGCCGGCTGAGCCTGGGGGCAAAAAAAGCCCCTGCCGATCCACTTCCGTCCGCAGGGAATTCCCGCGCCGATCCCGCCGATTGTTGTTTCACGGGTTTGCCCTGTTGTTCGGCTACTTCTTACCGTACTTGTTCTACGAGTGCAGGAGGAGTACTCCGTAGTTTAATAGGTAAGTATGCAGTATAATCCTAATCCAACTTTTCAAAAATACACCCCGGTTCCTGCAGAATAGTTAGGCTACGTATCGTAGTGGCACAGCGACCACAAGTAATCCGCGACCGCGGGAAGTTTACATGTAAAATAAGGAGGACGGAGGACAGGGACGTGGGGGATCTGCCACAGCCTAGGGCCTAGTGAGTGAGCTCATAAGGGCAGAGCTTAGTTAATAACCCTTCGTGCCCTGTTTCCACCCAGCTCTCCTCTCCCTTCCCTTCCTTCATCCATCCCTAGACACACTTCTTCTTCCTTCTTACCTTCCGTCCTAGATTCCCTCCCACGTTGATCGATCTTACACCCCTACTTGGGATTAATTACTTGGTATGTGTCATGCCTGTCTACCTCCTGTCTACCTACACGTGAACCTTGATCCCGGTATCCGCTATCGGTTATCAGTGTGAGGATAAGTTCTAATGCTTTTGATTTAGCTAGGTACTCCTACCACCTCGCCTCGCCTTACCCTACCCTACCTTTCGATTTATTTTATTACGCTACGCGACACGACAAGAATCATGCGTTTCGTTACCGTCGTCGCGCTTCTCGCTTCTTTGGCTGTTGCTCGGCCCGCCGAGAACGGGATGTTTCATACGCAGATTTCGTGTATTGGGGTGAGTTTTTTTTTTGTTGTCTTGGGATTCTTGGGGAGGGTTGGTTGGTGGTCTCGTCAGATCAATATTCCATGCTCACCGCGATGGATATGTTTACGGGATGGACGCGCTCTGCACATAACCATCCACACCACACCCCAATCAGTCCACTCCGAAAAAGCTATACACGTACTGACGCGGCCAAAAGCTCAACGACAGAATGTGCATCTCCAACTCGACCAGCGGCATGGGCTGCTGCCCGCCCTTGACCTGCGGGGCTGATCATGTGAGTTCTTTGGTTTTATCGGCTTATTGGGTGTTGGGTGAGGCTGATGATGTGTTTAGCGTTGTCATTGATTGATTTGTTGCTTTGTGTGGTTGTGGGTGTTTACCTGGGTGGAATCATGGGTTTCGTTGTGTGGATTCGGGGTTGATCGATGGTTTAATCTGTGGATTGACAATGGGATTGTTGATGAATCGAGGGGTTATGGGAACAGACGGATGTAATACGAATGGACCTTGCTATGAATGAATATGAATTCATTATGAATGTGCGAGATCTGCTCTGTCTTGGGGCTGTGATTCGAGTTCTGGAGTCTTTACCTATCTTTGAGGTAGTGTACTGAGTACTGTACCTGAGATGTCAAGGTTGCTATTGGTATGGTACTACTGTGACCAATCTTATATCCAATCCACCCAACCAAAGATGACTACGACTACACTACACCCATAAGAAAAGATAAAATAAATCAATGAATTACCCAATAAACCTCCAACACCAAGCAAACAAACATAGACACATTAAGCTAAGCCAACCTCCCCATCTCATCCCATCCCATCCCCTCACATTCCAGCTCAAAGGAATCTGATCTACTCCGTCGGCGGCCGGTACGAACCCCCCGTAAACCTGTCATCATCAGCCCTGCACTGCATCAGACCCAAAGGAAAGAAAAGAAAAGAGAACTCACCGACTCCACAACAACCCAAACAACCCCGGCTGCGCATCAGCAGTACTCCGCTTGGCCCAGCCCGATTCAACATTGTAGCGTTTCGTGTCCTGCAGACCGGCGAAGAGGCCTCGGCCTGCTGTTGAGTGCTGTTCTCGTTGTTAGCACATTCACGGGGAGGAGGAATATATGATTTATGGTGAGGCGGGAGATTGAAGAAACGCACATGCTTAGGCCGATCCTTAACCCAGAGGTCTGCGCCGAAGTCGTTCTGTAGACGGGCTTTGGAGGTTGTGCTTGCCATTTCGATTTTTGGGTGGTTGATTGGCTGGGTGATGCAATTGAGGTTCTTGTTTGGATAAGTAATTATCTGGATAATGCTTCAAATCCCGGTGATGCTCTGCTCTGCTGTATTGCTTATGGATTCGGGATCTGGTGGCATGGTTTATATAGCCCAGCTCGATCGCTCTACTCTACGGTTATGGCCTATGACTCTATGCTGTATGTTGGGTTGGCTCATCTCGATGCTCCCTACTCGGAAGTTGCTTTCCCGATGGATGCGAACTGTGGTGAGGTGAGTGAGGTGAGTGAGGTGGTTCGATTTCGTGGCTAGGGTTCAATTGTCGACCGGGTGCGGTCTTCCGGGTGACCTTACTACCTCCCTCCTATCTACCTACGGAGTAGGTAGTAAGTATGGTGTGGTTGTTGGTGCTGAGTGAGGGTTCATCCGGGGTAATACATTCCCTGCTAGGGTTCATCACGAGGCTGATATCGATCCTTGCATGGTCCGACCGGTCGGGGCCGCGCGATGGGCCAATCGCGGGCCTGGAATTGGACATCATTCTGGTTGTTCTTCCGATGTATAAACCGGTGACTTATCACTCGTGGCGGTGGCTTGGACGGATTGGAATGCGTGGTCCATGTGGTTCGGGTTCGATTGGCGTGGCCGTGTGGCATGATCGGGCGACGGGCGACGGCGGCCGGATTGTTGGGCTTCATGGTGGTGAGATGTTTATGGTACGGTCGCGGTCGTACGATGCGTCCCGGCTGGCTGGTTCGGAGAGGTTCTGGTGGGTTCCGGGGGTGGTTGGAGGGTATATATCTGGGGTTGAGCTGTTTTGAGGGGGGTTTGGGCTGGGTGTTGGGTTTGTTGTTGTTGTTGTTGTTGTTGTTGTGTGGTGGTGGTGGTGATCGGGATGAGCGGTGATAGTGGGGATGGTCGTTCTGTTTCATCTTCGTATAGCCATCTCTACAATACTTCGAGTATGTCTACACATTACGTCCCTTCTACCTGACTGCGACTCTGTCGGTCAGTGTTGTCCGTCTCAAGGCGAGATTCCGTGCGATCAAAGTGATGCCTCAGGCAGGAACCTCGAAGCCGGTGCGAGTCTCATCCAACCCTGTCAGCTTGATTCCTGCGCCCCTTCCTGCGCCCATCTGTTGCGCCCCAATCGAGGGCAACGACACTGATAACTCCTCGGAAGTTAGCAGTATAGCTCGGACGCAGCGCCACTGAATCAGGGGTAAGCCGTAGACTGGGTGTCTCACTCCAGTGCCAAACTATTGATTTCGCGTATTGGCACACCACCGACAACCGCCCAACAGACTCAGGCCAAGCTCAATCAGGGGCACCTCGGTCCGCAGTGGAGGACCAGCACTGACCGGACTTGGTCCAGACCGGCTGTCCGGCTGGTGATCCAGGTAGCAAATGAACAGTGATCGTCCAGGACACGCGAGAAAAGAGTATGTGCATGAGTAGGTTGGCTTGGGCGTGGTGTTCTTCGTCCTGTCCGACGCTGTAGACTAAACACCGAGTACTGTACCCCGATGCTGATGCTGAGGCTGAGCTGCGGCGGACCGATCAAATGCATCCATTCTCCGGATTGTCTGGGGTAAGGGCCCAAGGCGGGCACCCTCCAAATTAAGGGCACGAGGAGGGGGGCGTGGGATTGGACTCGTCCTGGCGTCCATGAATGATGAATCATTGCATTAGTCCAGTAGTCCCTGGTGGCTTCGGTTGTTCGGCTGCTGGGTAACCTGTACCACCACTACCCGGGGCAGGCGTGCTGTCACCGTTGAAGAGGCGGCCATCTCTGCTCCACCGACACAAACCAAATGACCAGCAAGCGGTGGTGCCCGTGATGGTGATCGGCATCAGGTTTAAGCTGCCCTCCACGCTAGGTTCACCTGCATGGGACCGATCGCCGGCAGCGTGGGCTCTATTGACAATTATTGGTTGTGTGTTTGGGGAGAGTCAGCAGTAATTTCAGGGGGGGGGAGGGGGTCTCTCGGGCTTGGAGTTTAGCATTGGAGGATATGGTCTGGTCTATTCCTTTTCGTGTTCGTGTTGTCTGGGCAAATGATGCAGCAAGCACTTTGAATCGCTCACTCACGCATTCTCAACTGGAAACGCAGCGATGTTACTATTTCCCGGCCCTGCACTGACTGTGTCTTTGCCCATTTGCCTCTAATTTGGGCCAGGTGTTTCATCCAGTCTTGGAGTTGGTGGTGAGAACCTCCTGAAATCTCACAGCCCCTCTTGAACTCTCGGGTTGGCTATTCATTGGCCAGCTGGGTGGAGACACGGAAATTAAGGTGTAGATGTGTCCAATGGCTGCTCTCAGGGCTGAGCGGAAACCCGCTAAGAGCCCCATCTAGTTCCCCATCAGGCAAAGCGTCAACACACAAAAGTGGGGCGCAGACTTGCCTGTTCCTTGCAGCATCCCAGGAAATCTTCTAACTCTCCCGGTTTGATGCGCAAAAGACCAACATTCAAGTCGAAATGATCTCGAGATAGATCACTACTACTATAGCTTCCAGTAGCCAGGCCAGTTGAGTTCATCCTCTCGACTCTAACTTCGATAGAATCAGAGATCTCCTCAATATGTCGGAGGCGGGGTCGGTTGTTGCGGCATCTCGCCTTATACTTCGGTATTAGTCTCTATTGGAGGTAGGTTAGAGTTTTTGCATGTTCCACTTGATAACAGTGAACTTGATGCCTCAACAGCAGCCACTGGACTATCCTGCAGATGTCCACTGCAGGGCTGTTTGCGCTCTGGCGGATTGCCAAGTCGTGGAACAGCCCTGAACAGTCAGTCCTGGGCTGCTTGCCAGAGGCTGAAATGAACAAATGAACAACCAAAAGGGTTTCTAGATTCACACTTTTCACATTTGCCCCCACATCTCGTCTTCCTCCATCCTCCATCCGAGTCCATCGTGAAACCCGCCACCAATCATGGTCTGGTGGTGCCTGGCAGACTGACTGACTTCCAAGTTACACACCGCCCCCCTTTTGCACGCTCTGTCTTTCATTTCTCATCTTTGCTTTTTCCTCTTTCTGTCTTTTTTTGGGGCCGTTTTGGCCCAGAACCTGCGTTAATTCATGGTTAGTGCCCACTGCCAATCACCAGCCATCCCGTCTCCAGGGGCGCCACCGTCACTTCGCTTTCTTTTCTACCGCCCCCCATCGCCCTTTCATCTTTCTTACTTCTTCCCTCCTTCTCCTCCTCTTCTTCTTCTTTCTTTCTCCCTCCTACTTTCTCTCCTTCATCCCCTCGGGCCTGTCTCGATTTGTTTTTCTCCTTTCAAGGGTCGGACCTGACAATATACTAGAGGCCATCGTGCTTCTCTCCCGCCCTACACCTCTGACCACCGCTTCACTCTTTCAGCGGGCTTTCCTTGCGATAACCCCAATTCGGAACACTCCCACAACCACTACAGCCACTCTCCATCCATCCCTCCTTGCCAACCTTGCAAAATGAAGGGCGCTTTCCTTGCTACCGCTGCCGCTGCCCTCGCCGGTACGGCTCTGGCTAATGGCGCACACCGCCGCCATGCCCACGAGCCTTTCCACCAGCGCCGTGCTGTCCAGGCCGGTGCTTCCGACGACACCTGCAGCTGCTCCACCGAGGTCGTCACCGTCTGGGGAACTCCTACCCGTGAGTAATGACCATGAAAAAAAAAAAAAAGCTCAGAGGTGAGCCAGCCAACTAACAAGCCATCAGTGGTGCCTGTCTCTACTGCCACCGAGACCGTCGTCTCCGAGGTCGTCACCACCCTCCACTCGACCAGCTACACCACTGTGACCGTCGTTGCTACTCCTGGCGAGTCTGCCGGTACCGTCCCCGCTGGAGGATCCCCCGGTGAGGCTTCCGGCACCACCCCCGAGGGTGTCGCTGCCACTGGCGCAACGGGCGTGCCTGTCGTTCAGACCACCTCGACCCCCGCTGCGGCCGTGCCCACCTCCAGCGCTGTGGCGCTGCCCACCCCTGATGTCACCACCTTCGCTTCGACCGGTGTTTACACTATCCCTGCGTCCACCGTGACCGTCAGCGACACCACCAGCGTGGTCACCCCCGCTGTCACCACGCTGCCCAGCGGCACCCACACCATCGGTGGTGTGACCACCGTCGTCGAGACCTCGACCACCATCATCTGCCCCTATGCCACCGTCAAGCCCTCGGGTACCACCGTCACCAGCGTCATTGAGCACACCACCTACTACTGCCCCGCCGCTGGTACCTACACCATCGCCCCCACCACCACCTATGTCCCCTCCAGCACTGTCGTGACCTACCCCGCCGTGTCCACCGTCACCCCTGGTGTCTACTCGCACACCGCTGAGGTTGTCACCGTTACCGTCACTGACTACACCTACACCTGCCCCTTCAGCGGCACCACCAGCTCTGCTGTGGCCGTGACCACTCCCTCCGCTGCCGCTGCTACCACCACTGTCGTCCCTGCCACCACTGCCGCTCCCGCTACCTCCAGCGTGAAGGCCAGCACTGTCTCCAGCGCTGTTGCCAGCTCCTCCAGCGCCGCTGCCTCCACCGGTGTTAGCGCCTCCGGTCTGATGGGTATGACCTACACGCCTTACACCAACGACAACGGTTGCAAGAGCACGGCCACCATCACTGCCGACATCAAGACCATCGCCGAAAAGGGCTTCACCCACGTCCGTCTCTACTCCACTGACTGCAACACCCTCGAGACCATTGGCGACCTGGCTGAGCAGCTCGGCCTCAAGCTGATCCTCGGTATCTACATCTCCAACACCGGCACCTCGGGCGCCGAGAGCCAGGTCACCGCCATCACCAAGTGGGGCAAGTGGGAACTGGTCAGCCTGGTCGTCGTCGGTAACGAGGCGCTCTCCTCCGGATACACCGACATCAGCTCCTTGACCAGCTTCATCAGCTCGTGCAAGACCACCTTCGCCGCCGCCGGCTACACTGGCCAGATCACCACCACCGAGACCGTCAACATCTGGCAGCAGTACGGCGCCAGCCACCTCTGCAACGTCGTCGACATCATCGGCGCCAACATCCACCCCTTCTTCAACTCTGAGACCACCGCCGCCGAGGCCGGTAAGTTTGCCACCGCCGAGTTCGCTCTCCTGAAGACGGTCTGCTCCAACCTGGAGATCATCAACCTGGAGACCGGCTGGCCCAGCAAGGGTAACGCCAACGGCGTCGCCGTCCCCGGCGTCTCGGAGCAGGCCATCGCCATCAAGGGAATCCGTGAGGCCGTCGGCGGCACCTCGGTGTTCTTCTCGTACGCCAACGACCTGTGGAAGACCCCGGGCCAGTACGACGTGGAGCAGTACTGGGGCTGCATCGACCAGTTCTAGATAATTGGTAAAAGGAGAAGCTAGATATGTGTACAGTTATCAAAGGCCATCTGTTGATTTGAATCTGGCTTGGAGTTTTTTATTTATGTTCTACACATTTCGTGGGTTGGTGACGTTCCCATCGTTGCAAGGTGCGGGACATACGATCGGACTGTCAATATTTTTTTAGTACCTTTTCTTCGTTTCATACACTTGGACCATTTTGTAGTAGATATCATTTTCTTTTGCCGATTGACTTCTGATCAATGTGTCTACTCACCGTCTTCTTTCTCTGTTCAATTCCATTACGCTTTCACGATCATAGGTAGTACATATGACGTACTGATGGCGGTAATCAGATCCATGCCCCCACCACGCCCGTAAATGGCCACATTCCAAATTCGGTCTTAAACCACTGCGCCTCTGCCAGTCAGACATTCACCCAAATCATCCCAATCCAGACCAGCAAATAAACCCCCCGCAATTCCACCACACTCTTGAACCAGAGAGAAAGTAGCCGGGGGAGAACCCCCGGACCCCCCTTTCTTTCAGCTTCCTGGTATACTACAGTCCTAATACCAAATAAATACAAGTATGTACAGGGAAGAACCCCATCCCACTGTTTATTCCTTTACCGTTTGGATGAAGAGATGCTCTCCATCTATGGGTTGTATACTCCTGGTTTCAGGATGAGGTGGCCAGGAAGCTGAAAGGAAGGGGGGTCCGTGGTTCTTCCCTGTATATACTTGTATTTATCTGGTATTAGGAGTGAGGTAGCCAGGAAGCTGAAAGGAAGGGGGGTCCGGGGGTTCTCCCCCGGAAATCCTTTCCTCTGGTTTCTAGTTTAGGAGGGAGGCTAGTAGTGGACTGGACTGGCTTGGTGGGTGCATGTTTGGCAGTGGTGCTGGTGCTGGTCTACTGGTATATGGTGATTTAGGCATCAGTGGTTTGATTGATGTTATATGCTAGAATTAGAAACTACAGAACAGCCCATGCATGCAAGAAGAGCAACGCTTGGAATGAGTATAACCCAGAAAGACAGAACAGTACCAGAGATAATGAATATGCACTATGCAAGCCTGGACCCGATAACACAAAGGAAAGAAAAAACGAGCGAGATGATTTTCATGAAGTCGTCAAAATGGCCGATTGCGGCCGCCCTCCCTAGAAGGGTCCCCCCAGCATGCGCAGTCGCTCCCTTAAGGCTTCGACCTCCTCGTCGGAGGACTCTCCCTCCGGCTTTTTATCCTTCAAGGAGATAGATCGGTAGGGCCCATCTCCGCCTGGAGCGCCCACGGTGACCCAGACGAACTTGCTGCCGCTGCTGCCGGAGTGGACTCGCTCCTGGGAGCCCTCCCAGAAGATTTCAAGCGCGCTGAGACTGTCGGGCGAGGCGGGCCACCCTCCCAGCCGGCCCTGCTTGATCCACCCCTTCATGACGTCTTTGATGAAGATGATCTTCTGCAGGAATGAGTTCGCGTCTAGGACGTCGCGGATGCGCTCGTCCACCGTGCTGGCGACGTGACCATAGGCGAGTCCGAGGAACGTGGACACTTCGTCCGAGGCCACGGCTCGTGTGTCGAATCCAGACGGGTGCATCCGGCCTTTCGCGCTTAGGTACCGTGCAGCCGACGGGGAGAGGTGATAGAAGTCAACCCACGGCGACGAACTTCTCGTGCGGCCCGGGGAGATGACCAGTTTGGTGTGATCCGGGAAGTTGAACTATGGCATGGTCAATGGTCAATTCAAGATCCTGCGCGCTGACAATCAAAGTACTAACCTGGAATGCTCCGTCTCCGAATCCCCAGACACCCACATTGCCCAGTCGCTGGTAGAACTTGATGAATTGATCGGGGCTACCGGAGACCAACTCATCCTCGACGAGAGTCTCGTCGCCATGTCTCCCAAGCGATCCGATCATGTACTTTCCAAACTGGTCAACCAGCTTGACACGTTTGATCTTCTCTGCATCAGCACGCGCACAATCAATGCCTGAGTTGGTGCGGACTTTGATACCAGACCCCGACGAGCCACTGGAGGAACTCTTGACTTCGAACAATGAGGGCGGGATGAGAGCCTTTCGAATGCCACCGCGGCACTCCGTAAAGCTCGTGTCACAATTCTCATAGAATTCAACCGACTTCCCGTGTCGTGGAACCAGCTGATCAGCCTCCGGGTAGACGTAGCTCCCACCCTCTTGACTGTGGGCTTTGCGCCGGATGTGCCTTTCGCCGTCCCGCACCACCACGCCGCTCGCTTGCTGGCTGTGCTCCGCCTTGAATAGGCACCCAACACTGCCATCGTCCAGCACATACCCAATGCCGTATCGGTTAGTGTAGTCGACCCACTTGATCACATACGAATGGGGCGCTCGGCGCAGCCCGGCCCTTCTCCGAGCCGCCGAATGCGGTACCATGTTAGCTAGCATGTGCCGCAAGTCCGTATTCACATCTTCCAGTGATGTCCTTGGGAGAATCACACAGGGGTCATTTGAGTGGAAGAGCGGGTGGATTCCTAAAGTTGATCGTGGTTTGCTGCCAGACGAGGTACTCGCCTTGGTACTGGAACTGCTAGTCGACTGCGAGGACTGTGTATCGGACCGCACGAGATGTCGCTCTTTAGTCAACACTTCACCATACGGGTCCTTAGGTTCCGGCTCCTGTTTCGGTGCTTCTGGAGGCTCCGGTTTTGGTGCTGAGCGGAGTGAAGGCTGGCGTGCCTTCACAGGCTTTTTATCTATCCCAGTTGACGCAGATCGCTCTTTGACAGCCGGCACGGTTTGAGTGCTTTCTTGACTAGCAGCCTCCAGTCTACGAGACTGTGACCGCGTCTTGCCAATTGTCAGTATCCCGAGCTCATTGCTTGACACCGCTTGTGGTGGAATGTTGCGATCCAAGTCGCGCAGTGAGCCAGAATAAGATGCCGCCACCCCGCGCCGTGCGCGAATCGGGCGTTCAGCCAGTCCGCCTGTTGGAATGGCCGCTGCTGCAGCTGCAACATTAGAATCTGCGTTTCTTCCGTCGGACACAACCCTTGCGGCTGGGGCCACGGGATCGCAGATCGCGGGGATCTTCCTGACAGATCCTCTGCCAGTGGCAGCCTGCTGCCGAAGCGTCGCCGCGTGGCTCTGAGACTCTTTCCGTCGCTGCTGGGCGGCAGCCAGTGCCGCTTGTGTCCGGGTGATCGAAGCTGCGTTACTACGAATGGATCCACTGCTTTTCCTGGACAGCACACTGTCTTCGAATGAGGAACCATCTTTTCGAGCCAAGAGAGCAGATACCGGATCACTCCAGTCCCCGTCTGGAATGTTGGGATATTTGTATACAATATCCTCTGGCAACGGGATGACCGGCTGGAAGCCTCTTTCCTCCTCGATCAGACACTCCGCGTAAGCGGACTTCGAGCAGTTTCTGCCAGCGGCCTTGCGGGCAGAACCATCAGGCTTTCTGCCCACTCCACATAGCGTGTAGAATGCGGCCTTGCATATGGCATATCGCTGGCTGGGGTCGTCGACGTGTTCAATGTATCCGGAAAGTTTATCGTCGTACTCTAAGCTATAGCCCATCATCATGCGATCCCCACGAGGCTCATCCGGTTTCAGCCAGACAGGCCTGTTGAGACAGCTTCTCGGGTCTAGGCGCTTCGGTATGCAGCCTTCGTACATGCTGAAGAATGGGTGCTCGACCATGTCGTCTGGTTCCGGGCGCTCATCTTCCGACAAATTCAGACATGAGCTGACCAGGGACTTGGCTTCTTCGGGAATGTGATTGGCGCACTCAGAGCCCTTGGGCCACACATATGTCAGGTTTCTAACTTTTTTGTAAATCTCCTCTTGCGTTTTCGACTGGAATGGCGGGTAGCCTGTAAGCATAGCGAAGCTATACACACTTAGCCTGTGTTCCGTTCAATGTGGCGCGAGAATGCTTACCAAATGACACCTAAAGACCAGATGTCCACCTTTTGTGTGTGTCCGCCCTTGCTCCGATCAAGGACCTCCGGCGCAATATAGTTGGGTGTGCCGCATAGTGTTCTCCTCCGCTTCTCATCCTTTTCCGACACAATCATAGCCGCCAGGCCGAAATCGCCGACCTTGATATCCATGTTCTTGTCGAGGAAAAGGTTCCCCATCTTCAGGTCTCGATGCGCAACATTGCGCTTGTGCAGGTATTTCACCGCACCACAAAGCTGGATCATGAAGCGTCGGACCTCGGGTAAACTCAAGCATTTCCTCTTCCGGACCATATCCATCACCGACCCATTGGGGCACAATTCCAGGATGACATATATGCAGCTATCGAAGGCAAATGCGCGATGAAACTCGACGATGTGTGGGTGGCGCATTTTCGAGTGAATCTGGAGCTCTGTTCGGAACTGCGCGGAGCTATCAGTCCTCGTGCAAACACGAGCCATAGTATTGAGGGGAATACCTTCTCCTGCATCTTCTTCTGGGCCATTTCGGACCGTACTACTTTCATAGCGAAGACGCGGCCATTCCGCAGCAGCGTTCCCTCATAACAGATCGCAAAGCCTCCCTTCCCCAGGAACCCACCGGTCGAGTATTGCTCTCCATCCTCCTCGGGCTCAACGACTAACGACGGCGGTGGTGGCGCATGGTTCTTCGACGAGGATGCTTTCTGGGCGGCAGCGGCAGCGGCGGCATTCTTATCCAACACTTTGCGCTCCATCGACACCTTCGGTTTGATCACTTGGTTGGTGGATCGCGGTGACAGTGCCTCCATCATATTGCACTCGCAACACTTCGCGTCTTATAGTTGGGTATTAATGCTCGGGACCAGGGACAGACTGGCGTCGTGGGGCAAGTCGGGCGTAGCGCACATCAGATGGGACGGTACCGACAGGAAATGGCGACTGGAACAATAAGGGGTATAGTGAATCGACTGATGCCGGACTATCTACCTGCGGTAAGTATGATGATGCGATAAGATGATATGCGCGTTTGCCACTCAGCAGCTCCAAGGCCTTCCATCAATCAATGGACTTTGCAAGACCACGGCAGCAACACCGAGGATCAGAGCACGAGGGCACCAAGTCTGGGTCAGTGACAAGACATACCAGAAACCAATCAGAATCATGAAACAATGACGCTCAAAAACACAATGCCATGCATGTAACGCCGCACAACCCAAAGTGTTTTCGGGTTTCGAGGGAGGTGGGGGCGGCGGTTTTGCAGGTGTCCGGTAGGGATAAGTACTAAGAGAGACCAGGAGAAAGATCCCCGAGCGGCAGGCTGGGCTTGCCAAACGGATTGCCCGAAACGGCAATCGATAAACATTGATCCGACTGCCGCAACAACGCACATACATTGCTGACATCAGCAGGTATTGACCCGGTATGCACAAATTGCACATGCTTGTCGATGCCTGATAATCCAGTCCGATATCACTCACATATTGTGATTCACTGCGGACAGCCGCAATGCATCCAAGCCTCGAGACCGCACCTCATTGACACCCTGCATGGATTCTGTTCTCACCGATCCTTCTTGGTTATATACTACTGCTTGATTTCTCTCCCTCTTACCCCCGTCCACCATGTCCCTCACTCTTAAACTCTCCTCCCTCGTCATCCGCACACTGTCGAAGCCGATCGCCGTAAGCGACCCCCAACTGCCTTTTGCTTGCCCACCTCATCCAAGACAATACTGACAGCCTCGAAGAACCAGCTCAAAGCGCAGGCACGCGAACATGAACGGTTCCGCCGGATCTGCGTCTCGATGGCGCAAGGGCTCCACCGCATCGACATGCGCCTCCGCCTAGGCACCCTGCGCGACAACGCGGCATCCCAGAAACGGGCGGCGGCCGAAGCAGAACTTCGCAAACTCAAACCCACCACCCCGACCGCCAAAACCGAGGCGGAGACCAAGGCCGAAGAGGCCGCCGTCGCCAAGGTCCAGGAGGCCGCCAAACCCGCACCCAAACCCCACATCCGACCGCTGTCGGAGTCGAAGGCCATCGAGTCCGGGGCGACGTTCATCAGCGAGACGTTCTTGTTTCTGGTGGCGGGTGGGTTGATTGTGTTCGAGTCGTGGAGGTCGCGACGGAAGGAGACCACGCGCCGAGAGGATGTGGAGAGTCGGCTGGCCGAGCTGGAGCAGACAGAGAAAGCTACGAGGGAGGCGTTGATCGCGCTGGAGAAGGAGCTGCTCCAGCTGAAGGCTAAGCACGGCGAGCTCCCCAAGTCTTCTAAGAGGATCCTGCCGCGCTGGGTGTGGGATGTGCCGGAGGAGGTTGCTCAGGAGGCTGAGGTGCCTGGGTTGCTGTCCCGGGTTGCGTCGTACTTCTCGCTCGGGGCGAGCGCAGAACAGCGAGCTGCAGCGGTGATCAATGAGAGTAGGAGTACGACTACGACTACGACAAGTGATGCGCAATCGCCTGCACCAGCGGCCACTCCAGCTGAGCGTGAATCGCATGCGACGGAACCGAAGAAGGCTTAGTGTTGGCTTGGTTGTCGGGGTGGCAGTGCTGTATATATGATGAGATAGAAGCTGTCTTAGAGATGATGGGAGAGTACATGGTTCGCTGGTCATTCTGGATACCCTTTGTATATTACGGCGTGGGAGAGAAGGCCCGGGACGTTGCGTTGGTTCCGGTTTTGGATATATAGAAGCGGGTGTGTTCCGCATAGATTTAATCAACTCCTCTCTAATGCAATACGCAGTACTCAATGATGTATGATATCTACAGCCTCCTCTCACAATGGAGAATCACACAATTCAAGGGACATTCAACTCATCTCTTCGTGGAAAGCCTGTATGGCAAGTCATAGGACCAATTCTGACGACATCCAAGGCTATGAAAGGTCCGCTCCTCCGAGCACCGACGACTAGCAGTTGATTGACATTGGGAGTAGAGTCCACTTTGCATGATATCGACTTCAGCTTCCTATTGCCACATGCTCACGGATCCCTTGCAATCACCCTCCTGACGCCTGAGTCCCTCGAGCCGTGCAATCGACAGGACATCATCTTCCGTTTGAGGCAATTCGCACGTCCCAACAATGACTGCTCGGCGAGAATCGCTGTCGCCTACCTACTGTCTGACGCCCCGTTCGCCAGTGCAAGCGGCCATTGCTGTCTCAATGGGTTGCTTACATTGCAGATACTGTAGTTCTTCCCCTCCGCAATTCTATGCGTTGAATCTGACCCTATGCATATATTTATATAGAATGTTCGATTCCCTCTCCGCACCGATACCGATCATTCCGATAGCCGACTCTGCAAGCCTCCTTTCATCTTTCCAAAACTATATTGCGAATCTCGGTGATATGCCTGGTCCACGTGCGACCCATGCACCGTTGCAGATTTTATGACGTTGACTGACAAAAGACGGCTCCACTTGTATTGAATGTCATCCAGGGTAGCAGGAATGCTGTTGTCTAAAAAGGCCACGCAAATCGGACAGCCCAAGGAACTGGGAGCAGTCGGGTGAATCCCTTTCCTTGTTTTACGGGGAATAGAGCATGCATGTACAAACTACATGTACAATGTCTCCCTCCTTAACAAGACACATTCCTAAGGGTTCGGGTGCAGTTCTGTGGTGGCCCAATCTGCGACTATTGATCCAGGGGTAGAATGAGGTATATATCCGAGCTTAGTGGGGCAATGCGAGATTAATCCGAATGTGGTCAGGGTGACCCAAATGAAAGGATTGTGTCCCAATGAGGGTTATTCAGTCTTTATGAGTCCATATCAACAGGACTGGCAGTTAGCAAGTAATTGACCCTTGGTCGGGCATTGTCAATGGGCAATGATAGTCCGAGATAATGGCTAAGGCAGCGAGGTGAGACTGGCTGCAGGCGTGACGTAGTGAGTCGAGATATCCCGCACTTGGGCAGGAAAATAAAAATATCTGGATAGTCCAGCCACAGATGTAGATACCGTCGTTGCAGTCGTATTATTCATGCATTTATGCTCCCACCCTTTGAGGGGAAGCACAAGATCGAATACTCTAGCGTCAGGATCTAAATGAGGGATTTGCCTTTGGGTTAGAATCCACATCCCGGAAGGGACAATTGTTGTTTGTTGCTGGACACTCGGTCAGTCAGCCGGGCCAGACTCGACTGGAGAGACTGAGAGGGGGAAATTAATGAATGGATTTTATTTAATTAGTGATTGATTGCGCGTTTCCGGCTGAGTAAGAGAGAGTAAGAGAGGGTAATCCTAGTGTGGCGCAGGCCCCATCGGCAGCGAGGAACCGCCGTCTGTTAGACTGTCCGCAAGTCACCTCCACACAGGCACCATTCGTCATTCTTCCTCCCTCCTCCTCACTCTTCCTCCGTATAGACTCTCTTTCTCTCTCTTCCCCTCCTTTTTCCTTTGCTTAGAGATTCTCAGTACTCTTGTCTTTCTCCATATCTCTGGAATGAACCAATACCTCCTCTGCGTTCATTCCTGATTCTTTGCCAAACACTATACACCCTATACCACCGTCCGTACTGATAGGACAGATATCTTGACGCTTGGGCGCAAGTTCCGGGGTGGTCGGAACACACAACAACTATGGTGAGCCTCCGCGCTGCTCGTCACAGACAACTGCCTTATCGCTATGATTTTTCTCGAGCAATGCTAACCCCATCCTCCATCAGGGTCACTCGCGACGTCCGGCTGGCGGGGAGAAGAAGAGTCGGGGGTTCGGTCGCTCCAAGGCGGCCGCTGATGTGGGCGACGGGCGACAAGCGGGAAAGCCCCAGGTCAAGAAGGCCACCTTCGAAAGCACAAAGAAGAAGGAAATCGGTGTTTCCGATCTCACCCTGCTCAGCAAGATTTCCAATGAAGCGATCAACGATAACCTGAAGCTCCGCTTCGAACACGATGAAATCTACGTAAGCCCCCCCCCCACCACTGTTCCTCCCCTCCCAGTCGCAAAATCATGCGCTATGGGTGCATTGTATTAACTATGGCCTTCAATTGCCAACAGACTTATATCGGACATGTGTTGGTGTCCGTCAACCCTTTCCGCGACTGTAAGTGATGTGACCCCTGAACTTTCCTCCCGCTGGTCGCGTGCCTGACTCTTGTCGCCTAGTGGGGATCTATACCGATCAAGTGCTCGACTCATACCGGGGCAAGAATCGACTCGAGGTCCCGCCCCACGTGTTCGCCGTTGCCGAATCCGCTTACTATAACATGAAGTCATACAAGGATAACCAGTGTGTGATTATTTCGGGAGAGTCGGGAGCCGGAAAGACGGAGGCGGCTAAGCGGCTGATGCAGTACATTGCCAACGTATCGGGGGGTACCGACTCGTCGATCCAGCAAACGAAAGACATGGTCCTGGCCACCAACCCGTTGCTGGAATCGTTTGGTAACGCAAAGACTCTGCGCAACAACAACTCGTCCCGGTTCGGAAAGTACTTGGAGTTGGAGTTTAACGCCCAGGGAGAGCCCGTGGGTGCCAACATCACGAATTACCTACTGGAGAAATCGAGAGTCGTGGGTCAGATCACGAACGAGCGCAACTTCCACATCTTCTACCAGTTCACAAAAGCCGCGCCGCAGAAATACAGAGGTATGTTCCCGAAGCAAAGCGTCCAGCGACGGGGCTGACACATTGAGTAGATAGCTTCGGTGTGCAACAACCCCAGTCCTACGTATACACGAGTCGATCGAAATGTTTCGATGTTCCAGGGGTCGATGACGCGGCTGAGTTCCGCGATACACTCAACGCAATGGGGGTTATTGGTATGAGCGAGGCTGAACAAGATAACGTGTTCCGGATGCTGGCTGCCATCCTGTGGATCGGAAATGTCACATTCGCTGAGGATGATTCCGGCAACGCTGCCATCACGGACCAGTCGGTCGTCGATTTCATCGCATATCTGCTGGAAGTCGATGCGGCGCAAGTGAACAGGGCGCTCACCATCCGTCTGATGGAGACTGCCCGTGGCGGTCGCAGAGGCTCAGTCTATGAGGTGCCCCTGAATACGGTCCAAGCCCTGGCTGTCCGCGACGCATTGGCCAAGGCCATCTACTTCAACCTGTTTGACTGGATCGTGGGACGTGTCAATTCGTCGCTGACCGCTCGAGGGGCGATCACCAACTCGATCGGTATTTTGGATATCTATGGGTTTGAGATTTTCGAGAAGAACTCGTTTGAACAGCTGTGCATCAACTACGTCAACGAGAAGCTGCAGCAGATTTTCATCCAATTGACCCTGAAAGCGGAGCAGGATGAGTATGCTCGCGAACAGATCCAATGGACTCCGATCAAGTACTTTGACAACAAGGTTGTATGCTCGCTGATTGAAGACAAGCGTCCTCCTGGTGTCTTCGCTGCGCTCAACGACGCGTGCGCTACGGCACATGCCGACTCGAGCGCTGCGGATAACACCTTCGTTGGGAGACTTAACTTCTTGGGCCAGAACCCTAACTTTGAGAACCGCCAAGGTCAATTCATCGTCAAGCACTACGCGGGTGATGTCAGCTACGCCGTGGAAGGAATGACCGACAAGAACAAGGACCAGCTGCTGAAGGATCTGCTGAATCTTGTGGGTTCCAGTGGCAACCAGTTCGTGCACACGCTATTCCCCAACCAGGTTAACCAGGACGACAAGAGACGTCCACCGACAGCAAGTGACAAGATCAGAGCGTCTGCAAACGATCTTGTGGCGACTTTGATGAAGGCTCAGCCGTCTTATATTCGTACTATCAAGCCGAATGACAATAAGGCCCCTAGAGAGTATAACGAGGGCAATGTTTTGCACCAGATCAAATACCTGGGTTTGCAGGAGAACGTTCGAATCCGTCGTGCCGGTTTCGCGTACCGCCAGACCTTTGACAAGTTCGTGGAGCGGTTCTATCTTCTGTCTCCCAAGACTTCCTACGCTGGTGACTACACGTGGACTGGCGATGCCGAGTCTGGTGCTCGTCAGATCCTGAAGGACACCAGAATTCCCGCCGAGGAGTACCAGATGGGTATCAGCAAGGTATTTGTTAAGACTCCGGAGACTTTATTCGCCCTGGAAGCCATGCGCGACCGCTACTGGCACAACATGGCGATTCGGATCCAGCGCGCGTGGCGCAATTACCTGCGCTACCGCACCGAGTGCGCCATCCGCATTCAGCGATTCTGGCGTCGCATGAATGGTGGCCTCGAGTTCATCAAGCTGCGCGACCAGGGTCACCAGGTGCTGCAGAACCGTAAGGAGCGTCGGAGGATGAGTTTGCTCGGTTCGCGTCGGTTCTTGGGGGATTATGTTGGGGTTGGTAACAAGGGTGGCCCTGGCGAGATGATCCGTGACGGTGCAGGCATTAGCGGTACGTCTTTTTTGGAGGTGCTGCATCTGAATCCAACTGACGAACTCAGGATCGGAGAATATTCTCTTCTCGTGTCGTGGTGAGGTCCTGGTGTCCAAGTTTGGACGGTCCAGCAAGCCCTCATCTCGCATTCTTGTTTTGGTAAGTTGCAGCTGCAGAAGTTTCGCGTTCCGGGTAAGTACTGACCAAACCAGACAAACCGGCATGTATATATCGTGGCGCAAACGCTTGTCAACAACCAGCTCCAGATTTCGTCCGAGACGACAATACCTATTGGGGCTATCAAGTCCGTCAGTACGTCCAACAGCCGGGATGACTGGTTCTCCCTGGTGGTAGGTGGACAGGAGCCCGACCCTCTGGTGAATTGCGTCTTCAAGACGGAGTTTTTCACCCATCTCAGCAACGCTCTGCGTGGACAGCTGAACCTGAAGGTTGCTGACCAGTAAGTTTAAACCGTGCCACATGCAGTCGGCAGTTACTGATTCTGTTCCTAGCATTGAATACAACAAGAAACCGGGCAAGTTGGCTACCGTGAAGGTGGTCAAGGACCCGGGATCGTCGAATGTGGATAGTTACAAGAGCAGCACGATCCACACCAGCGCCGGTGAGCCCGCCAATTCGGTGTCTAAACCCACTCCCCGTCCGAAGCAGATCGCCGCGCGACCCGTCACGAAAGGCAAGTTGCTTCGACCGGGCGGACCAGGCGGGGGCCCGTCGAAGCTGGCGTCCCGACCTGTGCCTGCGCGTCAGCCTCTGCCTCAGCAGCCGGCAGCTGCAGCTGCGGTGCAACCACCCCCGCCAGCCCCTCAACCAGCAGCCCAGGCTCGCCCGGTGCCTCAGCCTGTGGCCGCTGTAGCCGCCTCTCACGCCCGCACCGCATCTTCCGGATCGGTGCGAGCACCACCGCCCCCTCCGCCCGCGAGTCCGCCAGCGCCGAAGAAGGCCACCGCCAAGGTGTTGTACGACTTCAACAGCGACCGATCCAACGAGTTGTCCATTCGAGCCGGCGAGATCGTGCAGATCGTGTCCAAGGAGGGCAACGGTAAGCATCGGCCCCTTTAGTCTCCGTCTTGCCCAAACATTAACATGAACGCTATCTAGGCTGGTGGCTCTGCATGAATATGACCACCTCGGTCCAAGGCTGGACGCCTGAGGCCTACCTGGAAGAACAAGTCGCCTCCACTCCCAAACCCGCACCTCCCCCTCCCCCACCTGCCGCCGCGCGTGCCAGCCCGGTTCCGGTCTCCAACGGCGCTGCCGCCGCAGCGAAAGCCAAAGCCAAGCCTGCGCCGCCGGCCCCGCCTATGAAACGCCCCAACATGGCTGGCCGCAAGATGGCTCCCGCACCACCACCCGCGCCGCGTGACAGCGCGGTGAGCATGAACTCGGCACATGATTCGTCGGGTGGTAGCGGGCGGGCGACGCCGAACAGTGCGTCGAACGCGAGTTTGGCGGGCGGATTGGCGGAGGCGCTGAAGGCGCGACAGCATGCGATGCAGGGGCATCATCAGGATGATGATGATGAGTGGTAGGATGCTTATGGAGATAAATAGAGAAGTGTGGAAAGACTGCAAGGTATACCCGGAATACTCCTACTGGGAGTAAATAGATGTTGCATTCGGTTTAGTTGATGAGGAGGGTCGGTAGATATGCATATGATATTCCTGATGAAGGGTTGAGTATCTTCTAGAAGCGATGGTAGATATGTATTTAGGATATTCGTCTTGACGACCAGGGTGGCAGATATTTCTCTCCTTCCTTGCTTGGAGTCGATGATAACCATGTGTATAGAACAAAATGCTCTCCTTCAGCAGTGTATATACTGTATGATGCCTTGCATGTGGGAAATCTACTACGTATATGGAAGACCGAGGATTCTGCCGTACTTCGGTTCGTGCCGCTTTGTGTACCGTACCGCCTTTCGTAGCGGAACGTTAGTTCGGAGCCACTGAGACTCTTCGAGTCCTTCCCTCATCAATCAATAATTCTTTTGTCGGCCAAGGTTTATTCAAGATCGCCATACATTCTTTCTCTAAAGATTCTTGGATAACCGAAATTGTATTTACTTTCTCTTTTTGTCCTGTTGAATTCACTGGGCTGTTTAGTAAGCTCAAATCAGACCCAAGTCGGGTCTAAAGTGGAGAGGGACTCGAATTCCGCCGGGAATTCCTGCTCATTCATTAGTGGTAGCCATGTGACAGCCCCGATGCACGTTCATCCTTCTCTGCGGGTTTCCTCCCCCTCATCCCATCCCAATTTATCCCAGTTTATCCACTCTCATCCATTTTCAACTACCTTGTTCGTCTTCCTGCACCACCACCGACTTCTCCTCTTCCCCCCCCCTTCTTTCCCACTTCGGGCCTGCATGCCTGAATCATTCATTCCCACTTCTTTGTTCAATTAAGACTCAGAGGCTGCTGCAGACCGGCTCCTTTATTTCTTCCCCGTCTCCCTCTGTGCCGCTTCTTTGCTTTTTTACCTTCCTTTGGTCTCTTGACTTGCTTGATAACCCGGTCGGTCCTTTACCCGGGGCTCTGTGTGTCGCCATCCACTCTCTGCACTGCGTGTGATTTGCAGAGTGTTGTATCACCTGTCAACGCAACTTAAATAGAGTGCGACACTGCCCCTCCTGGTCGGGTTGTCAGATCTACTACCTTCTATAGGCAAAAAGCAAAGAGGCGTTTCCACTCGCCTGCCCGCCATCTGACTCTGACTCGCACAACCCACGCTGGTTGTGCCCGTGTTCATCCCCTCCGTGTGGGGGAGGAGGGAGTTACGCCGCGGGGTGACAGCAAAAATAATAATCAAAAATCAAATCACAATAAGGGATTCAAAAGGGCTGCGGAGCTAAGATCTCGGAGGTGATTGCGATCGCAAAGACAACGTGGACGACATCCTTTGACCTGGTCGCGTTGTACCACCCGCCAGTGCCAATCAGCATCCCGTGCGGTCTCCTCGGCTGCTTATCAGTTAGTCCCCTCGCCAGTCGCCACCAGATTTGCCCGAACGCCAGCGGTCGCCAGTCCCGTTGCCAACCGATCGCTGCATCTGATGACCGGAATGCCTGGTCAGTTTGGGCCCGACTCTTCTTCTTCAGCTTCGTCCAGCGCGCCGGCCCGTCCAGCTGGACCTGTTCCGAGTCCTTCGTCACGAAATGTCTCCAGGCCGTCCCCACAGTCTACAACATTCCCCGTCTGGTTGCCGTCCGCTGTCCGTGAAGACATTATGCTGCCGGGCGAGGGCTTCCCGTCGGGCGCCCCCGCGGACGTGCCCGACTTGGGACCCTCTCCGTTCCTCGCGGCCCCAGAGAGTGGTCTCGACATGAATGAATCAACATTATCCGCCTTCATGGCTGTTCCGCAATATCCCAATGCTCCCAACGACGCCGCTAGAGTCTCGGTGACGGAGATTGTCAACGCCGTGATAGAGCCCGGTGACTATGCCCGCCATGATCGTGCATCCGATCAACTGACTCCTCGACTCACCTCGTCTTCTCCGCCAGGGGATTCGTATGCCTCCGATTCGGAAATGACCGATGCGCTGTCGGAGGTGGGTGGCGTCCCGCTGGCCCCATATTTAGACCCAGAGTCCAATTTCCACGGCTTAATATATACATATGAGAATCACCCCACCATATCAGATGTTATCGACGAGGACGCGGAGGACTACGAGGATCAAGAGGAAGACGAGGTTGATGAGATTGACGAGGACGATGAGGATCACGAAGTTGTTGGATACGAAGACGAACCGATCAACTTGATCATGGATTACGAACCCCCTGTCGTGGTAAACCGCCCTACCACCCTGCCCATGTTGGACGATGACCCTGACGACACGTACAAGTTTTATATGGACGAGGGCGATGAGGAATTGGACATGGAGGATGCTGAGGCGCGGGCCCGTCGCAGCACTACCAACCTGTCGGATGTCGACTTGGACGAGTTTTATCAAGGGTTGGACTCGGGCTACACGACGCAGTTCTCGGAAATTATTACCGGCCCCGCCCACGATGACTACAATGCTTCGTTTTCAGAGGAGGATGACTTGAGCGGCATGGATGCGCCGATCGAACAACATGTTGCGCCGGTCGATCAACATGTTACAGATCCAGCTGGAGGCATGGGTAAGAGTTTCTATGCACACGTTTGGGTCACATCTAACAGTACTCATAGTCAAAGAGCGGAATTTGACGATTGATCAGTTCATCGGACAATGGCTATACCAGTGTAATTCACCTTCGATACCAGGATATCTCATCGGTGGTGCCTCGTTGTCAAGTCCTGGTGTCGATAGCCTACTTGCTTGGATGCCGCCGGCCAAGATCGTGCGGCCGGCCGGGTACAGATGGGACTTTTATGATATTCAGCAGATCCCCTGGCGGGACGCTATGCAAGTCCGACGAGCCTACGCGCGGGGAATGCGCGACCAGTCGTACACTTCGTATCATAACCTGGAGTATTCGCGTCAACAGCCTGGCGCGAGACTTCCACGACACGAATACTATTTCCGAGAAAAGGCCATGTATACGAAACACAAAGCCACGATTCAACATTTCCAGCTACGCAATCTCATGTCAGCGGCGACGTATAACACGTTACACTTTGCGCACGAATTCAAGATCTATTCATGGGTGCCGGCCTACGATGACCTGCGATGCATGATCGATTTATCGAAACCGAGCGTGGAATCAGGATTGCAGGGTCCTGTGAAGATTTCCACCATGCGGTCGGCGCATGACATTACTATAGCAGGGGGATTCGCGGGAGAGTACGCCTTACGAGCGATGGGCACGGATGGGCCCGGAATCGCGGGGTATGTCACGCAAGACCCCAATGGCATCACAAATCACATCGACATCGTTCCGAGTCGCAGCAGCGGATCGCCATTGGGGGTCTTTGCGTCCAACGACCGGCACCTGCGGGTGCTGGACTGCGAGACCAACACGTTTGTCGCGGACTTCGAGCTTTCGCGCGCAATCAACTGCACTGCGACAGCACCGGATGGACGTCTCCGGGCGGTGATCGGCGACTCGCCGGAGGCTTGGGTGGTGGAGGCCGACAGCGGACGGCCAGTGCATCCCCTCCGGGGCCACCGCGACTTTGGGTTCGCGTGTGCGTGGTCGCCCGACATGCGACATATCGCAACGAGCAACCAGGATAAGACGGCCATCATCTGGGATGCCCGGATGTGGCGCATGCTGCAGAAGATTGAGTCGGATGTGGCGGGCTACCGGTCGCTACGATTCTCGCCCGTTGGCGGTGGGTCGCGGACCCTGTTGCTGACTGAGCCCGCCGACCGGATTACGATTGTCAACGCGCAGACGTACCAAAGCCGTCAGGTGCATGACTTCTTTGGGGAAATCGGCGGGGCAGACTACTCGCCGGACGGCAGTACGATCTGGGTATCTAACACGGACGATCATTTTGGGGGATTCATGGAGTACGAACGCCGACAATGGGGACAACGATATGGGCCGCAGGGGTTGGCGAACGAATGGATGCGGGAAACGGAGTTGGATGAGGACGAGCGATGCGTACTGAGTGAGCGAGAGCGGCAACTGCGATTCTGGTGGAATATGAGTGACCAGGAGCATGAGGAGTTGATCCTTTAATGTTTTTTTTTTGCATTGTTTAGCGTGAGATACCATAACCATTTGATTGAGGTGTTTGTTTGTTACATATTGCATCATGGTGCAGGTGCAGGTGCAGAGTGTGGGAAGGGGTGGCATGGTAGGCATGGCATGGCATGGCATACGTATGTGGTCGAGCGAGGAGTGAGCCCTCCACCTTGTCAGTACTACGAGTAGTTAGTGTCGGGCGAATACGAGAGAGCTGAGAGAAAGAATGTTTGTTTGTGAGTGTGGCTGAGAGATCCACTTGTCCCTCTCTCTGCCCCGCCGATCTACAGCACCACCACAACCAGTCACAACCAGTCAGAACCAGTGACCACACCGCTCCAGCCACAATTGCCCCTCCTCTTTCTCCGTAAATAAACCAGACGTCGTCATTCCCCCCCGCGCTGCTCCTTTCCTTCTTTCCCTCTTTTTCTTTCTTCCATTCTTCAAGTCTCCTTATCTTTCTACCATCCTTTTACCCTCGGGTTGTGTATATCCAGACCTCAACAATCATGTCCTTCTCTAACTTCATCTCCTCCGCCATCGAACAAGCTGCCAGCAACTACGCTGGCGGCGGCAACAACAACAACAACAACAGCAACAACAGCGGTAACAACGGTAACTCCCACCACGGTAACCAAGGCGGCTATGGAGGTGAGCAGGGCGGCTACAGCCAGCACTCGCAGGGAGGTTACGGTGGTGAGCAGCAACAGGGTGGATACGGCGGTCCCCAGGGAGGTTACGGAGGTGAGCAGGGCGGCTACAGCCAGCACCACCAGGGCGGTTACAATGAGGGTGGCTACGGCGGTCCCCAGGGCGGCAGCGGCGGCGGTAGTGCCTACGGTGATAGCTACTACGGCGGTTCCGGATCCCAGGGGGGAGGAGGCTACGGCGGCCACGAACAGCCATCCTACGGCGGTCCCCAGGGAGGCTACGGCGGCGGCAGCAACGAAGGCTCGTACGGCCACAACCCCCCGCACCAGAACCCAGCCTACGGCAGCACAGGCCCAAGCTACGACGAGATCTCCTCTGCAACCTCGCACGCCGAATCCAACAGCAGCGGCACGGGCTCATCGGACCTCTTCAACAAAGCCCTGGGCTACATCACCAACCGCCACTCCTCCCGGGATGATGACGACGACATCGATGAGAATCAGATGGTGCAGTCGCACCAGGCGGTCTATAACTCCGGTTCTGGCGAACAGCATGACTCCCGGACGTTGGGCGCCGGCGCGGCCATGCAGGCGCTGAAGATGTTTACCTCTGGTGGCTCCGGTAGCTCCTCGTCTAGTGGGAGTGGTGGTCAAAATGAGTTTATTGGGTTGGCGATGGCGCAGGCTAGTAAGCTTTGGGAGGAGAAGAGTTCGAGTGGACAGGCGGTAAGTCTTTCTTCCTTCCTGATTGGTCTTGGCGGGGGAGAGCATGGCTAATGGTTTGTTTGGGGTAGTCTGGCGATAAGCAGTCGGCTATTAATCAGGCCGCTGAGATGGCGTTGAAGATGTACATGAAGTCTCAGGGCAGTGGGTCGAGTGGTACCGGTGGTCCTTCGGGACTGTTGAGTTTGGCGAGTAAATTTTTGTAAAGCTTGTGCTTGTTTATCTGTGAACGGATGCATATGTATGTTTCTTGAATGGTTATCTGAGAATGCCAGCGGGGCAAACTGATCCGTCCTCCACATATTACATCTCGGCAAGGACAGTGTTACAAATTACTCGCTCCAACAAGAACTATTTTCCGTGTCATACTACCTGATAATATTCGTGAATCGCATCATATACAAGTTTGATTCAATTAGATCTAGACCCCTGTTTGATAAAGCCCGGTTCCAGCCTTGGCAACCGGTCTCTCCCTCCCTTCTTCCTCCCTTCCCCAACAACAAACCACCTGTACAGTACATAAACGCGTCAAGATTCAACCCCGCAAGACAGCATGACGAACAAGAAAGCCGTGCCAGAGACACCAGAGCATAGAGCATGTCGTCGTGCAGTTCTCGCCCTCGATGACTCTTTGCTCGCATGGTGTCATCAGTAATGTCCTTGAATGCATCGCATGATACATAGCCCGTTCCACAGCTAGAACACCTCACTGCTGCAACCGCCTTTGCTCATCCTCCAGAACCTCCGGCAGTGTCGCCTCGATACTCGGCCTCGTGGGCGTCCAGTCCAGAACTTTGGCAGCTCTCTTGGCCCTACCACGCGAGTTCAACCCCCAGCTCAGCGATTCAAAGCCCGCGAACTTCTTTCCATCCTCCAGGCTGATCTGTTCGGCCTTGGACTGAGCGATGAGCCCCAGCTCCGCCGCATACTTGGCCATAGCCCGCGACAGCTCTCCCCACGCATGCTCGCCGTTCTCCGCAAGATAGTACGCTCGCGCGCCCCACAGCTCGGGGTCGTCGCGCCCTGCGACCGCCGCCTCGACCAGCAGCACATACAGGTCGCTCAGGTCGTGCACGTGCACATTGTTCCAGATCGATTTCCCCGCGCCGATGATCGGCGCTTTCCCGAGCTGCAGCGTCACGCGAGCCAGCTCGTAGGTTTGCCGGCCTCGCTGCGAAACGGGTCCTCTCCCGCGGCCTGTGTTGTACGTATCAGTAAACATGTCGCGGACTTATCCGAGTCCCCAGAAGAGAGGGTGGATATGCATACCGTAGATGGTAGGCGGACAGACCAGTGCCGTCTTGACCGCGTCGCCGCGTTTCGGCCCCGTCTCCAACACGATCTGGTCCACGTTCCGGTGGAACGCATGCGCCGGGAGGTTGAGAAGCTCGTCGACCCCGTCCCAGTCGTCGTACACCTTGTCGCTGGGCTCGCCGAACACCCCCCGGTCACTGTCCGTGTAGGTCAGGATTCCCGTGCCGCCTGTATGTAGCCAGTACCCCGGATTGGCGGACGAATGGCCCTTGGCCAGTCCGGCTGCGATGGCTTTCGCTGCGCCCTCGTGGTCGGATGCGTCGGCTGTGTCTGTACTTCAAGTGTCAGACAAGGTCTGGGTTCTGTCAGCAGATAGGGAAGAGACAGACGTACGGAGGACAATGTCCGCCTCGGCGCTTTCCTTCTCCAGCAGACTCGAGTCATCGAGATCGCCGAGCACGATGCGCGCAGAGGGATATTGCTTCTGGATCTGCTCGGCTTTGTTCGCGCTGCGCACCAGCAGGGTGTAGTTGTATTCCGGGTGCTTCTGCACCAGAGCGTACAGGGCGTCGCCGCCGATGTAGCCGGTTGCGCCGGTGCTGGGTTACTTGGTTAATTACTATGGGAGATAGCGGGCTGCGGGCAGTGGCTTACAGGAAGATCTTGGGGATATGGGTCATTTTGAATCTTGGGTTGTGTATGAGGTGGATGTTCTATGGAGAATGAATGTATGGCATGGACATTGTTTAAATGCATTGCTGATGCCATACGGAATGATTGGGCCATGACGTTATGCTGCTATTGAATTAATCAGCAGGGCTTTTGAGTCTGATATGGTATGTAGCCTTGGCGGACGGCGGTTGCCGAGCTCAGTTTATCCGCTTGCTTCAACAACAACTGCACCTCATCGATCTGCTTCTCTGCGACGTTGGACAGAGACTCATGGAAAATGGCACTGATACTGCTTACTGCTAGGCTATCTTCGATTATGCCTGATCAGCTCTCCAGTTAACTAGCAATCTCGGACCACTTCTTGACCATGGTGCGACTCTTCTGATTTTATGATTCTAAAGCCCCCAAGGCAACGCAACCTCACTATCTGAAGATCCTTGGCGCAAAAGACAAGCATCAACAGCCAATGGTGTTTTCATCCTGTGGCTGCTCCTCCACTCACTGCTCAATCGCTATTTGACAGCTGGGTCTTCATGTCCGACCCCAGCTCCATTCGCTCGGACTGCGGGTCGTGGTTTCGTCCGACCTCCGCTCGGGGATGAAGTTTTATCCTCCACTGGGGCCCAGTTCCAAAGCTGAGGTCTCGCGCATTGTTCAGCGCGCTTATGGTTATGTCTGGCGGTTTCCTAGAGATCTAGGGACAGAATGCAATGTGAGGGCAAAAAGAACGTAATCGGCTCAGAGCAAATCATGGTGCTCCCGCCTGCCCTGGATCACCGGTCCAACATTGACCAAGCCTCCTGAGTCACAAGGGACTGCAAGCTGCATATCTCCGCGGTAGACTTACGTACTTGGGCGAAGATAAGGCCTGATTGATCTTTATTGCCTGAGTCCTCGGGCTTGGCCCCGCCCCTCTCTACATAAGGTGGGGTGTTCTCCCTGCCTATCTACTTCTCCTCCACTGATTATACCCGGTCAATCAGCGAAACCGCAAAATGGTCACGGAGTCGGTTCAGTCAGTGACTCGCGAGCGCAACATCGAGGCTCAGAGTGCCTTTGCCTCCACTCTTGTGGCTGATGTCGAGAAAACGCCTCATTCCAAGGCGTCTCTTTCTGATGGACCGCATACGAATGTCTATGGTTCAGCGATCGACACTCCTACCTCCCAGGCTGGGACAGACGCAGTCTACGCGGCCAAAGCAGCGCTCTTGAACCAGGCGTTGCTGGATATGGGCATGGGTCGCTACCAATGGTTGTTGTTTGTGATTACCAGTGTTGGATGGCTCCTTGACAGCGTAAGTGGAAGGCTCCCAGCTATGGGTTAGTGCTAATTGGCTTAGTTCTGGCTGATGTCTTTCTATGCCATCGCGCCGTCTGCCTCCAATGAGGCGCAGTTCTTCTACTCGTATGACAAAGAAGCTTACCTGTTTATAAGCTTATTTGTTGGGATCACCACCGGCGCAACGGCATGGCCTTGGATGTCCGACTTCTTGGGCCGCAAATGGATTTTCACCAGCACGGTAGTCCTCATGGGTATGGGAGGGCTTGTTGGAGCTGGAATGCCGGCATTCACGGGTCTATGTGTCGTGGGGTTTGTTGTCGGCTTTGCGGTGGCTGGCAATCAAGTCGTGGATGCGATGATCCTCCTCGAGTCCATCCCTGCGTCCCATCAGTTCTTGGTTACTATCCAAGGTGCTTTCTGGGGGCTTGGCCAGCTAGTCGCCTCAGCTGTTGGATGGTAAGCTTCAGACTGTTTGTTATTAAGACTGGCCTAACCGAAATTAGGGCGTTCATCGCCGAGTACACATGCGGCACTGGCCCCGACGAGATCAGCACGGCGACGGCGCTGTCCCACCAATCCCGCGCCACGCACTCTGGCAGTGGCGGTAGCAGCAGCGCTGGTAACAGCAGCTCCTGCCACTATGTCAGCAACAAGGGTTGGCGCTACGTGTGGTGGACTTTTGGTTGCATCACTCTCTTCCTGTATCTTTGCCGATTCACCTTCCCTCTCCGCGAAACACCCAAATACCTCCTCTCCAAACGCCGCGATGCCGAAGCGACCCAGCTAGTCAAGGACATTGCCGCATACAACAAGCGGCGAACCTGGCTTGAAGAGTCGTCCTTCGCCCGCATCGACTCGACTGTCGACGCCAGCACGCCCGGGTCTCGTCGCCAACCCCGACTTAGGGCTCTACTGACAGCAACAGGACCTCTTGGTGCATTCGTTCTCTGTCTCCTCTGGTCTGCCACCGGTCTTACATTCATTCTGCATAAGACCTACATCAGCAAATTTCTGGTCACGAAGGGGGTCGCGTCGATCACCGCCACGACCGTGACCACGGATTACCTCTACAGTCGATACCTCTACGTCGCCGTCTGCGCCATTCCTGGTCCCATCATTGCGGGATTATTGATCGAAGCGAAGGGTCTCGGCCGCACGCGCACAGGCGGTATCATTGCAGTCCTGACTGGACTCGTCATGTCTCTAGCCACCGTGTCCCGATCCCGCAACGCCCTTCTGGCCTTCGAATGTATCCTGTCATTCTTGGAGGCGGCCAACCTGGCAGTTCTCACCACGTACACTGTGGAGATTTTCGCCGCGCCGTTCCGGGGCTTTGGCATGGGCGTCATGGGGTTTCTTTGGGGTGTGCTTGGTCTGATCGCTTCGATTGTCACGGCTTTCGAGGGCGGTGCTGCCGGTGGAGCGCCGGTGTGGTTCTCGGGCGCAATCTGGGTGGTTTTGGGTGTTGCTTGGTTGGGTGTACCTGAGACCAAGGGTCGGGCTGCGGCGTAGGGATCTTGTGGATGTAGGATGGCACAGGGGCAGGGAAGGGGAAGTAGAAACTAAGGGGGGCATGACTTGAAGACAGTCTAAAGAAGACGAAGTATGTTGATAACCTATATGTATAGCAATAAATGCTCTACACCCTACCCGACAATCAAATAAAAATATCCATCCTTCCCCCCAAAAAGATATCCAATGTATCCTCCTATCCCAAAACTTAAGATCAATACTTTAACCCCTCCAAACCATAAACAAAGCCCTCTCCCCCTCAACCTCCTCACCCACAGCCACCCTCTCAAACCCAACCCTCTCATACAACCCGCGCCGCCCCTCCTCCGACGCACAAAGATAAACCTGCTTCTTCTCAGCAATCGCCCTCTGAAACGCCCCAGTCAAGCAGTTTCCCTCCGAGTCCTCGACCCCGATACGCGGGCTTCGTGCCGAGCAGACTTAGGTCTGTGGTTTTCTGCTATTAGCTGATCCAACACTAACTCCAACCCAACCCCCAAGCTCAATCACAATAGAAATTTTCAAGATAAGATAGGATATCCAGGATGGATAAGATAGAAAATAAAAATGAAACTCACAAAAATACCCCCCCCCCCACCCCCCGCCACCACCTCCTCCTCCACCGCGGAACACATTATCCTCGTCCCGACGGTGGTTCATCTGCTCGCGTAGCTGAAACAGGAGCGCGAGGTCTGTGGGGGGGCAGGGGCGGTGGTGGTTGCGCTGCTTGGGCCTGCCCTTCTTCACCCCCGGGGTAAAGTTCCTGAATCGGAGGATGAAGAAGAAGAAGAAGGAGAGGGAGAGGGAGAGGAGGGTAATTCCCACTCTGCGAAGGCGATGATCTCTCTCCACTCCCGCTTTCGTTCTCGTTTGGGTTCATACTTGGGGATGTCCCAGGGGATTTGGCGGATATTGCCCCGGGGGCAGCAGGGTCAACGATCTTCAGCACGACGCTGTTCCCTGTTTCGATCCGTTGGCGCAGGGACGCGGTCCACCAGGCTTGCATTTCCGGTGTGGGGGGGGGAAGAGGCGGCGTTGGAGGGGGGGTGGTGAAGGTTTCGAAGTAGAGGGTTGGTATTGCTTGAGCATCGCTGGGTTTTGCGGGTTCGATGTGCAGTTTTTCTGCATTTTCTTTTGGGGGTTGGGTTGGTTTGTGATTGAGGTGAGGGGGGAAGTAAGGGTGTATCTTGGAGGCTATCTGGATTCTGAATGGGAGGTTGGCTGGGGGTTGTCTTGGGATGTTTTGTGTTCGAGGAGAGTGGGTGGTTATCCTGGGGGTTTGCTTTGGATGGATAGAATGTAAGTTAGGTGTGAGTGGGACTGCTGGCTGGGTGATGAGGGGGGCTGCTGGATTGTAGGTTACGGCGGGATATTGCTTCTTATATACACTCCATAAGCTCATCATCTCATCGACTCGTGGCTAGATACAATACTACATTACCCGGAGTAAACCCTCCTATCACATCAAGAAAAGCCCCGAACCAACCCCGATCTACGCTTCAGCTCCGTGCCCTGCGCTGGGGAGAAAATATTCCGACAGTTGGCCATTCTGCCCCTTACACACCAGACTCGTGTCGCTAGTGCACACTATTACCCACTTAACTACATTCAAGTCCCGTCTCACATCAACAGACTTAAGAGAAAATATTAGACAGTAGATAAGAAATCACAAGCTGATACTTAAGGTTTCTCCAAGGTCGGGGCTGGACTCCGCACCCTTTCCACTACACTCGGGTCACCGACATGCAGTGGCTGCGGCTGCGGCTGCTGTGGTGAGCGCGGCTGCGAGGAAGGATAACCCCCACCCTGCGGTCGATGGTGCTGCGGATAGAACGAGCGACGATGATACCCGCCGCCCTCGCGCGGGGCGGAGCGGTTCTCCGTGCTCTTCGTCTGGTCGATTTCCCGCTTGACGCCCTCGTACATGTGCTCAATGATGTGGATCTCCTCCTGGATGTCCAACTCGCAGCCGCTGAGGCACAGCTCGCGCTCGCGCTGCTCGATATACTCGCGGATGTTGCGCCACTCGTTCTGGTAGTGCTTGAGCCGGTCAGGCAGCCCCGAGCCCTTGAGGTAGGTCAGCACGCCCGCCATGATCGTGTTGATCGCCCCGAATGCCGTCACCGCCGAGTGCGGCCCGCTGGCCGCCCCCAGCGCCGTCAGCGCCGCCGCCACCACGATCTGGATCCCCAGGCACACGTTGATCAGCACGCTGAAGAACCGGTACCGCGCCGCCGCCGAGTGCTCCGCCCGCACCACCCGCGTGTAGATCCCGATGTTGGGCGCCGTGCGCCGGTAGTGGTGTAGGGTCGTCAGCGCCGGGATGCTGTCGATGCCTGTCAGCGCTCGGAACACGAGCAGTTTGTCCTGCGGCGGAATCAGTGCGCTGACGTCCGTCGTGGAGATGGTCAGTCGTCGGGGTTGTTGCTGGTGCGACTGGTGCGGCTGGTGCAGTTGGTGCTGCTGCTGCTGCTGCTGGTGCGGCGGCTGCTGGTGCGGCGGAGAAGGAAGAGGAGGTGGCATTGCGGCGGCGCCCATTGCCTCTGGATCGCCACCCGGCATCATGGCAGGCCCCGCAGGTGGGTATGAAGCCGGGGTGGTCATGGGAGGGAAATTGTGGTGCTCATGTTGTTCACGCGGCGGCAAAAGGCTCAGCAGTCGTCCGACAAAACCGGAGCGTGGATGGGGTTGCGCCATCGTGGCGGGTGGAAAAGGCGGGATGAAGGCTCCCAGAAACAAAAAAAAACCAAGCTTCGTTCTGGAGGGGGAAACCGGCCCTTTTAAGGAATTTGGGGGTGGATTCTCCGTTAGGAGGTTAGATTATTACACATCACCCCGGGTGCGCATAGTGGCCGCCACACCTTTCTGCAAATGGCACGTCTTCCGTACTGTTCGTGCGCATGGCTGCAAAAGATAGAGAGCCGGGTTGCTGGAGGACTCCCGTCATTGGTGGTCGACTGTGTCCAGAACTTGCAGCGTCGAGGCAATCGAAGCGGACGGCTGGACCCTTGACCCACATAGATCGACAAGCAGCAGTTCGGCACGAAATGAGGGGATTGCGTGCAGACTGTCCACCTCGTCGGCAGATTTAACCTGGGGTTTAACCCGGGAGCCCTCGTGATGTCCAAAATTCTGGATTGTTGGTAAGCCGGTCCTGAGTTGACCGGTTGGGTAGCGCTGCGGCCAGATGTGATAGTGGCGAGCACGAACCTGTTCTTGACGGGTCGATCAGCTACGAAGTCTGCATCGCAGTAGCCTCGCGCCTGAGCGATCAATCACACGAGAATCACAATGAGCTTGTGAGTACTGAAGCGCATTGGCGGATGACTCGCGAGACGGACCTAGACTCGACAGTCTAGAGTAGGCTTTGCGCTAGCAAGGATTTTTTGGCCATGGCCGCCGTATCGGATCAACGCAGAAGAGACGGTCAGCCAGTGTCCGAGACAACGATCAGCCACCGGGCGGGCTGAAGCTGACGGCCCCATCATGCAAGCACTAAGCTGGTGGGCGAACCACGGATAGGCGCCTGTCAGATGGTTGCAGGGCCCTTCGAGGGGGTACACTCTGCTGTGAGCTGTCGATCACATTTTAATGAACCGGTCGTCGGCTTCAAGCGACGTACTTCTGTCTTTTAAATGTTTTGTTTGTGGTGTGGTGGTTTGTTGACCGGAATGCGCGGCACGGCACGTCTGGACACTGCAAAATAGATTAACGACTGACCCGCATCCGATCGGCAGATGTGACAGACAGGCAGACAAACAGAAGTTTTCATCGCAACACCTTCAATCTTTTCCCATGGTGCTTGTCCTAGAGGTGGGTTACAGCCACCGATGAACCGAGATAGAGAGAAAGCAAAGAGCGATAAGGATAGCAGCTTATCTCTTCCCCGCGCTTAGTAATCCTCTCCAGATGTTCTGGCTGTCAGAAGGGAATTGATAAGAAAAGCGCAAGACAGTGACAAGATGGCGCAATCTAAGCCCCTCATCTTGTCTCTTGCGTTGACCGTCGGCATCTTCTGAATTCATTCAACCTCTTTCAAATTGATACTCATCATGGGAAACGCACCTCTTGCCCAGGACCGGATCCTCATCGCCAACGCCAGCGAGTTCTCGCCCGCGCTTCTCCAAGAGATCCAGGCCAAATTCGCCCATGCAGATATCACCTACATCAAACTGGAGAACTTTGCGCCTATTCCCCGTGGTACATTACTTTCCTAAGTGAACTCTGCATAAGTCACTGACGAATGCAGAATACGCAAGACGAGCCACGCACATCGTGACCCTCAGCAACCTCCCCAGCATCGAAGACGCTGCCCAGTACGAGTTTCCCAGACCCTACAGCTCCGAGGACTCCCACTAATACCTGAATGCAGTGTCAAGCTCATCCACTTCTTCTCCGCAGGTCTCGATCACATCGTCTCGCACCCCATCGTCCAAGCAACCCAGATACCGCTCACCTCCAGCTCGGGGATCCACGGCCCGCCGATCGCCGAATGGGTTATCATGAACTGGCTGGTCGCCTCGCGGCGCTACGTCTCGATCTACAAGAGCCAGGAGCAGCACGTCTGGGCCAAGAACCATGAATGGATGACAGGGGTGCACGACCAGGTGGGCCGCAAAGTCGGGATACTAGGCTACGGCAGCATCGGGCGGCAAAGTACGTAGCGTCCACAGCACCCCCATCCTCGTTGCCCCCAACCTTATCTGACAACATTCAACCCAAGTCGCCCGCGTCGCCTCCGCCCTAGGCATGCAAGTGCACGCCTACACAGCCTCGCCACGGCCAACGCCCGCCTCGCGCGTCGATCGCGGGTACATCGTGCCCGGCACAGGCGACAGGGACGGCACGATCCCGGCCTCCTGGCACCACGGGACGGATCGCGCCTCCATTCACGCGTTCCTAGCGCTGGGGCTGGACCACCTCGTCGTCGCGCTGCCGCTGACCCCGCAGACGACGCACCTGCTCGGCGCGGACGAGTTCCGGCTGCTGGCGGACCATGCGAGCGGAGATCGTAAGCCGTATCTGACGAACATCGCGCGCGGCAAGATCGTCGACCAGACGGCGTTGGTCGCGGCGCTGCACAGCGGGGTTGTCGGCGGCGCCGCGCTGGACGTCACAGACCCTGAGCCTTTACCGGCGGATGACCCGCTGTGGGATGCGCCCAACGTGCAGATCAGCCCGCATATCAGCGGCGCCGGGCTGGAGTATATCCCGCGGTCGTTGGATATTCTGAAGGAGAATCTGGGGCGGTTGGCGCGGGGGGAGGAGATACTGAATGAGTACAAACGGGGGAAGGGGTATTAACCGATCTTCTTTCTCAGGTACTCAAGTAGTGGTAGTAAGATAGTAAGATTGAATTAGATAGATAGATTACACGGCATTTCAAGCAAAACATTGTATGTATCGTCTCAGACATGAAAGAAATTATTTGGCGAGCCAGCCGCGGAGAGTCTCCTCGACAACCACACCGGCCACACCGCAGCCGACAACTGCCCAGGTCCAGGGGTTGACGATCTCCTTGAAGCCGGGCCAGAAGCTGTTCTTCTTGCTCTTGAACTCCTGGAGCTGGTCGTACTTGTGCAGGTTTTCCGTCTTGTAGCGCTCCTCCTGGCTGGCCTCGGTCATCTTGTCGCCGCCCACGAAGCGGAGGAAGACGTAGTTGGTCAATGGGCCGAGGAAGACGAGCGGCGTGAAGTTGGTGGCTGCGTTGAGGACGGCGAAGCCGATGTGCACGAGCGTGTCGCCGAGGTAGCTGTTTCGTGGCTTGTTAGCTTGGGTTCACAGGAGCTGTCCAAAGTCTCGGGTTCACGGCCGAAAAACTGGACACTGGCTTCAAAGGAAGCTGGTGGGGCGGGGACACATACTTAGGATGGCGGACAATACTCCAGACGCCACTGCGGCATAGATCCTGTCTCTCTGCGCGGTGGGCCTCCATCTGGTTATCAGCGAGGACCTCGAGGGCGAAGCCGGCGCTGAACAAGCCGACGCCCAGCGCGCGCAGCGCAGCCTGGACGTCGGAGTCAAGCGACACGCTGGGGGAAGTCAGGCGGAAGGGTAGGGTGAACGGCAGAGTGATCAGGGTCAGGAAGGCGGCCTCGGGCAGGTACTGCTTCCAGAGGGCCTCCTTCCAGAAGCCGACGGGGTTCTGCTTCTTGACCTGGACGTAGCGGGGGTCGTCGGCGCCGCGGCGGAGGGTGCGCGACGCGATGCGAGCGAACAGCCGCGTGCCCCAGACGGTCACCAGTGACAGGATGGTCTTGTCCGTCCAGCCGAGCGCGCGCCACGCCGTCTGTGGCGCCACGTTGTTGTAGTACACCTGGTGGCCGACGGCGCTCCACCACGCGTTGATCACCTGGCTGGCGGGCCAGTTCCAGTCTTTGATCTCCGCGGTGTCCGTCGCGCGCGAGGCCAGGAACGCTGCGAGGTCGAGGGCTGTGTGTAGTGTGAACGAGGGGAGGATGGTCGAGCGTAGGATGCCGACGTCGCCTGTAGCGAGGCCGGGACTGCGGAGACGGTCCGCCTCGGCGAGAGGCGAACCCGACCCCGTGAGATTCATGATGCCGGTGTGGGAGTAATTAGGGATTAATTACTTTGTGAGTTAGAGAAAACAACAAAAGTCCTCTTGGAGGAGGAGGAGTTGGTTATAAATGAGGTTGGCTGGGTAGTTGATGTCAGTATTATGTAACGAAGTGATGACGTCGTATTGTTACTTTTCCTGCTTGGCCTAATTGGCCAATGCCAGGGATGCAGCCATCTCAACTTCAGCAAGCAGGGTTGCGATTGTTTCATTCGTAATTATAGCACAATAGAAGCAGCCAGCTGCAAGGAAATATGAAGTATAGGCTAATTATGCACATGCGACAATGCTGGTATAAGCGCTGCGGTATAATCAGGCTTGGCGTGTGTTAGATTGTTCACTTAGAGCCGAGAAATCAAATTGTAAAGGGAAGACATCCGGTTTAGTTGCTGAGTATTTAGCTTGCATCAATTCATTTAATCGTTGAGTCCAGACTTCAATTGGTGAGTCTGGAGCGAAGAAACTTGAACCGTCGGACTCGGTTGCGGACTCTCTGTATAGGCCATCCGAAGCCATCTCCTTGACCAGTTCTGAGAGATGCGGGATATTCATCGGCACAGTTATGCCTATATCGTACAATGCATATTCGTCGGGTATACTCTCAAGTGGCATTTTGCCTGTACTGATGCGTTTGAGTTTTGACGTCTCATCCGAGGTAGCGCTCTGGGCGCGATAGCGTATAAGGTACGATCTCGGATCATGCGGAGACAGCATCGATTTGTTTGTCTGTTCCAGATCGGTTATACTCTGACTTGAGTTGATGGGGGTATCAGCGCTGAGAGCAGCCCTTGCATTGAGGTATCGATTCAGATGCGGTGACCGAGAAGCGGACACTGCGTGACTACTCTGGAGCTGTTTCCGTCGCTGCTGTATAGCATCTCGCTTTCGGCGTTCGAAGTCTAATGCCTTCTCCAGTTCATTGTGGCTGTCTTTGGATAATTGATGGAGTCTCGACGACCATCGTTCCAGGACTGGAAGTCCCCGATTGTTGCCCTGAACCTCCATATCCTCAGTTGCTGGTGGGGGCCGATCCATGACCTGCGACAAGCCTGTCACTGCAGTGGAGCTGTCAGGTACATCTTCGGCTGGGGTTTGTGGCTCTTGAGTTATATTATCGGAAGTCTCAAATCGCTGGGCTGCAAGTTCTGCCAGCGATGGCTCCTCAGAATTCTCCCGAGTCTGCTCGGAGGGTTCCATTCGCGACAACGCAACTTGCGTAGTTTTCCCAAACCAGGTGTCGAGCGATCCGTTTCCGTAGCGTTCTCTATCACGTTCACGCATCGCACGTTTTGAGTTGTCACGAGTACCATGCTCAGGAGGGCTGTGCGAAGCCTGTAGCCGGATCGGTGAGATCTGAGCTCGCGATGGGGAGATTGTCGAAGTGCTCGTGCTTGATGCAGACGGGCTGGGAAGAGGCGACTCCAATGAGTTTCTACGGCTGTCCGCCATGTTCTCCTCGGTGACTCCGCGACAGGACGACTGGGTTTGCGGCGAGTTTCCGGAGGGTCCAACACTCGGCACATACAGTTTCGTAAAAGACCACGGGTTCAGAGTCTCCAGACGCTTCCGTCTTACGCTGTCGGCGTTAGATCTGTAAGATGCAGCTGTAGATGGTGGCGTGGCCTTCAACATTGAGTGTGCTGTAACGAAGGCCGAAGGCCGACCGTTGGCCGCTGTGCTTGGAGCAGCCTCGGTCGGGCTCTTGCGGGCCAAAAGCAAGTCAAATCCGTTAGATTCTGTGACCGGTGCTTTTCCTTTCCGCGGCGACTGTGCTTCCTCAACGCGTCCATTCTCTGCTCCGTAGACGTCACTGAGCATATCTTGCACGAGCGAAAGTAGCTTCCGAGGATCTTCAAGCAAGACATCATCCTTCGCGGGCTCGATATTGACGTCATATATCGCTCCATGGCAGCGAATATGCAGACATAGAAAGGGATCGGTGATATTTGAGAAGCTCTGGCGACGAGTTGCTGCGGCTTTTATATATGACTTGAACAGCTTTGCAATGTCCTGACCAAGGCCCCTGGCAGCCGACAGCGGCCTACCGTCGATACTGATATATTGGCCCGAATTGTTGGTCCGAGCGAGATCTGACAATGTTAGCAGGGGAAGCGAATAAGGCCGGCAGAGCACATACCTGAGGCCGGGTCTGGGAGAAGAGCGACTAGCTGATAGTGGAGCCTGCTCTCTCCCTCTGCGCCATGAACATCGCCCTCCCACTCTTTGACCAGACAGTTAGAGGCCACGGCTTTACCCACCACCTTCAAGGCCGCATCAGAAAGAGTCGCATCCTGCCCGGGAGCATACATCCAGTTGTTGCTCTCATTTTTAGCTCTTAGTACTCTTAAAGCCAGTCGTTTCGAGGGCTGGGCCAAGGCATAGGCTTGTACCAACTTCTTGATCCGCACCAGCGTCTTTGCGGCGTTCTTCGAGGCAGTCTGCCGTCGCACTGGTATGTGTTTGAAAAGATCTGCAATACGAACAGTTGTCCCCACCGGGTGTGCCACGCGTTGTGTACTGGGAATAGACGTGAGTATTGCACAATGAAGTTGTTCAAGTCGGCGTACCTGATAAGCTCCCCATCTCGGCCATAGTTGATGGCGCACCCAACAGATTCACTCTCAACTCTTGTGGTGACGATCAAGCTGCTAGAGATCTCGGCGGCACTAGCTAAAGCTTCACCGCGGAAGCCCAGCCATGTTCCTCCGACATGTCGGAGGTCTTCGACGGTCTGGATCTTGCTTGTGAAGGAGCGTTTGCATACGAACGGATAGTCCTCGCAAGGAATGCCGGTCCCGTTGTCTTTGACCTGAACTACATCAACCGTATTCTGGGAGATCTCAATGGTCACGGAAGTAGCCGATGCATCGAGGGCATTGTCCAACAGTTCCTTGACAATCGAGCAAGGGTCAGAAATGACAGAGGCCGAGCCGATCGCCCGAGCGGTCGTCGGCGGAAGCGCCGCGATTGGCATCTTCAATTGTACTCGTACGGTCAATAGGTCATTGCTAATCAAGGAGTGACAGTATACAAAGGAGATGAAAGAGATGAGGCAAGGTATATAGAAGCTAAGATGAGCTGGATGCCATTGTGTACTATCTGTTCCCGAGCATAAAACAGCTGAAGATGATGGGGGTGTATTTCCACGCACGCTAAGCTTCATCAGGCGATACTTGCTTAGTCAATTCTCCTGCTTGGCAGTCGGATACGATGACATCACGGCTGCTTGCCTGCGGATCGAATGCCGAAATCCCGCTGCAAGCAATATCTACAACAATAAACGACGATAAGGTGCATCACACAAGTTACCAGATTCCGTACGCCTTGGTATCTGTTGCATAGGATGCCCAGGGGAAGATTCTGGGCTCCTATCGGAAGAGGACGAAACCCAGATCGGACCATCAGCTTGATTTTTTAAAGAGAACAGCATACCGGTAATGGAGCGGATTCATGGCTCGGCACGAGTCATTGACCAATGCTGAGCTATCAGCAGATGCACAAAATGTCGCGTCTCAGATCACAGAGGCAACCGTGCTTAGAATTGTGAATTTGTGATCTGTGGAAAAGTGGTACACCGGACTTATAAATCCTCGTCAGGAAAATGAGCCGATGTTTGGCAGAGGGTGGCCCCCACCAACAAAACAAGCTGTCACACAGGATAGCTGAGATAACTTGCCGTAGATGGGCCTATAAAGTCTTCCGGCTCTCTCCACTTCTCTAGAAGGCTCCTTAATCGACCCGGATTTGCATCAGCTCCCGAACTCGTCAAGATGGCTTACACCGGTCAGTGCAATTGTGCGAGCGTGCGCATCACCTTGCCCCAACAACCTGCCAACTCGGTGCTATGCCATTGGTAAGTAGCTTTTATCTAAAGCCTTTGGTCCTGGCTCGCAACCGCTAATGATGCCATCGTACAGCTCTAACTGCAAAAAAGCCGGCGGAGGACGTAAGTATCCCAAAGCTTAGCAATCTTGGCGCCCGTGCCTTGCTGCGGGCACCTTCGTTAAACGTTTTGTCTAGTCTTCTCGGTCAATTATTTCGTCGACGAGAATGACATGGTCATCGAGGATAGCAACGGCGTAAAGAAAGTCTACCAGGATCCCAATACTCGGTCCGGAAACAAGATTTCGGTAGGTTTCGTTGATGTTTTTGTTGCCAGAGTGGATTTGGCTAATATGCTGGCTTTGGGTGTAGCGTCATTTCTGCTCCAACTGTGGAAGGTAAGACAGCCTTGCGGTCTGACCATCCAGAACTTCACTCTAATAAGTGATAGTCCGTTGTTTACCCTCACTCCTGGAAACCCAGGCAAGGCATTCTTGAAGGCACCGTTGTTCGAGAAAATCGCTCCTCCGAGTATGGCTGTGTTTGAGGAGAAACAGGAGGATTGGGCCAAGGTTCACTTGTGATACTGAAATTGTAGAATTGGAATCTGGCGTTATGATGCAGGGAATTGAAATTATCATCACGAGACTCGTAGAGTGCTGTACCATGGATGGCGGTGATAAGAGGGCAAATGCCAGCCAGATAAGGGCGAACCGGCCCTTGAAAACGCGGGGATCCGGAGGGTGACACATCATCCCCCCTGCCACCGCATTCGCCAACTCGCTCCGACCGGCCTCAAAGCGTGTCGTGGCCAAACAATGCATCATCCAATGCATCGCCCTGTCACTCTCTCCTCCCTTGGTACACTCTAAGGCATGTCGCACAGATCCTTCTAGGCTTTCATTGACAATGATTGAGGTACGCGATCACCATGTCGAAGACGACCCCATCACGGTGGCAGGTCGTGAGGAGAATACCCCAGCTGAAACGGCGGTCAACACTGGCGAAAGCCGTCATGAAAGCCAGAGCGTCGACAGCGATCGAGATGCGTTCGAGCTGCAGAACATCTCAACACAAGAGGGGGATGAGGCTGGTTTTTCGACTGGATCAATCTCCTCCGGGGAATACCGCGTCAGGACGATCCGAACGGTTTCCCGGGCCAGTCAGCGCAGTCGTGAGACACGCAAGGGGCCATGGGGACGTCTCGAACGCTTCTGGACGCGAAATGTGGTGTTGACGGTACCACAGCGGAGTAACCGTGATCATTTTGGTGAGAGGGCATTCCTAGCATCCCTTCCTTCCTTTCCTTTTGTATCTATGACTTCTGGAGCAGCCTAAACGCCGCGCTAAAATGACGGAATCTCACATGGCGATTGCACCAATACGAGCGAATAACCCACCACCTTCAATGAATCTGCATAGCTAACAGTTCATCAGCATTGGAGCGCACCTTCTTGGCGTACATCCGCACGTCAGTCATGGTCGCCATGCAAGGTGTTCTCATCGCTCAGTTGTTCCGACTGCAGCACATGGCTTCCCCGGATCTGGCGTTAGGCTTTTACGAGGTGGGCGTTCCGCTGTCGGTGACCTACTATGGAGCGGCCATAATAATCGCTTTATTGGGCGCTTATCGCTTCTGGAAGCAACAAAATATGGTGGCCCTGGGTACAGTGTATGCGGGAGGCTGGGAACTGAACTTGATCGGGATCTTAATTGGCCTAGTAAGTGCATATCTCTTGCGTTGATGTCGGCAGATCAGTACTGACAGGAGGACCTGCAGATTGTTTTAGCAACTTTTATCATATCCTTAATCATCACTGTGCAGCTGGACAATCTTGATGACTGATGATGCGTGACGCCATTATGCTAGCGGGTATTTTCTATTATTACAAGCGCCTGCATCTGCCTCGTCTAGCGATTTTTGTTGAATTCCAGCAAATGTATTGTTATTTTTGTACTGATTTCTTCGGCGTCAAATGCCGGGTTACAGTAAAGAATGCGAGTGCTCGGATTGAGATAATGATTGCTTATTCTATCCACATAGGATCTCTCTCTCTTTTGCTAAAGGATATTCTATATCTCCAAGAGAGAAAATTCACTCATCAACGAATTGTGGGAAGTCATCGAAGGAGCTTCGACAGCATCATAGCACTTTGAATAGGGCCCAATGAAAAATACGGCGGAGATGGAACGTTCTAAGAACTCAAAGCACCATTGTACGGGCGAATTGGCCTTCAATATGATAATACGTCTGTAATGCCGCCTACATCTCCTAAGGTAATGGCTTCTGCCCCCAAAGCCGGCTGGCTGTTCTTCAACAGATACTCAGCGGGGTCGGAACCCGGTTATGCCGATGCCGATGCCGATGCCGAACCTCTGCCTGTCACAAGTATTCGTCTTTCCAACACCTTCACCATGTTTGTCAAATGATCTCTTCGTGCTCATCCACTGCCTGTTATCGTATCTCATGGCCCCTTTGCGTCGCAGAAATGGCCGCCAGCCCGCGTGCGAGCCCTGTCGTCGGCGGAAGCTCGCATGCGACCATGGACTGCCAAGCTGCAGCCGATGCGAAAGGCTATCAATAAAGTGTTTATACCTCGCCAACCCATTGACCAAGGCAAAATCCATCAGTGACACAGCTGAAGCTACACCGGACTCTAGTGTCTCAAGCGGCAACAGCATTATTCCGAACGCGAAGACTTGTCCTGGCGCTCAGTCCACCACGCCTATCATCGAGAGCTCCGCGGAGTATCTTGGGCCAACGAGCTTCACCTCCGTGTTCGTCGAGCACAGGGAACGCTTTGAGGTCGACCATGCACTGGTAGGCTCCGATACAAGTGCTACTGGCTACACAGGCCGACAATCGCCGACTCCACAAGGGACGAACCCGGTCACACCTCGCTTACTCCAACTCGGGGTACAGATCCTGCAGAACATTCCAGACGAGGAGACGTGCAATATGATCTTTGTGAACCGCAAGGTATTCATGGACTGGTGCTTCAGGCTGGCAAACTGGCAGGCCTCGAAGCTCACGTGGGATGAGTACAGGCCTGTACTGAACGCACGGACGAACGAAAACCTGCATAGTCTTGCTAGGCGCCTGTCGGAGTGCACCATGGTTCCACTACCTGCTGAGCAGGATCCACAACGCTGGATTGAGTCATTCTCCGGCAAGAACGCCCGATGGGAACTTATTGGCATTCTTTTCACTTACTGGTCGTATGGATGCGTATCCTTGACACATGATAGTAAAGCGATTTCACGCTACTGCGCGAGCCGGACGATAAAGGGTTCGAAGGATATGATGCTGCATTTTAAGAAGTGTGCTTCCATGTGCATTGAGATGTGCAGCGAGCTGGGAGGAATCAATGTTCTCTTTTTGCACCTGTTGTACAAGCATAATATCATGGAGAGCAATGTGAGTGGGGATAAGAGTAAGTGACTCCGTTCATATCGGAACGCGATAGCTTTGCTGACAATTGTAGGTCTTTCCTGCTGGCGGCAACATGGCGATACCATTGCTGTAACCACGTCTATTGGGCTTCATCGCGAGCCATCTTCGGAGTGGAAAGAGGTATCATTTCAGCATGAGCTTAAGCGGCGTATCTACTCGGCGATCTTCGCCTTTGACAAAGTTGCATCCACTCTTACCGGTCGGCCGCCGCTTCTCAGTCGAAGATACTCGACCACGCAGTTACCTTTGGACATCAGTGACGATGATATACTTTCAGGCAATGTGCGGACTGCAGCTGCAAAATTAGATTCCGACGGGTGGAATCGCAATGGCGGCAGAGTCTTCAACCAGGCCACACCCCTCCGCGCAAGGGCCATGTTTGCCAGGAATCGCGAAGAGATTCTGGAAGTTGTGGAGTGTTCTGTGGAACACATATCTGACTCGGCAATTGAGACGTGCTTGTGAGTATAAGGCAACACATGTCTCAGGTTAAGGCTGACGCATGGTAGTGATCTTAAAGCTCAGGCAACCGCGATCTATGCTAAGCTGCCCGAAAGCCTCGTCCACAGGGTCGAGGATATAGACGATTTAGATATACCTGGGCATTACTTACACACGCGTATACTTGTTCGATTGGAATACTTGCTCAATATGTTTCTTCTGGAAAGACTACTGACACGCCACAAGACTGTCACTGAACAGGCGCTCATAGGGGTGAGCCAGGAAATGCTAGCTCTAGCGTTACTGTACTGGAAACACAAGGACCGATTTATGGGCCTTCACAACGACTTTTCATGGCTAGTAAGTGTCTTCTCGTGGGTCATTGTTATGTTTACCGTTTGTTGATTGACTGTCCATGCAGGCCATGTCCTACGGCGCTCCATGTAGTGGAATTCTCTGTCTCGAGCTGTTGCGCCAAGCTTCCAACCCACAGGCTTATATCCTGGATTTACCTCGTTCGGAGGTCATCCAGAACCTAAGTTTGTTTGTAGCCTTTTTGGATTGGCTCAAACCTTCGGGTGCGGACATTTCTGCCAAATCGCAAATCAAGAGCATCCTGCAACGATCGCTTGACCGAATTCTCGCTATGCCTGCTTCGCTGTGCAGTCCAGTGACCGCCATGGATAACTTTGGCATGCAGGACTTTATTGGCGCAGAATATCCGCACCTGGAGCTCTTGAACACTTTCAACTGGGTTGACTGGGACGGAGGGCTATGAACGCATCAAAACCCTGATGTTAACTTATATCAGTCGTTCCATCTAGAGTGTATTGCATTTGAGAAATTGCTCTACCTCCACCGAGCCCTCGAGCTGCGTCTATCGTCACAACCCACGGTCTATGATATACCTCTATATTCTAGATCTAGATTTTCCAACTTCCAAAAAACAAGAAGGGTGACATCATTCTCACCCCATCCTTATATAGCTGGATCAAAATTGGGTTGATCCAGATTGGCACCGTCCACAGCATAAACAGCGCTACCCAGACATAACCGATCACTCTTTTTACACCGGGGTTCATCCTAGCTCGGAGTGGCCGAACGAGATCTCGCACAATGCTCTCGAGAAGAACTCCCAGAATCTGCAGACAGAAGAACCACAGGGCGCCGCTTTTGGCCATCGGCACACCGAACCCCACATCCATGAACAAATGGATGATGCCTGATACCGTGAACGCGAGCAAAGCACGGAAATACCACGCTAGCCTTCCGTTGGGCGATTTCCATACCAGAGAGAGCAGAAAGTCGGCATTGGAAGTAAGTGGTTGGCGGAAGGTTTGGTGCCATGTTACTCTGTGGAAATCAACATCAGCTCACGCTCACGATATAATTTGAATAATAAATGAGGGGCGTAGGGATGTGGGCAGAGGGGAAAATACGCATACCCCCAAAACCGTCCAATCGACCACCCCTCCCACAAAGATCCAGCCACGGGCGGCCATTTCACAGGATCATACAGGCCCAGCCCGACCGCCAAGAAGGCGAGAACATTGTACGACGCGATGATCATCGCCCGGCCTATAATCCCGAACGAGAGACAAAAGAGCACCCGAACAAGCAGCCTCTTCCCTAAGCCATCCCCGCCCGCCGCCACTGCAAACGGGAGAAGCGCCTCCTTCGCCTCAGGCAATTGAGCGACGGCGAGGCCGAGATGAGGATCATCTGTCTCCATAGTACACCCCTGGATTACAATCACCGCTACGGCAACCTTCGCCAGCGCCTGCAGAAGAAATCGTGTCCGCGAGGGCACATAATCCGGATTCACAGCGTCAAATCGGGGGAGGTGCCGGATTTCCCACGGGGTGTCGATACGGCGGTAGTTGAAGGGGATGCTGAAGGCCCAGAGCAGGCGCGATACGCCTTCATTTCGCACTGAGGCATTGGGGGTCTGCTGCTTTTGCTCCTTCGTGTGAGAACCATTGGACAACCGCGCAGCTTTGTGACGATCCCATTCCTTCTGCGCCTCATACGACGCTCGGCTCAGGACGAGCAGGTCGATCCCGTTCAGGACGTGCACCACGCACATGGATACAAGAGGGGCTCCGAAGCGTGTCCCGGCGTAGTAGGCGTGCGCACCGCGTTGCGAGGAGTACCCTAGGGCGACGACAAGGATGGCCGTGGCCGGGCGGGCAAGCGATCGAGGCGAGGTGAACGCTACGACCAGTCCCACGATGGGCTGGATGAGTAGCCATTGCGCCACGGGGATGTACCAATTTGAAGGGAGGGCGGGAGAGGACATGATTATACAGCTTGCGGGAGGAAAGGGCAAGGGGGAGAGAAAACCACATCAAGGCTGAATCGCGTGAGCTACGGGGATTTCGGTTTTTATGTTAATTCGTGAGATATGCAGATGTGACTAAGCTGATTCACAAACAAAACTAACTGACTACCGGGAAGATTAGCTAGTAAAATTGCGGTGTGGAGTGTAGTGTGAGATTTGATCCTTATTTGCTAGCGCCTGGATGAGTCGAAAAATGAGAAACGCGAGCTGCCTGCCGGCCGGGCGTCAATCGAACTTCCCTTTTCGGCGGTAGTGAAGTTTTCGGTGCGGCTGACAGGCCCGCCGCACTGCCGTGGTTCAGGGGCCCAGGGCCCTTGCATGCGGGTCTGTTCCGGCGTTCTGATTGGGCGGACTGAGATAATCAGATCTGAAATCTCTGCTTTATCTTTTAATGTCTTGAAGCACTCTTTCTTTACGCCTACCAACAAAAGGGGCTGTGGTTTAGTGGTATAATATTCCCTTAGCATGGGAGAGGTCCGGGGTTCGATTCCCCGCAGCTCCATTTTTTGTTCTTTTTGTTTCTTGCTTGTGGTTTCTTTGTGGACTCGGTTTTTGGGTACGGAATAGAATCTGCATGCATTGGATGAGATGCGCTGGTTGTGCTGGTGTTAGCTAGGTTGTGGCAAGGTGTTCGACAATACTATTTCTGCTATGTGCTGATGGGTAACATCGGCGTGCGAGCTGATGTGAGATCTAACTTGACATTTCGCACCTCTTGCGGGTGGAAATATATATCCGCTGGATTAGTCGCTACCACCACTCACATACATGCTGAACGCGGCTTTCTGTAAGTGGCTTACACTTACCATTGCCAGCTCTATATACCGAGTCCACTCACACGAGAAGGCCTATTTGTACGGTGAGAATGCCACCCTCCTTCTTCTGGTCCTTGCCGTTTCTCCTCGTCGATTTGAGGCGGGTTGCGTTTCATCCATTCTTTCTCTGATCTGTCATGATCCATGCCGCTCTTTAATTTCTTCCAATTCATGTTATATACTCTCTAATAGTTCTACACCTCAAAATAAAACGGTCTCTCTGTTCTATTCTGCTCGCGGTGACCCCCACCCTAGCCGAATATGTCTCCATCTGCAGCGAGACTACGGCCAACTTCGCGCTCAATGGCGGCTTTGAAATGGGAAACACGCAGTACTGGGATACTGCGGGGTCATCAGTATCAGTGGTGAGATCCAATGATGCGCCTGAGGGAGAATATTATCTGTGAGTACTGCCACCACGTCTTTGACTCTCGTTCCTCTGCAGAGCAACCCCGGCTAATCATGGACTTGTCTACGACCAGCAAAATCAAAGCAGGAAGTATGGGCAGCGGCAACCCGGGAACAATGATATCAGTCTCCAGCAATCGCAACGGCTTCCCTCCCACCAACACATGGACAGTCTCGTTCTCCTATCAAATCTACCTAGACGGAGGCTCCAACTGCCAGTTCGTTTCCACCTTTGATTTAAAAACGCGCAGTACCCTCTGGTGCAGGGATATGTGACCCAGGACGTGACCGAGTGGAAGTATGTTAGCATGAACGTGCAGAAATACGTCGGTGCAGGCAGCTCCGTCAATTGGCCTTACTTCTACGTCTTATGCAGTAGTGGTGAACCTACCCTGTACCTGGATGGGATCTCCATTGCCTATCAGACTGAGACTTGTGCCAGCAGCCTGGTCACCTTGAAGCCGACGCCTGTTCCGACATCGCTCAGCTTCTCGGTTGCGGTTGTTACTTCTAGCTCTCCTGCGGTGCCGTCTCTTGTGGTGCCATCTTCTGCGGTGTCACCGCCGGTGGTAGCGTCTCCTGTGGTGTCTTCTGCCGTGGTTTCTGCGTCATCCTTTGTTGCGGTGATACCCTCTGCAGCGTCGTCACCCGTAGTGCCTTCTGCCTCAACTCCCCTGGTCCCGTCGGCCGTTGTGCCCTCTGCTGTGGTGTCAAGAACTTCCCGGCCTATCATTCAGCCGTCTTCTGTTACTCGCTCTGGCACTCGGATGCCTGCTCCGTCCAGTTTCGTGTCGTCCCAAATGGTATCGCCCTTCAGAGCGTTCACCCCGCAGCCGCAGTACAGCGCCATTCCCTCTTCTATCCAGCCGCACTCTAGCGTCGTTCGCTCTTCTATTCAGTCCCTCTCCAGCCCCGTTGGTTCCACTGCGCAGCCTCTGTCTGGCTCCGCTGCTCATTACTCTGCTACAGCAACCACGCAGACACTGGTGCCCCTTCAGTCCAAGCTCCAGTGTCACTGCCATATCGGGACCGAGCTCTTTATCTGCCTCAATCTCCCAGGATTCAATCCCATCATTCGGCTCAGAGGAGTTGACAACATCGACCATTCTAAGCACTCGCCCGGCCACAGTGACTGCCTACCCAGAAACAGTGACCGACTGTCCAGCTCGTCAACGCACCACATAGCTGACAACGGAAACCGTGGTAGTCGGGATTACCACCTGTCCAGTCACCGCCCACGCCCAGCCCACAGTCATAATCAACGCTCAGGGCTCAGGTCCCTCCAACGTGCCATTGACTACCTCCACTGTTTTCACCACCCGTACGTCCACAGTCACTGCGTGCCCTACGTCAGTCACCAACTGCCCTGCATCCTTACATATAACCTATGTCACGACGGAGACGTTGGTGGCCTACACGACTATTTGCCCAGTCACTGCTACTGAAACCGATGCGCCAGTTGTCACTGCCCCATGTAGCCGTAACAGCTCAGGCAGCTCTGATACTGGACCCAGAGAACAAGAAGCCGCATACTCCACGTAGAGCGTACCCCGACGTACACTGTCACAGCCTGTCCCTCGACAGTCAAGAAATGTCCTGTTTCTACGCGCAGCACTTATGTCACAACTCAGACCGAGGCCATTGCTACCATGATTGTATCGGTATCAGGCGGGTGGCCGGCTACCACAGCCCTCAGCGATGTTCACGCTGTTACTTTGGCCTCTCAGAGTACTAGTGCGGGATTGGAAAAGCAATATTCTGGTCTATCAATATCGGACGCCAGCGGGGCTGTGGGTGAGGAGCATGTGGGTGGTCAAGGTCAGGGTGGACGCCTTGCCTCTGCTACTGCATTGGGATCGGTCCAGGACAAACTACCGGTCAATCCCCTGGCACCAGCTGCAAGGTTGAAACATCCGAGAACACTCATACAGATGCTCAAGACTCCGATGAGCGCCCTATCGCCTACTCTCAGTCTAGTTCTATCGCTGGACTTGGGCAGATGGCAAACGAAGCCACCAGCGAAAGCAGAAAGATGGGGACCTCATACACTTCATCAGACAATCAAGACTTCCATCGAGCCCAATCCCTGCCTCCAGATCTGTTTCAACGGCTGGAAATAGCCAGGCTGAACTCGCGGGAACATCCCACCCAGCAGACGAAACCGCGAAGGGAAAGACAGGTTTCGAAGCTATTGCTGAATCGGTGCCCTCTGAATCACAGGCCACTCTCGCCACCGTGGCGTATCCAGCAAGCGTGGCAACTGGCACATTAACCACCTCCGCTCTAATCCACACCGCTTCCTTGACGGTTCTGCCAACCACCACATCCCTAAGTCCTTCCCAGTCCGGTACAAACTCTTCCTTCAGGTCATTCGGGCCTCAGAACAACAGCAGCCAGACCGGCCCTACTATCGCAGCTAGTTCTAGCGTTGGAAGCTCTTCTTCTCTGCTAACCCATGGTTCAACCACTGGCGGAGCGCCGGGTGCCCTTTTCACAGGCGCCGCTTCCGCAGTCATGGCTTCGAGGAGTGTAGGAATGGTAGCCGGGCTGTGTCTCATTGTTGGCCCTTGGCTTTTGTTCTAGTGATTGTAGCTGAGGCCAATAGCCCCAAGTCCCCACAACATCTTCTAAAAAGGTCAAGAATGCAGACCTCATAAGATGGTTTCTTACTTAATCTCTACACGAATGTCTTAGAGTAATCCTTAACGCCAATATCTTGGAAAAAGTCATCTGATGAGGTACTCTGAGCACAGCAGCTCTATCAAAGCTCATAAACTAATATCCCCTAGCATTTCCCGTGGAAACACATCCAAGTTAAAAAAAGAGAAGACTGCAGCAGGTGTTTAGGATTATTCAGGTCCTTACATTGCGACGCAAAAAGTGAGTGCATCATCCGTGAATCGAACACGGGCCTCATCGATGGCAACGATGAATTCTACCACTAGACCAATGATGCTAGTTGATACGTTCTTGGCATGGTATATGGCTCTCTATAGGACCCAAACCAAAGTGCCGAAAACAGCAGTATCATTACAATCAATCATCTTTTCGCTCTATACGTCGAACAACTAAATATAGACGGCCCGCCGTCACTAAAACAACTCATTGAACAGCTCCCTCACCTCCTCCGGATCCAACTTCGACAGCGAGGACACCTCAAACCGTTTCGTCCCAACATATTGATCGATGATACGACGCCCAATAACAGCAGCCAGGTCCCCAGCATCTGCATCCAACAGATCCAACGCCTCATCCAACTTCTTCGGCAGCGGCTCTCCACGATCCGCGTCTGCGTTCGCCGGATCGCCCAGGTCCGGCCACACCAATGGCTCCTGCCCTGCGAGACCCATGAGCCCAGCCCCGATAATCGCCGCCAGCGTCGAGTACATGTTCGCCATGGCATCGATGCACCGGATTTCCCACCGGCTGGGCTCGATCTTGCGAATAGGCACGAGGCGGCACTCAGTGCCCCAGCATGCCGTGTCCGCGCCCGCCACGAACGGCTTGAGCCGCTCGTACGACACATCTTGCGGCAGGCAGAAGCTGCAGAGACTCGGGAGGCGCTTCAGCATGCCAGCCAGGAAGGACTCCTCGAGGTGCGGGCTGGCAGGCTGCAGAGAAAGGTGCGTGTGCTGGCCGTTGGCCAGCGAGTCGCCCGCCACGGGCTTGGGCGCCATCGTCACCGTGCAGCCGTGCTGCGCGAAGGTGTCTTTGAGATAGCTGTGCACCAGCAGGAGCTGGTCGACCGCCTGCATCGGGGGCTTGGGACCCAGCGCGAACTCGTACTGTCCGCGTACGCCTTCGGTGTGGATCGCCTGGATGTCCACCCCGCGAGCTTTGAGCTGGAGCACGCATAGCTCGATGTGCTCGTAGCAGGGGTCGCGGAGACCGGAGATGGAGAACAGGCCCCAGCCTCGGCTGCAGCGCTCCATCTGGCCGGTCGTTGGGTTGGGTTTGAGGATCAGGAACTCGACCTCGAAGCCGACGAGGAAGGACAGACCCCAGCGCTCTTGGGCCTGCCGCAGGACTCGGGACAGGGTGTGGCGAGGGCACAGGGCCTGGGTCATCTCGTGGCCTGGTAAGGTGTAGTCCAGCGAGCAGAGCACCTGGGCACTCCCTGACCCAATGTTCGGGTGCAGTGTCGACCAGTCCGGCACGAGCCAGAATTGAGCATCGGTGGGGGTTCCGGGGATGAGATGGTTGTCTACAGAGCAGGTGAGCGCCAGTCCGGTCGCCTTAAGTGGCTTGCCCTCTGCAATTTGCGCCATGGCGGTGTCGAGGGGGACCACCCGGCCACGGAGCACACCCGAGTAGTCCTGCCATTGGAACCGGAGGAATTTGACGAGGGGGTGATTTCGTTGGAGTCGGTTGAGGAGCTCCGTCACTTTCGAGGGAGCTGCGGCCGTCATGGGGGGTTCGCTGGTGAGTGACCTCGTCAGAAAGTTCATGGTGTTGAGTGTTGCGCTAATGGTCGACAAGGGGGGAGATGAAGATCACTTTAAGCGGACCCTTTCAGATTTATAATAGGATTATGCATGTTGTCGCTGCATTCTTACATGACCCCTTTTGCGGGCTGTGGGAGTTCGGCAGAATGCAGATCGTACGGATGCTCTGTAATTCGGTATGCGCAGGTATCGAAGATCGGCTGTCGCCAAGTCGCCATCGCGATCGATCCATCCGTGGGTCTCTTAGCGGTAACCTCGGAAGATTTCTGTGACGGCTTTGTGACAGGATGTGACAGATGATCATGAACTATTGTCTTGGCTGCATGGTGGCTTGACGATCGCCCGGTGCATTGCCTAGAACAATACAGGAATCTCCTTCCAAGGATCCCGAGACATGTCCGGCTCAGCTCTTGAAGGAAAGTGATAATTTGACCTTCAGTCCGTCCGTGCTCAAACCTGGGCTTGAGTCGATTCATACCATCATGGCAGCGCATGAACATACTCCTTTGTTGGCCAAAGGCGACCGGCAGAAGTCGACCAAGAATTACTTCTCCAAGATCCTGGCTGGCTTAGTCGGTAGGCAGTATCTCGATCTTTTCTGACCTGGGGCGCTGAAATAGACTGACCGATCATCTCAGGTGTTTTCCTCGCCAGTGCGGATAAGTCCATTCTGCTAGCAACCCAAGGGGAGATTGCTTCGTCGTTACACTCTCCATCCAGTGCATCGCTGCTGTTAGTAATTTACAATGTGGGATTCTGCATCGCATTGCCTGTGGTCCGACTCACCTCTTTGATCTATCGTCTTGGTATGACGTATTGACAAGCGTTCATATAGTATGGTTTTCTAAGTGATATCTATGGCTGCCGACGGTTCCTATTATCAGCGTATGCCTTGTTCGCGGTGGGATGTCTGATCTCGTAAGTAGCGACCGCAGCATGCTCACATCTATACTCATTTCTTTGACAGTGGATTTGCTACCACCTTATGGCCCTTTGTGCTGGGCCGTTTGATTTCTGGAATGGGTGGTGCCGGCATGACTGATCTACTCTCGGTCCTCGTGAACGGTAAGCCTGGCTAGAACAGACACGAAAGTGCGATGCTGACCTCAATCCAGAGATCTTTGACATCACGGAAGTGGCATCAGTGCGCAGCTACATCATCGCAGCTGGCATTGTTGGGCAGGGCTGTGGAGGGCCTTTGGGGGCCCTTGTCGCCGACATGGTCGGTTGGAGATGGTAGGGTTCAATTCTGGGCTATTGACCTAGGCCACTGACGCGTTGACTCCTAGGTCTTTAATCGGGCAAACACCCATTGCATTTCTGTGTCTGGCTCTCGCACAGTGGCAGTTCTCGACCACTTCCCCAGTCGAGACACGTTCCGACAGGAAGCTGAGCTTGAGGCAGTTTGATTACTTTGGGGTTGCGTCCTTCTTTATTCTAGTTACGTCTTTCATCCTGGCAACCACAGAGGGGGGCATCTCCTATCTTTCGTCTAGGACGTGGGAGCTGCTAGCTGTCTCGGGGGTATTCCTCGTGGTGTTCATGCTTATTGAACGCTTTGGGACCAAGTACCCCATCATTCCACCCTCCGTTGTTTGTTCGCCCGGACTGAAGGGAATCTTCTGCGGGCAGATTATCTACTTCGCCACCGTCACTACGGTGAGTTCGCCTCTCTAGCCTCCAGTAAGGGCCCGCTAACAATCTCCAGATCCTAAACAACCTCCCTCCCTACCTCTACCGAATTGACCATCTCTCCAACTCGGCGATCGCCGTGCGCATCTGGCCTGCGGCGCTCGGCCTGATCTCCGGGTCGATTATCGCCGGCAAAGCCATGAGCAAGTGAGCAACTGCAACCGCTGAGACACCACGCACAACATGATACCTAACACCGGCAGAAAACTTCAATACCGCAAGCTCTCCCTAATCGCCATTGGGATCACCTTCCTCTCTCTGACCGTGATGACCATCCGCTGGCTCCACGGCATTCACGGCGTCGAGGTCTTCTACTGCTTCCCCTGGGGCGTCGGAGGCGGCCTGCTGCTGTCGGCGCAGTTCATCGCGCTGACGATCCGGTCGCCCGCAGAGCAGCTCGCCAGCGCGATCGCAGTCTATCATCTCTCGCAGCAGGTGGGCCAGATCATCGGAACGAGTGTCAGCGCCGCGGCGCTGCAGCATCTGTTTAGATGGCGGGTGGAAGTCGGGCTGGAAGATATGCCGCTGGATAATAGATCCCAGGTACGTGTCTCTGGGCCTCGGTCGTGGGAACGAATTAGTGGTGTGCTAATACCAGGAACTGGGCGTCAGTTGATCGACCACATCGTGCAGGATTACAAGTTCACAGAGAAGTTGGCACCGGCGATTCAGGCTGTGGTGCAGTCAAGCTATATCGAGGCATACAGACTGATTCCTGGTATTTACCCTTCCTTCCTAGTATCGACGCAAGTTAACCTTGCTGCAGCATCAGCCCTAATCCTCTCCGGAATCGTGGGCGCGTTGATCATTTTCTCGAAAGAGAAGAAGACCATGTCGTAGACATAGTTCATACTTAAGTAATTGATGGAATAGAGATAAAGGATGTAGATTAAATTAGCGCAGTAGTATCTAATCACGCTTAATCGAGTTGAGTCTAATTGACACAAGTATTCTACAAGTACACCGCTCCAGCAGCCTAAACCCTCAGAACCAGGTCTAGCGCTAGGATAAACCACAGCCGCTGTAGGTCAAGCCCACCCCACCTGCCATTGGCCTCTAGATTCTTGTGGGGATCTCCAGTTTCTGTTACATCATCTCCGATACTTAGTACTTAGTATGAATATCCAGAATAGGGGCGAAGAAGCGGAGTAGAATTCCACGACCAGAAGCACACCCTTCCTCCAGAACACAAGATCTAGCTACTAAGTACGCACCGAGTAGCTAGCTAACTAGTACCTTACTTGCAAGACCAAGCTCCAATCCAGGCTAGCTCCGTGACAGAGACTGACAGATCGCGTTTAGGGACTGAACCGAGATCCTCCAGATTAAACCATCCGAGAGAACAAGATCAGCGCAGCCGCACATCCACCCATCCATCAAACCCTACGCCCAGTCCGAGTCTACAAACCAAAAACCCACCACGAAACTCCCAGAAAAGTTCAAAAATGATGACTCCAGCTGACGCCATCTGCATACCTAATCTACCTACCATACAAACCATAGGTTATAAAGTATATATAGCGTCCAGCTCCGACCCCATACGCTCGTACTGTACTAAGTGAATATGCAAAGCACGCAGATCAATACAATACGTCTGCATGACGCGATCCCATTCCCTGCTTTCGAGCATCGAGCAGCAAGCATCGAGTCTAATCTTGTCCTGAAGATGAAGTGGTGGGGGCAGTGGCGCATACGCGGCTTGTAAAGGCCTTGTATCGATGATCGATAGTCGAGATCGGGATCCACTTTTCAGCTCCGCTCCGCTCAGCCCGGCTCGGAGATGGGTTGGATTTGGTGGTTTTGGGGATGATCTTGCTCTTGGAAACTTGTAAACTACTTAGGTGTGGGGGGGTGTTGATTCTACGGGTATTCGTTGGTGGGTGGTTTTTGAGTTGATAGGGGTTCAAACTTCTTTGTAATTGGGTTGAGGGGATGCTGGGTTAATTTCTGCCCGGTGGTTGGGTGATTATTGTTGCTACAGTTTAGTTTCATGAATTGTAGGGTGGTCACTTAGACTCTACGACTTGTACGTACATCAAAGGAGAGCTAGAAGTTTGCAGTGAACTGCAAAAGCTCCGTACTTACCGGAAATCCAAGTCTGAGCCTGATCGCCCCACTCCGCGATACAGCAGTGCAGATCGTTTCACATCGACACCACTAGCTCCCTTGGAACGACGCCGCACTCTAGAGTCTGAGGCACCTCGCCCTCTACCGTCACGGAATTCCACCTGGTCAGGGAGCGGTTGTTCTCAACCACAGTATAAAACTTGTCCGGCCCCGGGATCAGCGCCGTCACTTCTGTCGAATAGGTGATCCCCAGCCTTCATTTGTTCTAGCACGGCTTACGGGCTCATCCTTATACCATGGTCCAAACCAGCGAGCTGAGGGGCCCTCCCCTCCCTGACACCATGCCTCCGCTCACGGATCAGTTCCGCCGGAATGTCCAGCTCTACCCCGATACCTTGGCGCTTGTCTGCACACATCAGCCGTCGGATTTGTACGGTGTCGGTGTCAGTAGCAGAAGTTGCGAGACGGGTAAACAGGGGCTGCGCTGGACGTATCGCGAGCTTGACTTGGGTATCCGGCGGTTCGCTGATGGGCTTCAGCGACGGGGTATCGGGGAGGGGTCCCTGATGGTGATGTTTGTGACGAACTCAGCCGAGTATGTGATTGCGACATGGGCTGCGTACCGGATTGGGTGCCTGCATGTGCCACTCAGTCCCAGGAGTCTGGCGCATGCGCGCGAGGTCACGCATATGGTGCGCACGGCGGTGGAGGCATGCGATCCGGTGTCAGTGGTTGTTGTGGCCGGGAAGAGGGAGTGGACGGCCCAGGTTGCGGAACTAATGCAGGGGCAGGGGTTCGATTGTCTGAAGATCATGGAGGAGGGGGAGGGGGCGGCAGTGGGGGACGAAGCAGATGGATGGACGCCGTTCGCCGAGGTTATGCAAGGGACGACCACGACGATGGCCCAGACCGACGTGGTCGAAGATTTTAGCCACGCGGCGCCGGTGGAGTCGTCGATCTTCTTCACCAGTGGGACCACCTCCCTGCCCAAGGGCTGCTTCGTGCAGGCCTCCGCCTTCCCCACGACTGTCGCCCGCAGTTGGCGCGCGAGCCGTCAACCTATGCGCCCCGGTGATCGCGTCGCGATCGTGCTGCCGAACAACCACGCCTTCGGCTATATGTTCCTCATGGCTGCGTTCGTCAATGCGGCGACCATCGTCTTCCCGGGGTCCGGTTTCGTGCCGGAGGCGCTGATCGAGACGATCCGGCGCGAGCAGTGTAGCCATACCGCGCTGGTGCCGACGATGTTGCATGCGCTGAGCGGGGTGGCCTTGGCCCCCAAGCAGAAGCTGCATTCGCTGCGGCGGGTCGTGTTGGCTGGCGCGCCTCCCACGGAGGAAGTGCTCCGCATCTGTCTCGGCCATCTCGGCGCGGACGGGGTGGAGAACTTCTATGGGATGACGGAGGGGATCGTGGTTTCGACCGACGCGGCCGAGAGTGTCGACAACGTGGTCAATGGCAGAGACGTCTCGATCGGCTTGCCCTTGCCGGGTGCAAGGGTCAAGATCTGCGCTAAGGGCAGTAGAGTCCCTGTCGCCATGGAAGCCGTTGGTGAGGTGCATTTCTCGGGACCCAGTCTGGTAAAAGGGTATATCGGAAACAGAGATGATGATAAGTTTTACACCGGCGAGGACGGCCGGAGGTGGTTCTGCACGGGGGATAAGGCTGTCGTTGGGAAGGATGGCCAGCTGTATCTGGTGGGCAGGTATAACGACACCATCATCCGCGGAGGGGAGAACATCGAACCCTCGGCTATTGAGGCTGTCCTTGGTCAGACGTCTGAATTCCACATGCTCGAGCCTCAGATTGTGAGGGCACCGGATAATGTTGCTGGCGAGGTGCCTGTTGCAGTCATTCGACAAGAAATCGGCGAAGAAACGGCGCGGCAGCTCAAAGATACCGTCAGGGCCAAGATGGGAGCGCTCTATGTCCCGGCGGGAGTAATATCGGTGCTGTCTTTAGGACTGGAAGACTACCCACGAACCCTCGCCGGGAAGGTGCAAAAGTCAAAACTAACAGAGCTGGTCGAGGCTTATTGGACAGCCCGGAGGTCTCGAACTCGTAACAGAGTACACAGTCGCGCAATGCTCGAGATGAGGCTCAAACAGGCGTGGGCGCGGGCCTCAGGGCTCAATGATGCGACTATGATCGATGTGAATGTTAGCCTAGCGGGATTTGCTGATGTCCGCTTGCTCGACTCAATCAAGGAGCATCTTTGGACGGACATGACCAGCAATGTTTCATTGGCGGGCTGGATAGCGGCTGATACCATCGCGGAGGAGGTTGACTTAATAGAGGATGCTGCCCGGAGTGAACGAACTGAGGAATCAGACAGTGACCAGGCCTCAATCGACTCGGTTCCCAACTCATATGTCATCGAGGCATTGCTGGCAGCCATTGCATACGAGAAGGGCGACCATATCGACCCGGCCACGCGGCTGATCGACTTGGGCGTTGACTCTATCACTTCTATCGCGCTCCTCAACCAGGTGCGACAAGAGACAGGAGTGTCGCTCCCGTCGTCCCTCTTCTTTACCCCACACACCATCAGCGAGATCATCGACCGACTGCAATCGACACCCAATCCAGCCGATATTCTCGACTTCGAATCCGCTTCAGAAGAGAGACCTCGCGAGTGCTTCTCCGCGCTCATCCAAGGGACCCCCAAACCAGGCGTCCCGTCCTTGTTCATGACACCCCCAGGCTCCGGATACGCCTTCTCGTACGAGCCCCTACCCAAGTTCGCCAACGACCTGGCCGTCTACGCGCTGGGATCTCCATTCCTCATGACAAAATCCGACGCCAGCTGGACGGTGGAAGAAGCCGCCGCCTTGTACGTCAAGACCATCCGCAAACTGCAGCCCGAGGGGCCGTATCTGCTGGGTGGCTGGTCGATGGGCGCGATCCTCGCGTACGAAGAAGCGTACCAGCTGCGCCAACAAGGCCAGACAGTCATGGGGATCCTCAACCTGGACATGCCACTGCCCCGGCCGGACCCGCACGTGCTCGAACCCACGGTCAAATTACTGGAGATCGTCGGGTTTTACCCAGCGATCCGGCGCGCAGGAAAGCCCGATATGGAGATCCCGTCCTACCGCAGACAGCACAGTCTCGCTTCGGTGCGGGCGAAGCTGAAGTACGCGCCCCGTCCAATGCACACGGCCTCCGACGATGCGACACCCGTGCCGATCTTCGTCATTTGGGCGGGACATGGGGACCCGGACCGGCTGCCGTCGGTGCTGGTCGAAGCCGAGGAGATTCTGCAGAAATTCGGGCTAGAGACGCAGGAACGGACCAGTCAGGAATGGCTGCAGACGCCGCGGGAGTCGATGGGCCCGGGAGGCTGGGCGGAGATGGTCGGCGAGGAGAATGTCGAGTGTCGGGTAATCGACCATGCGCATCACGATACGCTTATGGATCCCGAAGTGGTAAGTTGTGCCCTGATTCCTGGTTATTGTGCGATAGGTACTCATGCCATGCAGGTAGAATGTACGGCGCATTTGATGCAGGTCGCAATTGATAAATGGCTGTCTTCTCGATCTTGATCCTCGCCTCGATACATAGACATCTGATTTCCCTTTATCCTCTCATAATATGACGGTAGCATTGGAAGCACCGTCCTCGGCCGGAGCATGAGGCTGAATTAGCGTACCGCAGGTGGAAAGCTGTTGCGTGCAAATGGAGTTGTGCTCCTGAACCGAGTGTGAATGTTTTTAGCGCATTGATTTGTCTCACGTCCTGCCATTCAAGGGACTACTTTATCCCCAATTAACCTAATCAATATTAGCGTGTCTTAACCATCCCGCCTCTTGAGAACGTAAGCACTAGTGAACCGAGCCTCCTTATCGAAGACTCCTCCCCGCGCACACCAAACCGCACAACCAAGCCCACTCCAACGCGTTCGCAAGCCAAAACACAGAAACCCTCACACAGACAGACAGAAGTCCCAGACCAAGAACCATGACGCCACCCCCGTGCCAGCTGAGGCCAATCAACCTCCACGACCCATCCGACTTCACCGAGATGCAGCGCCAGCGCCAGATCTGCGGGTGGGACCACGAGGCCCCCAAGATCGAGAGCTGGAGAAACAAGCAAGACGAAGGCCTGAAGGGGTTCTACTGGGTGTGTATTCCCGACCCCAGCAGCGGCAGCAGCAGCAGCAGCAGCAGCAGCAGCAGTATCGCCACCACCTCCTCCTCCACAATCCGCGCAGGACACATCTCCCTAGACGCCTACAGCGACCCGCCGGACGCCGACCTCGCGCGCGCCGACCGCTCGGTCCTCACCGTGCAGACGCTGTTCATCCTCCCGGAGTACCGGGGCCTGGGGCTGGGCCGGCGCGCCATGGACCTGGTCGAGGAAAAGGCGCGCACGCAGGAACCGAAGTGCCGGTACCTGGCGCTCACGACGCTGAGCGAGCGGCATTTTGTGGATGAGTCGCCTGAGGGCACGGGTGTGTGGGCGCGCACCGGCTCCGCGCCGCCGCGCATGGGCTGTAATCAGTGGTGGTATGCGCGGCGCGGGTACGTGTTTTGGAAGGAGGAGCCCCGGTGGACGGATAAAGGGTTGGATGGGTCGGAGGTGGCGTTTTATGCGGCGTTCATGCGGATGGATGTTCGGGCGGGGGTGGAGGGGGAGGGAGGGAAGGTGGTTGTTTAGTTGTGTTGTTTTGCTGTTGTTATCGGGGGAGGGGAGGAGACAGTGGGCGATAAGGATGCGTACGATCGCTGGTGTCAGTGGTCTACACCGCTTTCTTGTTGGGGCTGAGGGCGGTTCCTGCAGGTGAGTTCACTTTGGGCGGTGTGAGGTCTGTATATGTAGTTTAAGGTAACAGGGATTAAGACCTGTTCTGCAGTTTTCCTAGTGCAAATCAATTAGATGAACTCGCAATTAATGGAGAAGATAAAACAGTGCCAATTTGGGGAAAATATACTATGGATTATTCCTGCTGTCGGAAATAAAGCCTTGTTCACATGCAAAATATAGGTATGTACACAGTGCTCGTCTAATCGAGATTATGGATCAAGCCCATTCAAACACGATAGCGCGGGATCCCATGCTGAACTTTCCAACTAATGCTGTATAGTCTTGCGTGTCCAGGCTACCTAAATGCACAACAAGAGTCTAGATACAGCAAAGATAGTGCTGTAGCATTGAGCCGGCAGAGCGCAGCCCATCTCGAGCCCTCCAGCTGAGTTCAACCTCAACTTCCACATCGGGCCGCGCACAGCCAACAGTCCCAACTCTCAACCCCTGAATGATAAGACTAACTCCGAGCAAGGCACACCAAGCATTGGATCACCCGCCATTCCCGCAACCCGTGCCGCGCGTTCCGAGCCATCAATAGGTCTTATTCGGCGTTATGGCCAGGCCATCCCCGCGATGACGTCAAAGTCGAAGACAAAAGACCTCAAATCAACCCATCCTTAGCACAGCACGTTATCATGATTTACGTCACCTGCGTTTCGGAAAACGGTATAAAGAATGCGCTAATGGCAGTTGAGCCAGCTCACTATAGTTGGCAAGTCCGGAAAGTTACACTGCGATCGAATTTAAACCAGACATAAACATAAAGACCCACGATGTCGAGCTTCCTCCACAAAGCAGAAGACGCTCTACACTTTCACCACCACAAACACCAGTCCCAAGACCAGCATGCCAAGACACCAACAACCGCAACCGAACAACGCCCTCATGACCCCAGGTCCCCTGCCGCGGAAGCTCCTCCCCAGGCTGTAGCCCAAGAAGGTTCGACTCACACCCTCCCCCTTACTGCTCAATTCAACGATAGATACTAACCCCCAAGAAGAAACACCCCACAACCACGATCACGATCACGACCACAAAAAGCACAGCCACAGCCACAGCCACAGCAAACGCGACTCGCACCACCCCAGCCCCGCGGAGATCGCGCGAGCCGACTTCCTAGCCGACCGACAATACGACCGGATCCTGAAGTCGCCCGACCACGGCGCGGGCATCGGCTTTGAGATGTAGAATGACTGAGCCAGCAAGATACAATGAGGATAATTGGGACTTTGTAACGGATAGCTTTGAGGCTGGTTCCTTGGATCAGATAATGAATTCATTGTTCCATGTCTGTTCTTTGTGTCGGGTTGTTTTGGCGCTTGGCGGGCGTTAGTAATCACCTTATTGGGGACAAGCTCCGCCAAGTCGATCTATAGGGCAGGACACTTACTATACCTAACAGGCGCTTTGGTGCTTGGTTCTGTTGTGTCGATCAGGATGTTTGTCTTTGTTGAGAGTAGGTTTGATCACGAGTCGAGGGGTCGTGAGTGATTCACCCATCGATGCTCAAGTTCTAGCTTGTTTCATATCCTACCTAACCAAAGACATCCTGAACGATCTTTACGAGCCCCTTCTCAACATCCGAATGGGGTGGTACAATTGTCTATATACCAGACTAAAAAATCAATGCTTTAAATCTGGATGAGTGGATATGATAGCCTCTTTACTCGCAAGTGTGAGGTTCCCGGGCAGAGAATGCAGCTGCAGATGATCTAAGACCGAATTTGTCACAATTAACTTCAAGAAACACAATATACAGAAAATAAGAAAACCTTTTCATTCTCACCTATATATGATAGATCAGCACATCTCTGGAAATAGACGACAAAACCACAGAAGTCACACCCAGAACACCCAGAAAACCTACTCTCGTCTCCAGACACAAAATGAATTTCTCCAAAGGAAGAGCTATCGGTACAGCCATGAAGATCCAGGCACGTACCTCCACAAACCAGCCACCAACCAATCTTCCAACCACTTACCTCGTCGCCAAGAAGGGGGGTTAGGGGTAATACCTATCGATGTGCGCACCTCTTGAACCACAATGCGCCTTGTACATCACATCCAAATCCACAAACACCTATCGACAGAGGGCCCAGGCATTCTTCGTTTCCAAGATTGACATTGCGCCTTGCGCCGGCATCAGCACCCAGCCTTTGATCTCCGTCAAGAAGCGGTCAATTGCAAACTTGTCGTTTTCCAGACTGAACTCCAGCTTATCATACCCTCGGAACCCCAAGGGGAGAATGCAGTTGTGACTGTTCTTCTCGAAGAAGCTGATCGTTTGGCCGCGCACGATGGCGCCAAAGGTTTTGTACGCGGGCTGCACCTTTGGCGAGGCCCAGAGGGACCCGAGGACCGGGAAGTCGGTGCCTTTGAAGGCGCTCTCGCCCTCGATCACCGTAAGAAAGACGCGTCCCTCATACGACACCTCAAACACCTCGTACACGCGGCTTTGGCCTCCCCCGCCTGACGCCTGCCCATTCCGATACGACCTCGACCACACCTGCAGCACAAACCCGGGGCCTGGTGGGTACTTCTCCAGCAAGAGTTTTGCCAAATCATCAGCGCTGTGCCCGCTCTTAAAGGGCCGGAATGTGGCGGTGTTGAACCAGTTGAGAAAGGGATTCGGGTTGTCTTTGAACGTCAGGTTTGCGATGGAGGACATGGCTAGATTGTTAGTTCCTGTTGGCCGAGGAAGGTGGTTAATAGTGGGAGAGCTGGAGATTTCGTGTTGCTGTTTCTCTGGGGCTAGTCTGGGGGAATGAGTGATAATTTCACCTTTTCTTCAAGGGTTGTGGATGCGTTGGTTTGTGATTACTGTCTTTCGTTTGCTTGACATGCAAATTATAGGGGCTGTGGGTAATGATCTGGTGTGAGAAAGATGAGGCGGATTTGCGTTCGAGAGGATCTTTCATACTCTTCTCGATGAGGGAGAGGCCTGAATCTGTTTCTTTGGTTAATAAGTTGCTTTGGTCGGATATTGGTTCGTATGAACGGCAGTCTATTTTGGCTTTGACGATGAGAGGAGATCTCCGGTGATCGCACGAGGCACGTTCAAAGCCTCTTTGCAAGGTGGAAAATCGATAAAGAAGGTTCGAATAAGCTATTTGCGAAGGGATCCTTCTTTGCAAGGTTAGTAGTATGGTAGACTTACCATGGATCAGTCGATGAAACAAAAACCAACCACAACGTTATTTTGCATTTGGCATGGTCGCATCACGACTCATTTGGGAAGAACAGAAGTCTTTGTTCCCGGCCGGGAAGCCTTGCCCACATACGGCAGTCCATTGCGGCCATGAGGTAAAACTGCGATTTGCTGGAGTGCGGCCGTTTTCGTGTACACAGGTCACACGACCCTAGTTTATAGCTTATGTGAGTTGTTCCTGATTTCATGTGATACTAAGCCCTTTAGTAAGCAAGAACAAACTAACTATACAATCTTATAGATTACTGTAAAATAATAATAAATTTTATTTTTTCTTATTTATTCTATGATATTCAATTAAGTACTTTATAAGTACTTAAAAAGTATCTTAAAAAATGAATTCTAATAATATTATTACTATTTCTGTTAATAATAATATAGATAACTTATTTAAAGTAAATATTAGAGTGGCTAACGGCCAGGTCAGGTCAGGTTAATCAAAATTTTTATACCTGACCGCCAGGTTAAGGTCAGGTTAAGGTTAAGGTATAACGGTCAGGTTAAGCCCCTCTACATATACTGTTTCCTTTCTTCACCAGCTTGGGTCCTACGCTCAATTAACTCTTCTGTTCTGAATAGCTCTCGATTACGAGCCTGCATTACATCATCGAATTCGCGAACCATGCTGCTCAAAGGTTGACCGTCTAGATTATCTGACTGATGGTTGACTTCTAACAATGAGTGAAGCAATACAACACAGTCGCCCAATGACTACATTCGACAACAGTGACAGCAATCTTTCAACTCCATGCATGCTGATGCCAGACCCTCTTTTACGCTGACCCATCACAGCCCCACTGTGAATATTGCCTCAATGAATGCTTTACCCCATCCGCACCCTGCTGCTGCGATACAATTCGAGACGTATTCCCTTGGCGGATAGCTCTTCGGAATGGTGACATCCCGTGAGATGGCTTTGGCTCATTGTTTGGAAGCGGAGAGATCCACCCCTTCTTGCGATCAACCATGGCATTCATTACCAACTGATTCCATTCCTGGTCTGTAGGAGTGAACGGACATTCAAACATCCATTCTGCTTGAACGTGCACGCCGTGTTGTTGCCCGGGTAAGGTATCGCCTGGTTCGGTGGAAGGGGTGTGAAACACCACCTCGACAGAGCCACTATAGGCGATTTTGCGCGTCAGCCCCTTGATATGAGCCTTCAGCGCTGCGCAGTCGTCATCTGGGAATGAAACTAGTCGACAAAGCGTCCAGCTGAAACTGGGGAAAGATTAGTTTTCTGAAAGATGCTAACTGAGGACTGCATTACCTCCGCCCGTCGTTTGTACTATCACCCTCCCAGTCATCCAGCCAGCCATCCAATATCGCTTCGAAATTGCGGCTGTCCGGGTCGGCGGAGTCAGATTTCCAGGACCGACAGTCACTCTCACTGGCTATCATGAATTTTCCTGATTGGACTCGTATCGCCTTCGAACAATCGATCCAGAGATCAAAATCGATAGTTTTGGTATGCTGATCGTTGGTAGGGTGCGTCCCGAGAATTTGTTAAGATGCTTTGGGTGGAGACTTAAGCTTCATCATCAGAGATGATCGCGGGGAATCCAAGGTGGGAGTCATCTTTTCGCGGCTGGCTGGCTGGCGTTTATCATGGAAAGCTAGTAGGGAGGAGGGATTGCATGAGAGGGGTTTTCGTCTCTTTGTTTTCTAGAAAAGCTTTTGGGGTTATATACCTCAAAGCGGGAGTCAAGTTTTGGGCCGCCCGTCCTGTGCATCATAACTATTGTGCGATCGATTTAGCGTACTGCGACCAAGGATGTCGGGGCAAGTACTGTACTCGGTAGTAAATTACTGTACAGCATTTCTCGTACGACTCCTACGACAGTAACCCCGCCGACACTACTGGCATGTGTTTCCGAAAGCCTGGTTCCTGGTTGGCCATGTTTAGGACGAATCACCGATTCTCAAGGCACAGGTGGTGATACGCCTGGCTGACTACTAGGTAGCCCATGGGTAATATAAGTTGCTAAAGGCTGCTAGTAGCTAGTGCTCACTCCCTGTAGGGATTGAAAGTTTGAACAGGGGACTTGACAGGTTTTGAAACAATCGTGCAGATGGGATGAACTCAAAAGAGAGCCGAGCCGAGGCCGTAAATGCCTTGGCGTATAAAACACTATTCACGACTATTCGTGGACATTGACTATACAGCCACCTTTCCACAAAGTCACGGAGATGGATACAATTATTCCAATGAACTAGGTACGTGAGTCTTCTGCTTTCGTCATCGCATGTTAATCATGCAAATAGCGCTGACAATAGCAGGAGCAGTCATGCCTTGACGATGGAACTGCGAGATCCCAATCATCCCGGGACCCCTCAACAGCAGCGACAATGACGTAAAAATAAATAATATCTTATATATAATTTCAGGTAAAGTAAATATATTATTATATAAGGTGAGCTTTTTTCAGAACAGAAGAAACTAGATATAAGTATAGAAGGGATATTTAAAAGAATAAATTTTATATAGTTTTACTTAGAGTGGCTAACGGCCAGGTCAGGTCAGGTTAATCAAAATTTTTATACCTGACCGCAGGTTAATGGTCAGGTATAAGAAATATATATTCCTGCCCAGGTTAAGGTTAAGGTATAACGGTCAGGTTAAGCCACTCTAGTTTTACTATCCTAAGATTCTTTAAAAATTTCAGGTTTAAGTTTAATTATGAGTACAGGAAGTTCTCTATACAGATTTCATTAAAAAGTAACCTAGAGATATTTAAACCATAAGCTTAAAACTATATACTTTTAGTTAATAGCAAATAATTCTATAGTATTATAAAGATAGAGACTTGGTTTATGGAATTCTAAGTAAAATCACTTTTTATAGATTTAAAGAGTAATTTTATTTAGGAAAATTATATCTTTAATATAGACTGGAATATTTTTCATTACTATTTATTAAGTCTATATTTATTAACTAAGTATTTCAAACCCTGCTCAGTAATGTTAAATATTAGATTTAATTATATAATCATTAATAATTTATCATTATTTAAATTTTTTTTTCTATATTAGTAGTATATTTATTTTATAATCTAATCTTATTAAAATTTATATAAAGCCTAGTAATACAAATTAGTAGAAATATATAATTTATAATTTAATATGTTATTTTTTATATTTTAGCTATTTTTCTTTAGTATATTATTTATTAAGTTTTTTTTAAAATAGTTTATTATATTATTTAATTTTATCGATATTAAGAATCTTCATATTAAGATATATTCTATAAAACTAGAAGATTAAAATTAAAAAAATAATAATATTATTATTATAATCTAATAAAATCTTAATTTTAGTTTCGTTAAATATATCTTAAAAAATCAATTTTTTAATGTTATTATATTTTTTAAAAATACTAGTATTTATAAATTTCTTTTTTAATTATAATAAAAACTTTAGAAAATCCAGTGCTGCATTTTTCAGACCCGCGTGCGGAAATAGGCATTACCGGGTACCCTCCGCCGCGCCCAGCAGCTGTTTCGCAGGCGCTGCGCTGCATGGATGTACCAGAGACAGGCGACTCGCACGGCCTCTTCCATCGGCACGCCGTTCTCAAACGCGTTCTGGCACGTGTACAGCCCGCAGGACGCGAAATTCATCGGAAGGTCCACGTACTCTTCCCCTGCCGCGGACAGCTGGGCCATGAACGCGTTACGGTTCTCCCATTGCTGCACGAACTCCGGGGGGTAGGGCTGACACTGGTCGGAACCAGAAGACGAACCGTGGGCCAGAGATCGACAACACGGGGGGAGCAGCCGGCAAAGTCAGTGGATTAAAGCCGACCATCTGGTCAACATGGACCCGGAGGTAAGGGAGGTCGGTCCACAGTGTCAAGTTGAGCGCCGTCGGCTGTTGGCCTGTTGCTCGATCACACACCCGGAATCTCTGGAGCTGGGAGACAAATTCCTCGAGCTTGGTCTGCTGAGAAGCAGGAGTGAGATTGGCGAGCTCGATGAGCGACCGCATTGGGAACGACGCGTGGACGTCATCGATCTCGCTGGGGGGTTCTTCCGCTTGCGCCAGACTTTGGGCCTCGCGTGTCCGGAGCAGTTTGTGGACTGGTCTAGCGGGACTCGAGTTGGGATCCTGGATCAGCACCTTGAGGATCTCGAATTCGGGTCGCGCAGTGAGCTCCAGAGCAAGGTGGTCCATGGCGTAAAGTGAGAGGTTCCGTGGAAAGAGCCCAGTCACGGATCTGCTTCCTTTATGGCGCGGGAAGGCGCGATGCTCGCTTTTGTATCCCCGCTTCTGAGTCTTCGATAAGAAGGAGCTTTTCTCTCTATTACGTGGTAGTAAAAGACCTTCATCCTCATTCTGCAAGATCTCCTAGATGACAGTCTAGACGGAGGTTTAGTTATGTGAAATGGACCTCAACATTCTGGCAAGACGCTAGCCTTAGACCAAGTAGATCCGTCATCTCTATTGCTCGTGTCAGCAGAGTATGATCATGGAGGTGTTGCTGTCACTTCCGACAGGAGCTAGCTAGCCATCAATCAACCTAACATCTAAGGTGACGCGGCGTCGTGCTTCTCCTAGGCTCGTAAAGCCCATGATCTTCACTCTAGAACCTAATAGAGCAAGTCCACAGTGGAGATTTGAACTGTATTGTCAGGGCGCCGGGCAAATCGCGTCGAGATCCGTGCATGACCAAACGAAACACCCCTTTCGTACTGTCGATCCAGTATTGTCCAATGTCGGAAACAGTTCCCGACCTAGGCATAGATGTGGACACAGGGAACGTGACGCTGAAGTGATTCTTAAGCAAAGAATCAAGTCAACAGGGTCAAGGCAATCTAGGGCTGGCAGGACTGACTATGTGCTGCGGTTTATCCGATCAAGGTCTATCACAGCACGACCACAGACCATGAGAGACATTGCTTTCTCATCCCCTCAACAGTGCTCCCAGCGGCACGTTGAAATCGTGTTCGAGAATACATCGTAGCAGGCCCAAAATAAGATAATCTGAGTGACTGAAGAGACGTTTTCTGAGCGATACATTGTTCAACTGAAGAATCTCTTGTGGTGCCAATGTGAGCATCCGAATATCCACGTAAGTCACTTTAGCCTAGGTATACAAGTCTACGGTCTGTCACTGATTTCCACAATTATTCCCTCCAGGTATATGTATTTCCGACAAAGTCTTATCGGAGTATCAAACGGACCAAGGGGAGAACCTACCTATGGTCGGATACAAGTTACTGTACAGGGTAGTACGCAGCGAACCCAGAAATAGAATCCGGCACCGAAAAAAGTTGCAGGATGCGATCACGGAGCAATGCCTCCTGCCAAGCACTTTATCGACGAACGAGATACTAAATTTGGAGTATTTCCGAATCTCGAGAGCCACGATCGCGATCACAGACAGCGGCCATGGAGAAAGACGAATTCGATCTTACAGCCGGTCACCTCCGATGCCATATGCACTTAGCAGTGGGGGGCCGAGCGACAAAGTGATCTGTCTAAGGTTCGGAGACGGCTTGCAAACTATTGAACCGAAAGTGGTAAGCATGTGTAGATCACTAGTTTCGTCATCTCTTATTGGATCACAGCCAGAGCTAGGGAGGAGAAAAGGAAAGCCATGAGGAGCACTGCACCTTTTACGAGAAGACAAGCGATTAACTCCACAAATTCTCCTAGTGTCCATGAGCAGGATTGGAAGATCTCAACCAAAGCTTCAGTGGGGCGGAGTTGCCCGACTGGCATGGCACAGGCTCGCGTATGCAGGTAGACATACGAGTATGTACAGTATGCTCCTCGTATTCCACCTTGCAGACTAAATTAAGCCATGTGCTGGAGTTAGTTACTCGTACTTCAGTTACTGCCTGCTTGGGAGTCTGTCACAAAATCACAGTGGCTCGCGGTGCAGATCATTCAAGGTTTTCCTCCGGGCTGATTCCTGATATGCAAATTACAGAAAAGGAACTGACAGACTGTCATGAACGGGCCGGGGCCGAGCCGTACCAGATTTCAATACTGGTACCGATTCACCCATTCCGCGGGAATCCATCAAGACGAAAGCGGTGAACAAAGTTAAAAGGAAATCTCTTCCGTCAGTGGCTTTCACGTCCTGATCACCTACTCACTCTTTCTCTCTTCCTCAGTCAGCCACTTCTTCTTTGAATAACTTGCTGCATACTGTCGATCAAAATCAGCATCTGCATCGACATAGCACCAGCAACAACTGCAGCAGCAGTGCATGTTCGATGCATATAGAACTGACTGGGGCCACAGCTAAAAGTCGATGCAGGTACTCTGATTTCCAAGGAAGCCACGCAAACCCCCAAGTCCGCCCGGATCTTAGTCGCTCCACCTTAATCTTTCAGCTTCGAATGATCCCGACGTGCGTATCCTTACCATACCACTTCTATTGGGCGTTATCTGACTAGCGGCCCTTCTAGGGACAGTCAACTTTTCACGCGCTTCGGTTGCCCTCCGAGTCTCAACTGCTCTCTCGTTTATAGCCTGAAAAGAAGGAGCCTATTCCTACGAGATGGCCAGAGCCGCTAAATAATCCATGAAGACGGTACCATGCATGGCAATTTCACTATGTACAGTACTCCACTTGTCCCGATAGTCTGGAATAGCCTTGTACAACTTTCCCCCGAACCGCGTCAAACCTGTTTGGTCCCTCAACACCCGCAAAGTAGCGACATTTAGGTGCCAGGAGCTCAAACCGGGGTGACACGAGCCGGGGCGTAAATCAAATGCTCGTAGTATAGAGGGGTATTCCTGAGCATACTGAAACCGTCCTGTCGGATCATGGCATGGCAGTACTGAGTGTGGTGCTTGTGGTTAGCCGATTCCTGCGGCCTGGCTGGTTGTCAACAGGGCACAGGAAGGAACACTTACTCCGATAGCTGGCTCCCCACCAATACTTCTCCATCCAACACCCAGGCATCGGGGGGTCAGGGCACAGGCTTCGGCGCACTCCAGAATCGACTGGCGGTAGTACCAAGCCTCTTCATTCGCGCCATTAGTGCGAACCCCACACTTGACCTGGAAATCGACTCCTCCCAGTTTGAATTGTCTCTGAGAACAGCCTGAACCGCAGAGGTTGGTCCAGCTGGAATCGCGACACTGGGGATCAACCGCCTGCCACTGACCGTGGCCCTGGCCATTGGGTGCAGACGCAGCCTTCTTCTCCAGCTCTTGCACCTTTTGCTGGAGTTCGGACTTCTCTGCATCGCACTGGGTCTTGGACTGTTGCAGCTTGCTTTCTCCCTGTTGACGAATTTCGTTTTTCGCGTTCTCGCATTGAGTGTTGGCCGCATCTTTCTCGGACTTGCACTGCGACCGAGCATCGTCTACCAATTCTTGGAGCTGATTCTTGTCGTTTTCGCATTGAGAGCTGGCCGCCTCTTTCTCGGACTTGCACTGAGCTTCTCCTTCCTCTTGAATTTGCTTCTTCTCAGTGGCGCACTGGGCCTGAGCGCCAGCCAGAGCAGCTTCCTTGTCGGATTCGCATTGACCGGCAGTGGTAGCGGCCTTGTCGGTGAGCTCGGCCTTCTCAGCCTCACATTTGATCTTCTCCTCTTCGCGGACTTGCGTCTTCTCGTCCTCGCACTGGGTAAGAGCAGCAGTCTTGTCCGTCTCACATTTGCCTGCCGCGGTGGCGGCGGCTTCTTTGAGTTGAGCCTTTTCCGCCTCGCACTGGGTCTTGGCAGTAGTGAGCGCACTGGTTTTGCTGTTCTCGGCTTCCTTCTGAATCTGTTCCTTCTCCGCGGTGCATGTCGAACCCGCGGTCTCTTTGGCAGCGTCAATGAGATCTTTACATTCCTCCTCCGGATCCGGATCCTTCGGCGTCTCGGCAGATCGGGTTATGATTAACCAGTCCTTCGCGGGCGAAAAGGCAGAATAGTCCGAGTTACCGCTTCCTAGCACCCAGCATTGCTTCCTGGTGCTCTGCCACGAAGCTCCGGGGCAATCAGGACTCGAACAGAGCTGCGCGCAATCCTTGGCGCTGTTCACCTGTCGATGCTGAGTGCCAGGTCCGCTCTTGCCAGTATAATACTGACCGCAGCTGTACTCAAAGACGGTTTCGCCCACGGTTCCCTTTCCGGAGCCTTGGCCATTCGGACAGCAGAGCTGATAGTTGTCAGCACCGAGGGTGTTGGAAGAAAGACATTTAGAAGTCGCGCCGGTGCTGGCCACCGTAGTGCCTAGCAAGGCTGCAATGAGGGAGAGTGGAAGCAACATGCCTCACTTTGCTTGGGTAGAATTGAAATGGACAGATGTACAAAAGAACCGGAAGATGATATTGGCAAAGAGATCCAAGTTAATTGGCTGGGCAGGGTCGCTCGACTTATATAAGAACCAGGCAACCATGTAAGAGTTGGTCGGGGCCACAACAAAACTGCTGGGGAGATACGTTCATTTCAAAGTCAGCTCGCTCGAAGATCGTACAAGGAATGAATCGATCGACTGGCCCGACCTGAATCCCAAGAAGGGCTCGTAACGGATTGTTGTCGCGTTCATACGACCACAAACAGCACCCTGTACCGTATACTTCGGACGCAGATCTAGTGAAGAGTCCACTGCAGATCCCCACAGCTACTGCAGGTCTCACGGAGCAATGACCAGATCCGTCCATGCAGCTAAGCGAGACGATCGAAGCGCGGAGTATCTCGGGGATTCTGAGACTAATGCAAGGTTCGCTCCGCCCTGTCTCGATTCCGCCCCACTGCAGACACACTCTTCTTTAAGATGCAGAAACTGAGCGATCATATCTTGCGCCAATCCTGACGAACCACAGCATTGCCTCGGGTATTTGACTCCATGCTCTCTCTCCGTCGATCGCAGATCACATATTGACAGCTCCACTCTGAACTGCGCATGGAAATGCTACTTCAGGCGGACCTGAATTCAGCTCAGCTCAGCCAAATATCCACCTTGGTTTTTCGATGGATGATCGGTGTAGACATTTATTGCTTTCCATGAGGACTAGTCACTAAGAGACCAGATACACCGCCAGGCTGCCTGTCCCAGAAGTGCAGTGATCGACGTCTTTCTCGCTGAAGGCCGCGCCATGGCTCCAAAGAGATTGATCCACTTCGTTGGTGGCTGAAGCTGAGCTGAAGCAGAGATGTTAATCCGATCAGTATTGAAACGTGATTACTAGCAGCGAAAAAGTTGATCGGAAGATCTGTGAACCTGAGCGCTCTGAGTAGTCCTGCTGAGGACAGCGCAACGTTATAAATACCTTTACGTTCCAGCAGGTCTTGCTGTTCATCATCCTCTTCCATCTTCATTCATCAATACTATCCCTTCCAACGACAGCCGATAATCATGGCAAAGTTGGGGTCTTTGTTGGCCATCCTGGTGGCCCTTGGTGCCTACCAGGCTGAGGCCAAGGTTCCCGGCAAAACCAAGTACACCCTGGATAACATCCGCCCCTTGACGGACCCCTCTTCTGGTCTGGTCAAGTGTTGCCCCGAGGGGACTGAGTTTGATGGCAAAAACTGTGTTCTTGGTGTTCCCAGCTGCCCAGAGAACTTCATCCGCAAGGGAGGCAAGTGCGTGTCGACCATCAAGCCAATTTGTCCGGATGGGAGTGAATACAAAGGGAATATTTGTGTTTCGACCGAGCTTCCCATCTGTCCTCCTCCGACTATCTTGAAGGGCAAGACCTGTGTGACGGGCCCTCCGACCTGTCCTCCGGGCCAAGAGTACAACGGCAAAGTCTGCCAGTCCACCCAGATCCCCGCCTGCCCCGAGGGCTACAAGTTCAATGGCAAGTCGTGTATCAGCAAAAGCCAGCCCACATGCCCCGACGGCTTGAACCTCTCCGGCGGCAACTGTGTCAGCACCCTGTACCCTATCTGTCCCACCGGCACTGAGTTCCACGAGACCTACAAGACCTGTGTCGCGATCACCCGTCCTGCGTGCGAAGAAGGAACCGTGCTCAACAAGGATGGACTGTGCGTATCTGAGCTCGGCCCCTCCTGTCCCGCCGACACCACCTTCAACCCCGTCACCGGCAAGTGCATTGCCACTGAGAAGCCTGCCTGTCCTCCTGGAAGTGAACTGGACCTGAAGAGCAAGAAGTGTGTCCTGACCGAAACCGCCGCCTGCCCTCCCGGCAGTGACCTCTCGCTCGACATTGCCTCCAACACCGCCCGCTGCTGCCCCGGCGAAATGATCTGGGACGGTGAGGTTTGTGTGTTCGACACCGATGAGAGCGGCCAGTGCCCCCCCGGCACGACCAAGTTCGGCAAGCACTGCCAGAAGCAGCCCGTGCGCATCCCTCAATGCCCTCCTGGTACTAAGCTTGACAAAGACCGCTGCATCAGTCTTGAGCTGCCCGAATGTCCTCCCGGCCACATCGTTGAGGGCGCCATGTGTACTTCGACCGAGCTCCCTTCATGCCCCCCTGGATTGACTCTTACTGGCGACGTATGTATTTCCATTGAGCAACCCGAGTGCCCGGCTGGCACCCGTCTCGAGGGCGTCATCTGTGTCAGCATTGAGCTCCCCGCCTGTGAGGACGGCTTCACTTTCGACGGCACGGACTGCATCTCCGAGCTCTACCCCATCTGTCCTGAGGAAGACAGCACCTTCGACGGCGAAGAGTGTGTGACCCCCCACTTCCCCTCCTGCCCGGAAGACACCGTCTTCGACGGCACCCGCTGCGTCGCCACTAGCACCCCCACCTGCCCCGCAGGCAGCGTCCCCAATGGCGACGGCGACTGCATCACGACCATCGTCCCCAAGTGTCCCGCGGGGTCGACCCTCGTCGCTGGCGGCTGTATCATTGGCGTGCCCCAGTGCCCGAAGGGCACCATCTACGACGGCAAGCAGTGCGTCTCGCCTAAGACACCCACCTGCCCGCCCGACCACACCTGGGCCGGCGGCAAGTGTATCCGTACCACCGTCGTCGAGTGTGAGCCCGGCTACCACCTTCTGAACGGCGAATGTATCTCCGAGAACCGGCCCGAGTGTCCTGAGGGCACCAGCTTCGACGGCACGACGTGTGTGGGCACGGAGCCCGTCTGTGACGCAGGCCTGGTCTTTGACGGTGAGGAGTGTGCTCATCCGCTTGAGCCCGTCTGCCCGGAGGGCATGCGCTTCAACGGCCGCAAGTGTGTCGCTGTCAAGCTGCCTTCCTGCCAGCCGGGCACCGTCTTCGCCCCTGACACCAAGGAGTGTGTGGCTATCACGCCTCCCGAGTGTCCCACCGGCCAGACCTTCAATGGCAAGCAGTGCGCCCTCAACAGCGGCGAGTGCTTGAGCTTCGAGTACTGCCCTCCTGTTGGCCTAGGCTCGCCTGAGTGCCCTGGTGGTGGCCTGTTCGATAAGCACACCGGTATGTGTGCCGATTGGTTGTACTGATTGAGGTCTGATTGTGAATCATGGAGTAGTGGAGGGTCGTCTTTGTAACTTAGTTGATATATATGTTCAATGTTCAGACTTTTAGCTATGCTTCTGAGTAAAGGATACGTAGAAGTAGTAATGTAATTGTGATGGGAGAGCAATTTGCTGTGAATGATGTCGATATTTAGGACTACGACCCGTCAAACTCACATCGCCTAGCCCCATACCCAACGCAGAAGGTCCAAATCAGATACAAGATACTCGAAGTATGTGTGAGAAAGCGTGTGCCAGGTGGTGTACACGTGATGTGAATTCGATAAGGCTTATCAGCCTGTCTAAGTATCCCATATCCTCTAACATAATAGCCCCTATCGCACAGAGTCGTGGTTCCAGCTTCTACCCTGCTGTAACGGGCTTCCACCATCCAGCTGGCAAGCGTCTCAGTCAACGCATTGGTATCGAGCTAACATTCGATTGTCTGACAGTGATGTAGTGATGTCACCCCCAACGAAAGAGAAGAGTGACACCATCTACACCCTGCATGTAAGTCCCATCGCTTTGCGGCAGACAGTTCCTCCATGCCCATCACCACAGCAATGTAACCACTTTGCTCAATACACACGGCAAAGGCAACACGCGCCATGGTCCTGCGCTTAACGCAAAAACAAACTCATGATTCTCTAGACCTAGATTGATCACTCCGCCCGACCACGCACGCCATCAATCAGAAAAGCCCGATCTAGACCCCCTTTTTTTTGAACTGGATGATACAGTCGCAGGAAATTAATTTGCACCCCCCCCTCTCCCCCCAATGTCTGGTTCTAGAGATACCGCCTTCTTGAAGCGCTCACACACCGCCTAAAATATATGGGAAGAAGCTGGCAGAATAACCATAGGCTAGAATTGATTAGGGAAAGTGCCGAACTCTTTCTGAGGGGGGGGTGCATACTAATTTCCTCCCACTGTAGCAGTCTGCGCGTCCAGGGTACAGCTTTGCTGTTGAGCAGTAGATGATTGGCCGGCTGAATGATCCGGTGGGACAAGCACTTTTCTCTAATCCGGCCAAGCTCAGCGCCAAGCCGGCACCGGGGCTTGAATCCGTGGTTTTGGTTCTGTAGGAAATTGCGGCATGAAGATAGAGGTTATCGGGGTTAAACCATCAAGATGGTGACGTATGCGAGAGATTGCCGTCTATTTATGCTTTGTGGCTTGGCTGGGTTGGGCTGCGGTGTTGATGTCTATGTGACCATCGACTACGTGTAGGCGTCTGTTTCATGCGTAGGTAGGTAATCTTGTGCATTAGTTAGCCAACCCTACGGATCGTCACTGATGGCCCCGACTTCCCTCGCAATCTTGACAATTCCACCCAGAACCCTCTTCTCCGCAGCATTCAAGCTAATCACCCGATCTGCATCCGCTGACAGGCAGCACACGTTACTCTGCTTCAGCTCCCAGGCCCCGACCGCCTCTGCATCGCTTGGTTCCGGGATGAACGCCTCGAACGCCGTCGGCTGCTGGCGCTGGTTTTCTGAGAACTTATTGGGCAGCAGCCAGCCATTGAACCACAGCGGGCGGCCGTCGGCGCCCAGGTGCAGCAACTGCGGCGCGCAGATGTTGAACCGGGGTCCCGCTGTGCCGTTACGTTCTGCCTGGGGATTCACCTGCGGCGCGCCCATCACGGCAGCCGCGCCCTCATGGAATGCATATTCTGTGTCGCCGACGAGTTCCCAGCCGAGCCAGAAGGTCTCCTTATCGCCTGCGCCCGAAGTCAGCACATTCCCACACAACCTTCCGCACACAACCCCTCCCCCGGCGCCCAGAACAAACAACATACCATAAACCATATCATAAACCCCAACCCTCCCCTCCGCCTCATTCCCATCGCGATCGGGTCCATTCAACCGCGCAACCAACAAGAGCGCGACAAAATGCCTCCACTTATCAACAACCACAACCCCAGACTCCTGCATATGAATACTCTGCCCGGTCCACAAACGACTGCGCCTCGCCTGCTTCGACACTGGCGCAGGAAGAACTCGCCGGAGCCACGCGCGCTTACTCCCCGGCATGAGCAAACGATCCTTGAAAAACAGCGCGCCGGTCGCGCGATACCCCGGGTCATCGAACAGCGCGGCCGGGTCCCGGATGAACAGCGAGTCGGCGTCCACGAACACCGCCTCGCGGAAGCTCGAGTGCAGGATCGCGAACGGCTTCGCCGCCCACCCGCGCAGCGTCCACCCCTCGTCGTTGACGAGCGCGCGCAGGTCCCGCGTGATCACGCCGGGGAGGCTTTCGAGCGCTTCCCGTGCGTCTACGCTTAGGTCTTCGTCGCCCAGGTACATTACCTCGATGGGGAGTGTGCAGCCTTCGTTGCGGAGCGAGCGGATTGAGGTCTCGAGGTACAGGGCTTGATCGTCGCCCGCTGTGAAGACTAGGCCGCGGCTTGGGGGGTGGAGGTGTGCGTACAGGCTCGTGGGGTTCGTGGAGGGGGTGAGCCATGGGAAGAGGCGTGTTGAGACTTGGGTGAGGAATGTGCGCGCTGCTTCGTAGGCGTGCGTTGCCGTCGTCGGGTCTAGGTGGAGGTCGCGGGAGAGCTCGGGGTAGTCGCGGAGGAGTTGTAGGATGTCATCCCGTACGAGCATTTGGTCTCCCGCGCCGACCAGGTGCAGCGTTGACCACGCTTTGAAGAGCGCCTTGAATCCGCGCGTCCGGAACCCCAGCTCGCGCAGCTTCTCTTCGCCTGTGCTGGTGATTGCGCTCGTGAGGTCGCGCGCGTGTGAATCATCTGGTATGAGGCGGAGGAGGTGCTCGAAGTCCCGGGTGAAGTTCTCACGGGCTGTGTTGCTCGGTGGGTGGGCGTTGCGGTGCTGGGGGTGGAAGGCGTGAGGCCATTGCGGTTGTGCTGGGCTTGGGTCCCGCAGTTTCTGAAGCGGCGAGAGCTGCTGTGTGCATTGCTCGGAGTGATGGTATGAGAGGGCCAGGAGGGTAGCCTTGAAGCAGTAGCCGACGAGGAGCACAATGATTAGCGTTCGCGAGATGATGGCGCCTCGTCGGCTTTGGTTGGGGAAATGCGATAAGGTGAACATCGCGCAACGGGTTGGGGTGTGACGAGCAGCTTTGCGGTATCGACCACAGCAATTTCTCTGACACAAGAATGCTTATAGCATAGATAGAATAGATAATCTAAATCCAGGGAGGAAACCCGTACTTGAGACGTCTCTTGACGTAGAAGGCTTGGTAATGTCTGGATGCATCCGGTATCTTCTTCACAGCCTCCAGGTCTAGATCTTGCAAGAATTTTGGTCAACTTCAACAACAAAGAAACAACTCGGAACCAGGCGGTTCTCCTGAGCTCACCAAGCTAATGTGGAGATGGCAGAGATTAGATGGTTCCGGACGGGACCATCCTGTCTGTTGACGTCGGCCACTAGAGGTGGGACGAACCCAACCCCTCGGAACAGTACTTCGTCCGAAGCCTGACAGCACCTTATGAGCGGTAGTAGTATGAATACAACTCTTCAGCCAGAGACTAGAAGGCATGCGAGCTGTTAAGCTTTGGTGTTGAGCTCGTTTGAAAGAAAGTCAATTGGGTTGCATCCAACACAGAGAAACTCAATTGGGTTGCACCCAACATAAAGAAACTCAATTGGGTTGCTTCAACATAGAGAATCTCAATTGACTGCCTTGCTACAACCATGAGGATGTGTAGACGTGTTGTAGACAGCCTACGTAGTTCTGGGGAGTGAATAGACGAATATTGCACTGATGAGAACGTAGTATGTAGAGGAAGTCTGTGAGGTCATGACTTTTGTCAGTCATTTGCGTGATTTTTTGAACTGGTATGCAAGCGATCTCTATAAAAGGGTCCCAAAGGACGAGGCTCTTGCACTGCTACTCGGCCAAATAAGTCAGCTTTAGACAAAGTTCTTTTTGCAAGTCGTACAAAATGAAGATCTACGTGAAGCTGCTGCTCAGCTTGGCTGTTTTCAACTTCGTATCTATTTTCGTTGCTGCCAGTCCGGGAAAATGGATGGCTGGAGCCCGGTACAAGAACCACCCCATCTATGAACGACAGGACACGCTTCCGACAGGTGTATCTCCTTCATCTGTCTCATTTATCATCGGTCAGCGGGGCTATGATTCTACCACTACCATAAGTACAGAGAAACCAAGCTTTACCACTAGCACCACCAGCAAGAAACGAACAAGCACCACTACCACCACCAGCAAGAAACGAACAAGCACCACTATCACCACCAGTAAGAAACGAACAAGCACCACTACCACCACCAGCGAGAAACCAACCTCCACCACTACCACCACCACCAGCGAGAAACCAACCAGCACCACTACCACCACCAGCAGCGAGAAGCCAACAAGCACCACTACCACTACCACCAGTGAGAAGCCAACCAGCACCACCACCACCACCAGCGAGAAACCAACCAGCACCACTACCACCACCACCAGTGAGAAACCAACAAGCACCACTACCACTACCAGCGAGAAACCAACCTCCACTACCACTACCACCACCAGCGAGAAACCAACAAGCACCACTACCACCACCACCAGTGAGAAACCAACAAGCACCACTACCACTACCAGC